CTATCTATCTATGTATCTATCTATGTATCTATCTATGTATCTATCTGATCATCTATCTATGTATCTATGTATGTATCTATCTATGTATGTATCTATGTATGTATCTATGTATGTATCTATGTATGTATCTATGTATGTATCTATGTGTGTATCTATGTATGTGTCTATGTTTTTTTGGTATGGTCTTGTATTGTATTGTAGTGGATTGTATTGTCTTGCAATGGAATGCAATGTAATCTAATGTATATAACGTATTGGTATTTAATGGTGTTTAATGGTGTTCAATGGTATGTACTGTAATGTAATGTAATGAAATGTAAATGTAAATGTAATGTAATAACTGTATGTATGTCTGCGTTTTTTGTTTCTGTAAATATGAATGCATGTGTGTACATGTTTGCATGTATATATATATATACATGGATTATAGTTGTGCTTATATCTATGTATATAGTGTAGTGTATGACTATGTAACTGTAAATGGATGAATATTATGAACATTTAAGTAAGATGTATAATTATTTCAATGTGTGTATACACATGTACATGTACATACCGATAAATGTATATATATATATATATACATATGTATATACATATGTATACACATGCATTTGTTTGAATAAAATGATACACATGGTGAGATTTTGTAGATACATACATACATACATACATACATATATATATATATATCCTATTTATTTGTACACATTATGAGTGCAAATTCATTTGTGTAATTATGTGTATATATATATTAAATTATTATATTAAATTATATTATGTTATACTATATTATGTTATTTTATATTAATTACATGATATTATATTATATTACAATCATATTATATATAATCATATATATATAATTATCTGAGTATATGGGCGCATATGTATCTACAAAAATGTGTGTGTGTGTGTGTGTACATGTACAAACTTACTCTGATGGTATCACCCAGCCGCCTCTCTGGACAGTTGTTGAAGGCCCATGTGAGCTTCTCGTCAGCCCCCTGGAGGTTGTGATCAAAGACCTTGCAGCGGCAATGCCAATCCAGGTTAAGGGCCGTTTGTTGGTAAGGAGATCAAAAGCCGAATGATCGGAAAAATTATTTGTTAAGTCCTCCCGTAGTCAACAAAGAAAGGACAGAGGTTGAATAGTGGAGGTTCGGTACGCAGATGTGTTGTTTCAGGTCATAGAAGACATGACATAGATAAATCACAGAAAAGATATAACAGGCAAGTTGGCTGGAAGAAGTTAGATGGTGAGGGTTTGACAGGAGGTAAATTTGGTAGCGGTAAGTGTGATAAAGACCCGCATAAAGAGGAGGTAAATTTGATAAGGGTGAATTTGGAAGAGATTAGTTCGATAGACAGTAGTTAGATGGAATTTAATTTGATAGAGGTATGTTTGGAAAAAGTGAATTTGAGAAAGGACAGTTCGATAGATGCAGGGGACAAGTCTGATAGCGAAATTTTAACAGAGACCAGCATGAAAAATGTAATTTTGAGACGGGGAAGTTTGGAAGCGATAAGTCTGGCAGTGACTGACGCTGATAGCGACGGCGGAGGCAGCAGCCGGAGGAGGCAGATGGGACGCGGCAAATGAAAACAATTTTCGAGACGGGTCCAACAATTTTCCAACAAAAATATGGCATGTCACTACCAAGAAATCATCCAGGCAAGAAACCCCAAACATTGAGGAGAACATCTGCTGATAAAGCCGCTGCAAGGTCTTCATGCCAGGAACCTCCAAGACAATATCACAAGATCGTCGTAGAAAGACCCTGCCGAGGATCTTTCAAGATCTTTAGACAAGAATTTTCTAGGGTTTCCACAAGAGCTCTCATACAAGCACCTACACCACCATATCTTCAAGCTCTTCATGCAAGGACCTCTAAGAGGTTTTCACCAGGATCTCAGCAAGATCTGCAAGATCTTACTGCAAGAACCCCAAGTGTGAACACAGTGTTTGGGGAAATAGTCACATAGTCCACTTCTTTCCTCATACTGCTTGTGTGGTACTTGCAACACTTTGGAGCCAGAACCTTTCATTCATTTGCAACGCATTTGCAGCATGTTTGGAGCTAGAACCTTTCATGTTGCACAGTATTTCAAGCATTTTGGAACGTAGAACTTGTCATATCGAATTGTATTTGCGAATTGTTTGGAACTAGAGCTTGTAGGATATTGGTATGATATTGGCAACATTTTGAAACTTCAACTTTCCTTGTTGCATGGTGCACGCAGCATTTTGGAACTTCAACCTTCCATTCTGCGCAGATGCATCATTGTTGAATTTCAACCTTCAATTTTGCATGATTTTTGAGGCATTGACATTGTACAGTTTCGACCTTCCATTTTACATGGTGTTTGAAGCATTGTGAAATTCAACTGCTAACTACAGCACTAACTCGCATCTCATCTGACCTCTCTATTCCTTTCTGGGCTTATGGTATTTACACCAATGCGAAGTCTATCTAGATAGATAGATAGATAGATAGATTCTTTCAGAACTTCAAATGGCTTGGAAGACACTTGTGATTAGTTGCGCATTTCTGAGCTTCATACCAAATATTTACCCCAGAAGAAGTAGAAAGTGACCTCAGTGTTTTAAACAAAGTCTTTCTGCATCTCATCCGCTGATAAATCATCACCATTCGAGTGTGCCAAATTCATGGATTGGACTGTTGGACTGAACACTAAACAGGTTCAGTGAGCTTCAGAGATCTAAACTTTCCGGGGGTCAGCACACAAATTGCCTTTGGAAGGTCTGTGGGACTGAAGCCATCCTGCAAACTTTGTGAGTCATGACATGACCTGGAGCATAGTTCTGGGCATCAAAAAACGATCCCACGCCATTCCAAACCTAATTATACATCGTTCTTTGGGTCGTTGCTTGGACGGTTTCCCACGGCAATCTTCAACCTAGGGCTTTCCAAACGGCAGCCTACTCAACTTCATCTCAGCACACGGCATGCTATTCTGAAGGGTGCTTCTCCCAAATCAAAGCTGTTTTTCTTGCGATCATTTACAGTGCCGTTTCCCACCTTTTGCATAGACTGTGTCACAGTTGTCAGCGTAAAGGAGCACTGTGACACTTGCCTCAGTGGAGCCCAGGCAGAGTGGCCAAGATTCGCAGATTTCAACCGAATGCATTTAATGTTGGAATCATTGGAATCCGTGCCGCCCATCCCCAGCCTCTACACGTTTGGGGTGAGCTTAGACGCACTCGTCGCGTCACACGGGTCACTGAATTTCATAAGCACTGTAAGCACACCCTTTGGCTGCTATACTGCCATACTATACAAAGCTGAAAGATGCTGAAAGCTTGCGGAAACAACTTTCATAGAGCAGCTGACTGACAGCTTGGTGAACCAATCTCTGAGTAGTCTCTTCCTCAAGAGGTCTCAAAAATCATCAAAATCTGTGAGAATCTCGATTGCCGTCAGAGAGGCATCGCTCCCTTTCAGGCACGGCCTGCTTCAGAAATGTCTGCGCTGTCGATGGCCGTTGAGACTTCAGCAGACTCTTCAGATGTCATGCCTTGCCCAGCCTTGAGGCCTTCCTTGCTGGAAGGATCATGGCCGCACACCTTCTTGCCATAGACAGCCACTTTCAGGATAGCCCAGTAGCTGACCATTGAATACATCACCAAACTAGGCCACATCAAAATCCAGTCTTTGAGGTTCTGGCAAAAGCCGGTATCCTCAGCACCCTGCGGCTTCATCTTCAAGTGGTAAATGAGTTTGCACCCTTCCCGGTCAAGGTAGAAGAAAATCAAGAAGACTAGGTAGGTCCAAGCAAGGCTGGAAAAGCCTGCAATCATCACGCCAGTGTTGGCTGCATCATCCAAAGGCAGCTGGCCAGTCATTTGGCCCATGCGATCAATGGTGTCATGTTTGGCATTGATCAAGGCGTAGTTGATGAAGCCTGCAAGTCCAGTCAGCGTCAGGGAGCACAAAATGAAACCATAGTAGATCACAAACCAAGTGCCGTAAGACAGGGCTGCAGAGCAGTTGTAACGCCTTCGCTTCACCACAAAGTAGTGGAAAACCTCGCAAGCACCAATGGTCCACCGTTCACTCTGACGGAACCATTCGCTGAACTCTTCCCATTGGCTCGTGCCTGAGGTTGGACCAGAAATCACAGGCATAGGAATCATGAGGATCTCAACTCGCTTCTGCAATGCTTGCATGCAGGTCAGGGTGTAGATGATGTCATCCATCTGATAGTGCGCATGGAAGAACTCGCCCTTAATGCAGAGATCCAGAGAAAAGCTGAAGATGGACATGGTGTTGATGTTGAACGGGATCAAGAATCCCAACATGTAAGCTGCACGCATGATACCAATTGCACGAACGTAGAAGGGCCGCTCATTCAAGAAGTGGTTGTAGTAGAGCGGCGCTTGCCAAACAACCTCTTTGGCTTTTGGGGAGGTAAGGAACTGGTACCCCAGGTTCTCAAAGTAGCGTGGTGCAAAGATGGAATCCGTGTCACAACTCGTGGCTGTGGTGCAACTGAGATCTAAGTCACCATACTCCTCCAAGCGGGTGACCGCAGCACGCATGGTGTAGTTGGCATTTGAGCATTTGCCTCGGATCTCACGACCTCCAGCCCACTGCTTGGGATGCTTGGTCACATGGAATCGCTTGAAGGATCTGGCATAGCGCTCTTTCAACCTTGCAGCTTTCTCAGCCACATCAGGGGTCCCCTCCTCCAAGCCAATCACCACAATCAGGCGGTGAGCCGCCGTCTGGGCTGCGAGTGAATCGATGGATTGGCAAATCACTTCCATGGGCTCCTTGTAGCCGCACATCATCACCAGGTGTTGCAGGTTGTCTGCCAAACGCCTCTTCTCCGCTGTGTTTCTGGGGATCTTGTCCTCCCAAGTCTCATCCACGACCTTCTTCATCAGAAAGTTGGCTTGCAGAGAACGCAAAGCACAAACTGTCAATAGGAATGCTCCCAGCCATCCGACAAAGAGGCCATAGATGGCGGCAAAAATGGGGCAAAAGATGTCGATCCACAGTGGGAGGGGAATGATGATGAAGTCAAACACCAAGAACAAGAGATTCCATCTCATGATGATGAACTCCTTCTCCTTCACATTCTGCTGCTTTTCATCCACAGCATATTGTCCTCTTGGAGCAGTGGTAAAGATCCTCTGCCACCAACTGGGCTGCTTCTGTGCTTGCGGCTGAGCCATGGTTCACCAACAGGTTCCTACTGCTCTAGAAAGCTCTGTGCTGTAGAGCCAAGGAGAGAAAAATGAGCGCCCAAAGTGAAAACAACCTGCAAACTGCAAAGAGGCAAACCGAAACTCTGGGAAACGTCCAAGACAAATCCAATGCAATCAGCTCAATTCCAGCAGCTAAGAATTGGCTTCTGTGCCATTTCAATGAATTGAAATAGATCAAATGCCGACCGACACACCATGTGGAGTGGCTTGCAAGATTCGCAGATTTCAACCGAATGCATTTAATGTTGGAATCCGTGCCGCCCATCCCCAGCCTTTACACGTTTGGGGTGAGCTTAGACGCACTCGTCGCGTCACACGGGTCACTGAATTTCATAAGCACTGTAAGCACACCCTTTGGCTGCTATACTGCCATATATACTATACAAAGCTGAAAGATGCTGAAAGCTTGCGGAAACAACTTTCATAGAGCAGCTGACTGACAGCTTGGTGAACCAATCTCTGAGTAGTCTCTTCCTCAAGAGGTCTCAAAAATCATCAAAATCTGTGAGAATCTCGATTGCCGTCAGAGAGGCATCGCTCCCTTTCAGGCACGGCCTGCTTCAGAAATGTCTGCGCTGTCGATGGCCGTTGAGACTTCAGCAGACTCTTCAGATGTCATGCCTTGCCCAGCCTTGAGGCCTTCCTTGCTGGAAGGATCATGGCCGCACACCTTCTTGCCATAGACAGCCACTTTCAGAATAGCCCAGTAGCTGACCATTGAATACATCACCAAACTAGGCCACATCAAAATCCAGTCTTTGAGGTTCTGGCAAAAGCCGGTATCCTCAGCACCCTGCGGCTTCATCTTCAAGTGGTAAATGAGTTTGCACCCTTCCCGGTCAAGGTAGAAGAAAATCAAGAAGACTAGGTAGGTCCAAGCAAGGCTGGAAAAGCCTGCAATCATCACGCCAGTGTTGGCTGCATCATCCAAAGGCAGCTGGCCAGTCATTTGGCCCATGCGATCAATGGTGTCATGTTTGGCATTGATCAAGGCGTAGTTGATGAAGCCTGCAAGTCCAGTCAGCGTCAGGGAGCACAAAATGAAACCATAGTAGATCACAAACCAAGTGCCGTAAGACAGGGCTGCAGAGCAGTTGTAACGCCTTCGCTTCACCACAAAGTAGTGGAAAACCTCGCAAGCACCAATGGTCCACCGTTCACTCTGACGGAACCATTCGCTGAACTCTTCCCATTGGCTCGTGCCTGAGGTTGGACCAGAAATCACAGGCATAGGAATCATGAGGATCTCAACTCGCTTCTGCAATGCTTGCATGCAGGTCAGGGTGTAGATGATGTCATCCATCTGATAGTGCGCATGGAAGAACTCGCCCTTAATGCAGAGATCCAGAGAAAAGCTGAAGATGGACATGGTGTTGATGTTGAAAGGGATCAAGAATCCCAACATGTAAGCTGCACGCATGATACCAATTGCACGAACGTAGAAGGGCCGCTCATTCAAGAAGTGATTGTAGTAGAGCGGTGCCTGCCAAACAACCTCTTTGGCTTTTGGGGAGGTAAGGAACTGGTAACCCAGGTTCTCAAAGTAGCGTGGTGCAAAGATGGAGTCCGTGTCACAACTCGTGGCTGTGGTGCAACTGAGATCTAAGTCACCGTACTCTTCCAAGCGGGTGACCGCAGCACGCATGGTGTAGTTTGCATTTGAGCATTTGCCTCGGATCTCACGACCTCCAGCCCACTGCTTGGGATGCTTGGTCACATGGAATCGCTTGAAGGATCTGGCATAGCGCTCTTTCAACCTTGCAGCTTTCTCAGCCACATCAGGGGTCCCCTCCTCCAAGCCAATCACCACAATCAGGCGGTGAGCCGCCGTCTGGGCTGCGAGTGAATCGATGGATTGGCAAATCACTTCCATGGGCTCCTTGTAGCCGCACATCATCACCAGGTGTTGCAGGTTGTCTGCCAAACGCCTCTCCTCTTCCGTGTTTCTGGGGATCTTGTCCTCCCAAGTCTCATCCACCACCCTCTTCATCAGAAAGTTGGCCTGCAGAGAACGCAAAGCACAAACTGTCAACAGGAATGCTCCCAGCCATCCGACAAAGAGGCCATAGATGGCGGCAAAAATGGGGCAAAAGATGTCGATCCACAGTGGGAGTGGAATGATGATGAAGTCAAACACCAAGAACAAGAGATTCCATCTCATGATGATGAATTCCTTCTCCTTCACATTCTGCTGCTTTTCATCCACAGCATATTGTCCCCTTGGAGCAGTGGTAAAGATCCTCTGCCACCAACTGGGCTGCTTCTGTGCTTGCGGCTGAGCCATGGTTCACCAACAGGTTCCTACTGCTCTAGAAAGCTTTGTGCTGTAGAGCCAAGGGCAGAAAACTAGTGAAACAAGCTGCAAACAGGCCCCAGCCAATTGCAAGATGCCGCCATCTTGGCGAGACCGATGGAGGAAATCAGTGAACATGAGAATGAAACATAATGAATCCGAATGAATCACAATGAATCATAATGAATCCCTGCTCCACAACCCAATGAAAAAAAAACAAGCTGCGCACGTCATCTTGCTGCCTTGGACAATTTCCTGTGGCGCTGCTCCCTTTGGGCATCCTCACTGCAGCTTGAAGTAAGCGCGGAGCAATTCACAGCCTCAGCGTCGCGCAGCGTCGCTCAGCGTCGCTCAGCACAGTCAAACCCTTTGGATCCCTTTGGTCTCCCATAAGCTAGCTATGTTGGAGCTCAGGGACAAGAAAAAACAGCTCTGTTTCCGAAACACCAAGCCTCCCAACAAATCCAAACATGCCCTGCTCGCTTGGCTCGCTCCTTGGGACACAGCGCGCAATGAGACAAAAGTCCCCAGCGGGTTCGATCTGTTAGGCTGAAAAATAGCTGTTGGCATCCCAGGAGCGATGCTATGCGATGCTGCTGGTCAAAAAAAAACTCTGGGAAGTGATGTCTTCCTAGCAGCTAGCAGCAGCTAGCCATTAGTGTTCTGATTGCTTGAAGTCATTTCTCTCACACTGCCACAGCCACAGAAACCCACTCCTTGTTCAACGTGTTGAAGAATTTCCTGTAGAGCGCCACCAACCTGAAAAGAACAGCATGGGCCCGGACTTGGTGCTGTATGGTGATGTAAGTCTTGGAATGTCTTGGGGGCACATGCCACCAAAAACACTTTGAGCTTTAAGCAATTTCTGTCCCCAAGCGAAAAAAAAGGCTCGGAGCATGTCCCTTTCCTCAGGCCCAACTGCTTCAAATAGGCATTGTTTTCCTGGTGCTGGCGCTCAGCCCGCTCGGATTTCTTGGCCTCAAACATGTCAAGCTGCCGCTGTTGGGACGTCATGCTGCAAGGAGATACTTTATGAAAATGGCAATTTCAGCGCAGCTTTTTGTTCTAGGAAAATATTGATTATATATTGCATTATATTGCTATATATTCATTTGTGCAAACAAGCCTTTGCACCGCATGTCAGCACATGCACTTATTCGGCAAAAATTACCACAAAGGACTGTGCGAAACAAAAAAGGAGCGCCCGACCATCCTTGTATGGCGTGGGCCGAAATATGACAGGTACAAAGATGTACAAAGGACAGGCACTGAATACCATAGAGTGGCCATGAGGTCGTGGGAAGTGCCCATTCCTTTTGCATCTGTGAAAGTATGGTACAGTCATTCCCTCTGTACCCATTAAGATGGCCACATCAATTGCCATGGTGCCTGAATCCCCTGGAAGATGGTTCAAAATCCACTACGCCTGGTCCAGTTGGTTGGCAGCTTTGCGCGCCACTGCGGTGAACTGGAGCATAAGGGGCCTTGGAAATTTGTCGAGACCAAAAGAACGGATGTGTGTGTGTGTGTGCTATACACGTTGAAGCGTATGCTTATTTTTCTGTATACCTAATGTTTAAATCATAAATATTGGATGCATTGGATGTATCTGTTTCATTCTGTTTCTAGATTTTCTAGGATCTCATCCCAATCCCAGGCCAGGGATGGACCACCAAAGGGAACAAATGCCATGCACTGAGGGCATCACATCATCCAAAGCCCACTGCCCTCAGCCTCGACATACCTGTGGACCTTGGCCATGGGGCCGTGGGGCCGTGGGGCCATGGGGCCATGGGGCCATGCCACAGGTCGTGCACTGATGTGCTTAGGCTATACGGTGGCTGTACATGGTACACAGCATGGCGAAAGATCATTGAAGCCATTGACATCGGCATCTGAGATGGAGGCCCAACTTTTCAGACAGGTGCAGACCTGACAGCAGGTGAGCACCAAGCAGGAGCACTTCTGAAAGATCCCACGCAACATGTCGGTTGATGTCTGTTACTTCCTTGGCGATTGTTCACTTTAGTTTTTGCGCAGTCTGTTGATGCCAGAAAGGTTCATCCATTCATCTCATGAACGGGATGTGTCCACAAAATATCAAACAGGGTCAGAATATCCGACAAGTGACCAGTTCCAAATGTCGCACAGCTTCACCTCAGCACTGCGAGGGGAAGCCGGTCATGATCCTGGTTGGTTTCATCTGGGCTTTGTTTGGGATATGTGCAGCGGTACCCACTGGGTGCCCACGCGGATTAATCTAGTCAATCTGGGGTTGCGAATCGTACTATGGCCACAGCGAACCTGTCCCAGTCACAAGCGATGGTCCTGGTTGAGTTTCCCAACTGCGGACATGGGCTTGGAGACTCAGCAAGTAGAGAGAGAGGACCTGAAACCGGGAAGTACATCAGAAGTGATCAAATTCTGGCAGGTTGGTCTGGCTGAAAACACAAATTTTCTGTCAAACGTATTGCCCCAAGATTTGCCTAGGCCTTCCCAACATCCTCTACAAGATTCACCAGCTGCATCAACGCAGTCCACATCGGGTTTTGGTTCAAAATGGATCACTTGGCACCTCGTGGCTCTCACCAGCATACTTCTTGGCGAGCTCCTGGAGTTTGGTACAGAAAGTGTAGAGTTTGACAGCAAGCGAGCTCCCCACCTGTCATTAGTAAGGGCAGTAGGGACTAGCTCTAAGTGAACTGAAACTTCAACAAGAGAGATTTTATATAGAATAGAATTGAATTGACTTGAATTGGCTTGAATTGACTTGAAGTAGAATAGAATTAGAATTATATAGAATAGAATTAGAATAGAATTAAAACAGAATTAGAATAGAACTAGAATAGAATTAGAATAGAATAGAATCAAAGATAATAGAAAAAATATTATAGATAAAATATATTAGATACTATATAGTATATAATATATACTAGATAATATATATATATATAATAGATAATATATAATAATAGATACTATATAATACATCATATATATTAAATTATGTATTATATATTTTATAGAATATATAAAATATAATAGATAATATATATATATATATAATAGATAATACAATAGATAATATATAATAATAGATACTATATAATACATCATATATATTATATAATATACAATAGATAATAGATAAAATAGATAATATAGATAATATAGATAATATAGATAATATAGATAATATAGATAATATAGATAATATAGATAATATAGATAATATATATATAATATATATATTATATATATTATATATAATATATTGAGATAATATAGATAATATAGATATAATAGATAGATAAAAAAATATAAGGTATACGATATAAGAAATCAGATATAATAAATAACATAATATAATATACATAATATATATAATATATATAATATATATAGTATATAATATATAATATAATATATATATATAAGATATATAATATATATAATATATATAATATATATAATATATATAATATATAATATATAATATATATAATATATATAATATATAATATATAACATATAATATATAATATATAACATATAATATATAAATATATGTATATAACATATAACAAATACCATATAATATAAAATATAATATACAATAAATAATATATAATATATATATATATTATATAAAATAAATAATATATAATATATTATATATAATATATTATATTTATTTTAAAAATATATATAATATATAATATAAAATATAATATAATATTATATTATATACATATATATGTATAATATGTAATATATAATATAATATAATACAATATAATATAATATATGTATATATGTATAATATGTAATATATAATATATGATAGATAATATATTACAATATATATATAATATATTTTTTGTATAGTATATATGTATGTAATATAATAAAATATTATATATAATAGAATATAATATAATAAATTACAATACAATATAATATAGTATAATATAATATAATATAATACAGTATAATATAATATGATATGATATGATATAATATAATACAATATAATATACTATAATAATTAATATGTGTGTGTGCACCAGTCCCTCAACCCCCCCGCCCCAAGGTGGTGTGGCTGAGTCGGGGAACAGAGGACTTTCATCCCGCCTCCAAGTTCTCGCAGCGGCCGATCTCGCGCAAGGGCAGCCGTCCACTGCCCTGCGGTGACTCAGGCGACTGGGCACTGGACCAACATTGGCTTAGTAAGGATATAGATATAGATAATATAGATATAATAGATATAATATATATATATAATATGTTATATATATATTGTTGATAATATAGATATAATAGATATAGTAACATCTAACAGGCAACGATATTGTCATTGGCGACACTGCAATGTCAGGCACTCATGTGGCGTCCGTGGGTAGTCTCAGTCAGGCATCAAGACATATCAAGACCAAGCCGCAAAACCATTTACACGCACACCGATGTAAGATGATGTAAGTGTCTGCACTGGGTCATATTGGAAAGCCGTCGCAATTCGCACCCTCACATCTCTTTTCCTTGTGCACAAGATAGTGAAGGTATAAGCAGAGCTATCTCCTGCTTTCCGAACCATCTATGGCATTGGCTACAAGATCGAGATCAAGGGATTTCTCAGGGCTAATTATCATTTCCAGTGCTATTTTTAGCAACATTTCCTGTAAGACCTCTTGTGCGCCAACCAGTAGCAAGTTGGGGACAGAGACAGCTTCGCCCAAATGTTTCTGAAAAATACACTACAGTAGAGCCTTCGCTCCTAGCCCTCCTCAGACCCGTTCAAACATTAGGGAGAAGTTGGATGGAGGCGGGACAAAGACTTAAGAAAAATTGTCGTGAAGCTGATGCAATGGCCCATGCACTCCTTGGGGAGTCAGGACTTCAGTGAGGAGAGAATTGTCACCTGCTTCCGAAGAAACACAATGTGAATACGAGAACGGGTGAGAGTCTCTAAGTATGACTCGCCTTCTACCGTGGTGTTGATGGCACAGGAAATAAGTTGAGTCCAGTTTTCTGGTTTCCCTTCAACAATAAACTCCTCATACAAAATCGTGGCGGCGGCGAGCAACCTTTGTTGACTCAGTCTTCAAAAATATGCCTGCAGAAAGAAACCCTAACGCTGCTATTGTCAGATGTTCAGCCCAAGCACGCAAACAAAGCACGTGGAGATTCCAAAAGTATCCCAATGTCATATATATGTCATAGACATCTACAAGCAAAAGAGCTTCTCCCAAGCGTCGCTTAGAATGCGATGCTAACCATCAAGTCCTCCACTTCCTTCACGCCATTCACTTCCTTCACTTTCTCTGGGCCTACTTCGTTGCACCTCTTCCTCATCAATGATGTTTGCAGAGTTGAAGGTGTCTTCTACACTTTGATCAAAAATGCGTCAAGACTCCTCAAATGTTTGTCATGCAGCTGCCGATTTGGTGGCCCCGGTCCCTTCAAGTGATGCCAGGACCATATGTCAAAAGAGAAGCCCAAGTCTCGAAGTTCACCTTGCTCTAGAGCATCAGGTGACTGCTCTGGCCGAATCTGCCAGATCGTTTTGGTCTCAACATGTTCAACTCCTGCCACCCCATTGTGGCCGCGGGGGCAGCACCTCTTGAGCAGTCAATGGCTACCCGGCTACCCCGCACTCAAGAGTCAAAAACGGGTCAGTTACAAGGATGCGGGGCGTGAAGATTGTTTCCGACTGCAACGCTCTGCATGTTTGTTTCAAAGACAATGGGCGTGAAGGGGTGAAGGTTGTTGATGGTGTTTGTGTCTGCAACACATTGATTCCCATTTGTTTTGATCATGTTTTGCTGCAGAGAATTGATATGGGTTTGTCTGAAAATAGGCTATCCCTAAATCCATTGGTTAATCGTCAATTTGCTGACTAAAATTGCCACATATTAGGGATATATATATATATATGTTTATCTATATACGTATATATGTGTATATATATACATATATATATATATTATGTTTTATTGATTTATCCCATTTTCAAGCATGCCCACGTGCTGATCTGGCTTCAGGCTTCCCTGGCCATGTCAAAGAGTTGCGCAAGCTGAACACCTTCTTGGCGATCCATGTGGCGCAGGAAGTTCCCGCACATGCCTTGGGGAGGGGCTTGGTAGCTGAATCGGTCATCGTGACCCTATCGTTTTTGATTGAAATAGGGCTTTGCTGAGGCCGGCTGAGGAACGCTCTTGAACTTGCATCTGGGCATTTGTTTGAACTAATATAATGTGTATAAATAATGTAAATATATAATGTGTATACATACATACATACATACATATATATATATATATTCTGCACAATGTGTGTATATATAATGTATAATGTGTATGTATATATATGTATTAAATATTGATATATATATATACATATTAATATATACAGTATATATATATACATATTAATATATATATATATATGTGATGTGTATATATATATATACGTACACATAGTATCCATCTCTGTGTGTGTGTGTGTTTGTGTGCATGACCAACGACATGTTCAGAGTAAGGTAAATTATTCTTGATTCTTAGCCATTGGCAGTCTTTTCTGCAGAACTTTGCAATCAACAAATCAATCCCCTCTCCCACCAGGTTGACTGATAGATTTGGCATGTGTCACCACAAACAATCTCCCAAAATCCTTGGAGCTAGAGTTCCAACCACATCTGGGATGCACACCCACAAGAGCGGCATTCCTGAGCGCATTGAATTCACTGAAAGCTTTGTGCAAAACGAGATAAGCGTCTCTCCCTGAGAGCCGTGGAATGCTTGTGACGGCACAAAGCGAACCAAGTCTGCAACTTTGTGAACCGTGTCTCTCAGAACAACAATATTGTCAATGCCAGAATATGCAATTCTGCGGGTTCGAACAAATGGCAGGTCATGCTGCCACGACGCACAACAAATTCTGGGAGAAGGTGCGTGTGTCTGAAAGGCTCCACAATCACAACATGTTGGGATTGAGATTCAGCATGACCTGCCACTGTCATTTTCTGCAGGAGAAGCGGGGGGCAGTTTTTGTCCCTTGGGAAAGTATTTCTTTCGCAGCTGGCCTTTGTTTTCTGTCATCTCCGAACATGAATAATCAGTCGCTTTCATCCACTTTCGGTTAAAATAGAAAATGCATCCATGCGTGAGTTGTCCTTTGATCTTTTGCTTTGACCCTTTGTGTGCCAGTCATTTTGGGGCCATCTTCAAAGAACCTTACATCTCTAATATCTCTATACATCTCTTTGGGAATACGACCTGATATCAATAGGATTTAATAGGCTACCAGCGGCTACCATTAAAAGCACGGGAACCCACAGGGGGCACAAAAAGCTCTGAACTTTCACAGGTCTCCCAGAACTGAGGTTCCAGGCGCCATGATCAGGACAAGGCATCAAAGCACCAAGTTGTGAACAGTGCACTCAGTGAACAGTTGTTTTTTTAACGAAAACACCGGAATTGGGTGTGCCCATGACTGCTGGGTGGCTGGGCTGGCTTAAGTGTAGAAATTGCCCGTTGCAGCCTATGCAGTGTCTGGATGGAGGCTACCCTGCCGATTGCGGTCAAATTGTAATTCCAACTTCAGAGCTGCGTGGCCTTTCAGGGTACCAACTTGTGTCTACTACCTGAACAGCCCGGATGAGGAATGTCACCCTTGCAACGTGAGCTGTTGGCAAATATGGGATATGGGGATGCTTTGCGCATGGCAGGAGCCAACTTCAACATCTTTGATGCCAGGCTCTGAATAGATCCGTGTCAACTCTGGAGCAAAAATGCCAGCACCAACGTGGAGAGCTGTTCAACCATGGCATATGGAAGCAGGTACCTAATGCCTGCAAGAATCTATCAACACTCTGCCTCAACATCAAAAATGCTGCGATTGTTCCCAACTACAAGGACTCCTTACATGAAATTCGCCCATGATTTGGGGACGCGAGGTGTGGCACACACATGAGGGTCAAGGCGCACAGGGATCGTAGGGATATGCGAGGCTCTTTTTTCTGTGCGAAGGTCCTGTGGAGTTTGTAGGTTTTTGGGTCGACATGCAAAAGAACCTCGTGTTGGAGGCTCTGTCAGTGTCGCCACGTTGCCAGCTGTTCGTAAAGCAAACGCAGCTTTTCAAAAATGCTGACGCGAATGGAGAGTGCAGCAGTGCTGTCGGCAAACCCCAAATCTGGCAACCTTTGACGCCACCTTTGACGTCACGGAGACGCGAAAGACAGGACTCAGCGATGCATCGGTGTGCGGCAGTCTTACGCACAGGTGCACTGCCACAGGTCATCCCAAACTCTGAACGAGTCTGAGTGGAAAAGAAAGTATTCGTGGCTATCTCTGGGTCAGGCTTTCCAGATTCAGTTCAGACATGCCAAATCATGCCAAATCATGCCAAATCAGCTTTAAGCATCTTTAAAACACGTTGAAACTTCATCCAATCAGTTCACATCTCTTCTCATTCATGGCTCTGCCCAGAAGATTAGCACAAAGCCGACTTCACAGGGGCCATATGGAGTCTGCAGGGGCGTTAAGGCACAAGGCAGTTCAGCGTTTGGGTTGGTTCAAGGCTAGGGATATGATATGTGTATACTGTATACTGATAGAAGAACTTAGCCTTAATGTTATTTAATGTTTACATTTCAGCCTTTCCGGACGTTCTGTGTGTCACAGGTTTTGCTGTAAGGCACATGAAAAGCCATATCGCTTATCCCTGCTACAAACAATTTGGATACCTCGAAACAGTCACCAAGTGATACAATCACGATATGGGCACCATTTCTACCGTTGTTTCAGCCTTGTGTCACCTCAACTGGGAGATAACCCAAGTGATTGGGCCACTGTTTGGGTTTGCCCAATCGGGCTGAACTCCACTGGCATCACCAAACGTTCCCCATGAACAATGGCCATAAATTGGGGGAGCTCCCCAGTTTCAGAGCCGTCCATAATTGACCTTATTTTTGGTAGGCTTTTATCACGGCTATCCCCGCGTTGTTAAATAATGTTAAATATGGGATCATATCATATCCAATCCAATGCAATCCGATATTAGCAAAGATTTCCCAGCGGTTTCTTGACACTTCGCCATATTGATGAAACTTGTCTCAAAATCTATCATTCCTCATCCTGATGTTACACGCTATGACAGACCGAAAAAAATACCTATACATACTGTAGTATGTATATATATAATATATTCATCCCCATTTCCAACTTTTTAGTCCCAATATGTAATCCCCAGGGCGGCCCATAGTGGATCCATGTGGATCCTCATGTAGCAACCAACCCGGCCATCCCCGCCTCACTGCTGATGGCATTGCACTCCTGGACCACCGGGGCCACCACGAGGGCCATCCTCCTCATCGTCGTCGTAGGCCTCGCCCCCTGCTGACATGTTCACCTGGCAAGCTTGGAGAATGTTGGAGTCAACTCAGGGTGAATTTCATGGAAAACTATGGGAAAATCTATGGGAAAATCATGATCATTTATGGGGAACTATGGGGAACTACGGGGAACTTGAAGTGAATTTAAGGGAAACTATGATTTATAGGGATTTGGGTCAAGAATGTCAATGGCAGGCTGTGAGGCTGTTGTGCATTGAGCAGAATGCAAACCGAAAAAATCCAGCAACAACGAGAGACAGCGGAAAGTCAGCAAGAGGCAATGAATCTCTGACGAAGTACTTCAAAAAAAAATGCAGCATTTCCACGGCAAGGCATGAGATATCTTTAAAAATCCAGAGATCGGCATCTTCGAGAAGGAAGGTCACCCAGAAACTTGTGCCACTTCATTTTGATATTCACTCTTGAATGACAACTCCACTCCTGCCAGGCCCTGCCTTGTTCGAATTATAAGATTGCACAGGATCAATGTCAGTCACAGTGTGGATCTCCACTTCCTTGTCATCCTGAGCACCAGGGACCCTAATAATTGCCCTAATATGCCCTAGTACTTCTTGAAGCCTCCGACTTCGTCCTCTGCTTCTTTGAGAGTACTTCGGTGGACTTTATCTCAAACAAACAAGTCACATGTCACACATCTTGAAGACAATGGTGGGAACACAACCTTTGAAAATTAGCATATAGCCGCAAATAATGAGGATAGACTGACCAACAATACAAAAGATATGAAAAGATGCTTGCAACATATTCCAACCATCCCTCGCCACCCAAATTTCACTTGTGAGTCCTCTGACCACTTCGGCTGATGCAGAGGGGCTGGCAGCAGCTTTGCCATAGCCTGGCAGGAGATGTCTTTGAAACTCGTTTCATGGGCCACGTCAAAACGTCGGTTACGTCGGTTTGGTTCCAGTCACCACAGATTATCCAGGTTCTCTCTTGGCGCAGAATCGTCCCACTACTCAACCTGTCTGAATGTTGCCTTCTCAGTAATTGCAGCAATTGGATTGCAGAGAGAAAAATCAGCCATGCCACAGTCTGGTTCTCTGGCGAGAGGGAGTCAGGGAACCTTGGGAAAAGCGGGGTAGAAGCAAATAGCAAATCACCACAGAACTGCACCTGAATGGAGGCCCGAACAATTAGCCATGTTCTAAGTACCAGCTGTAGTGAATCTGGCTGCCAATGACAAGAGTGGCTCACTCTAACTCTTGTTTAAAGTGCGGTTGTGTCATTGCACTCCCTGCGAACTGACAACTAAACCCTACCCTTTCAAAACTTACCGGGCTTTGGAATTGGGCATCCAGACTCGATGGTCAGGACCAGGAACAGGTTCCCATGCACAAACCTCAGGGCTCAGTAGCATGCATTTTGCGAGCGCAGTGCCGCAACTTTCCAATCTCTCCCGCCAAATCAAGATAGAATGATAGAACTTGATAAACTCCAGACGTCCACCTGCACAATAGATCAAAAGATAAAGAAAAACAAGAGGATCTCTGAAGCGATTGACCCCAGCAATGTGCAAAATTTGAGGGAGTGGTGTGGTGTCTTGGCACTTGCATTGTGATGTGGTGCGAAGCTGCGGTTTCTTTAGTATGCCCAGTATGCCTAGTGGCGGATTTTTGAACGTTGGCATGCCCTCATCCTTCACTGCCTGGCACAACACACTTCGCTCAGCCGTAGTTTGATGGCACGTTCGGTTTCGTATGGCCACGAACATAGGCATTCAGAATTACAGTATTTGGTGCCCAGTATAGACTCAAACAACAGGATCCCAAGCTTGACACGCAAACTGAGCTATCTCAAGCTGGGAAGCCCTGGAAGCAAATGAAAGCGGGGCTTCCGAATGGACGCCCAAACAGGTCGCTGAACCTTCATCATGCGGAAGGACTTCTTTGCCTTGGATAGTCAGAAGGCGGACACTTCATCCACTCATGAATCCAAGGGTATTCAATTATTCCCTAGTAATATGGCATAATATGGCTATAGGCTACTGATGGCTACTGATGGTTATTGTATCAATTATAAATGGCTATACCTGGAAGAGAAACAGATGCCAAGATCTGCCAAGATGCATCTGGATCCGTCACGATGTACCTCGGCAGGCTATGCAACTTCTAACATCCCAAGACATCCCAAGACCATTCGCTTCGAGAGTCACATTGGATCATTGGACGCCGTAACGTCTGTAGGAATCCCAGATACAGGGACACGTCTAGATATGTCTGGCTAACGTCTCCCACCGAGCTCCTGGCATAGTGCTTCCTCGTCGAGTTTTCTTAGCCTCAGCTTGAAGCAGTCGAAGAAAAGCGTCAAAGAATTACTTTACTTCGTGTGATCCCCACCATGACATTTATACATTTTGTTACTGGCAAATCTTCTGGCATTCTATCTGACATATCTTCTGGCATTCTATCTGGCATATCTTCTGGCATTCTATCTGGCATATCTTCTGGCATATTATCTACTCAAATCTTCTGGCATTCTATCTGGCAAACATTCTGGCACTTTATCTGGCATATCTTCTGGCATTCTATCTGACATTTTATCTGGCATTCTATCTGGCATACCTTCTGGCATTCTATCTGGCATATCTTCTAACATTCTATCTGGCATATCTCCTGGCACTCTATCTGGCATATCTTATGGCATTTTATCTGGCATATCTTCTCGCATTCTATCTGACATTCTATCTGGCATATCTTCTGGCATTCTATCTGGCTTTTGAGGTCCAGCGGTGCGCACTGAGCTCGGAAGGCCCCAGGTTGAGGTCCAGCGGTGCGCACTGAGCTCGGCAGGTCCCAGGTTGAGGTCCAGCGGTGCGCACTGAGCTAGGAAGGTCCCAGGTTGAGGTCCAGCGGTGCGCACTGAGCTGGGAAGGTCCCAGGTTGAGGTCCAGCAGTGCGCTGAGCTCCGAAGTTGGCGAAGAGCTTGGCCAAGAGTTGGCAAGGCAACAGTGGACGTGGAAGTGGAGGCAGACGTGGTAGAAGAGGAGGAGGACGAGGAGGAGGAAGAAGGACGAGGAGGAGAAGGAGGATGACGAGGAGGAGGATGCGGAGAACAGCTCTGATAAAATCTAACAACCCTCACCTGGCAGGTGGGGAACAAATGCTTTGTTGAAGTCAGTCATTGAATGATGTTCTCTAATAATCTCTAATATTCTTTGCAAATCTTTCGAAACATATCACGGCATTGCCTTTGGTCTCATCACTCCCCGTTACTTCTTGCATCAATTGACTGCAAGTGCTTCCTCGCGGGTGCACTGCTTGAAGTAGGCGCCTCAGGAACTGGAAAGTGCAGAGAATTACCAAAAGGGATATCTCTGTGGCTAAGTGAATCAACACCGCGGGAAAGCTGCAACTGCGGCATCTTACTTTAGAATTAGACGAAAGAAACCCCTCCACGTGTAGTACTTCTCAGAATTCGGTGGAACGACCTTTGTGGTCGGCTCCATGTGGGGTTCTCGATTCTTGGGTAAGGATGGGTAAGGTTATAGATAGTTACAGTATATAAATCACTTTCATGGTATACCAGGTCGGCTGTTGGTGCTAGTGTCCTGGCACATCTTTGCCCTAAGCAAGAACCTATCAACCAAACTAACCAAACTCTGAGCAACGCTCAAAAGGCAAAAAGTAGCAGCATGTAGCGGCACATGACATAGGAGATTCTTTTGGGCTGTCGCCTCACAGAACAAACATATCACCAGCAAGACTAAAAGTCCTCAGAATCCATGAACCAACCATCAAGCAACCATTGATCACCAGCCACCATGGCTATAACAAATATATAATAATTAATATAAAAATATAATAATATATAGTACATTATAAATACTCACCATTTCGCGAGTCTAACACCATTTCCGCCATGGCACGTTGGCCATCCACCACGAAGCAGCCCACGTCGATGCCTTTGCCTCAACCATGCTCAGTGCATGAAGGGCGATGCTCAACATCTGAGGGGAATTGATGCGACACCTACGTCCTAAGTAGCTTGGCAAAATCTGTGCATGCAGCCAGGAGGCGCTTCAGCTGTGTTTCACACGCCTTCTTCAAAGTATCGATGTCCGTAGTGTCTGCCTCACATCCGCAAACATCATACCCTGAAAGTGACTGTACTCAGGGTGTTTGAGAATCAAAGTCTGAACGACAATGCGCAATATCATAAATGGGGACCAGTGCAACACACAAGGAACACAACTATACAAAGGGTCTTGAATGTGTTTCCCTCTTACTGCATCTGGGCAACGACAAAAGCAGATTTGCTCACACTCGGCTTCTTAGTCCCATTTCACGTGGCTTTGGATCAAGAAGAGACCCCAGTTGCATCTTGCTGTCCCAAACTCTGAACTCTGCCTGCGCGACATTCTCTACGCTGGGGCAATCTGCGTCTTCGATAATTTCCCACTCGGTCTTCGCTTCCTAGGCACGGATGTGTCAGGCAGCCTGTCTGAACCAATGACAACGTGACAGCACTTATAGGCTGTTCATCCTGATCCTGCGCGGTTCAACTCATATAACTGTTAGTTGCAGGATTTGCCAGTTCATAGAACAGTTGTTTGCCCTTGGAAGTGAATCTCAGTAAGTCTAAGTCTAAGTACAGTAAGTCTCCTAACATCTTCCGAATGGCATCACCAGCATAACCGGCAAACCAGTACCGCCTCCTTGGCCAATGGGTCAAAGCCCTGGCTCATGGGTTTCACGATTTCACCTGCACAGCCCTGACTCCCTGACTCCGCCCAAGGAAAGGACAGCTGGCATTCCGTTGATTCCAGTGGATTGGAAACATCGAAAGAAAAAGTCCCAACAACATCATCAAAACACTTGAATCAAAGGAACTATTACATATATATATATATATACACATTATGTATGTATATATATATGATATTGATGTATATATAATTAAATGTGTAAAAAGTTATATGTATATTAAACAGAACAAACATCGACACATCCTCAATATGTTCCCAAACCAAGTTTCCCGACCTGGCGATGTCTTAATCTGAAGCTTTCGGCCATCGAGGTGCGTCAACTCCATGGTGAAGCCGCACAGCGCCTGTGGATAACGTGTTACGATTCTGTAGTACTATCAAACTATAAGGACAGTAGAAGGAAGGTGTTGTTATGCAATTGTTATGCATGGATATATATATATATGGTATATACGGTATATATATATTATATATATATGCTATATGTGTGATGATGATTGTAACTATATGTGATTGTCGAAGGAAGCGGCGGTGGGACGAGTCGGAGAAGAGAAGAGCAGAAAAATGAAGATCAGAGAAGAGAAAGTCAGAGGAAAGAAGGTGCAGATGCGTGAAAAGGTAGGAAAGTCGCGAAACACTGTGTTTTTCCAATGATTTGTGGCTCCAGAGGGTCGAAAAGTAGGCTCGCGGCGGGCGCGGAGCCATCTCGCCAGATGAGAGATGAAAAGTTTGCACGCCGCCGTGGTGCGAAGCACATTTCGAATTCAAAAGTGTAAAAAACTGACGGTCTCAGACCACTTTTGGAAGTTGATATGTTGAAAAGGTGCACGCCGTTGTTGTGGCGCGAAGCACATTTCCAAGTCAAAATGTACAAAACACCAGGGTCGGAGCACTTTTGGAAGTTGAGATGTCGAAAAAGTGTACAGCGTTGTGGCGCAAAGCACTTGAAGAGGATCTAGAAAGATGCATTTCGCGTGGCAGGCGCAATACAAGAGACATGTTCATGAGAGATGTTAGGAGGTCAGGGCGCTGATTTCCTGAGAGAGGTTGCATTTTGGAGCACCAGATCTTCAGGTTTGCTGAGATGATTTTGCGTGACAGATGCAGCCCTTCGTATGACCTGGCATCGCTTTCACTGGTACGAGGCCGTCAGCTCTGCATTCAACTTTCCATTTTTGAAGGAAGTCTCCCAGAATTGCTTAGTTTTGGATGTGGTCAAAATCGAAACTTGAAGGAAGTCTCGCAGAATTGCTTCGTTTTTGATGTTGCCAACTTCGAAAATGGAGGACATCTCGCAAAATTGCTTCGTTTTTGATGTTGTCGAGTTGAAACATTGAAGAAATCTCGCTAAATAGCTTTGTTTTCAAGCTTGCAGATAGACAGACAGATAGATAGACAACTACAATTACAACTGCAACTACACTACTACTACAAATAGAAATGCATATGCAAATATACTACGCTACATGACACTACACTGATTACATTACACTACACTAATTACACTACACTACGCTAATTACATGATACTACACTAATTACAGTACAACTACAACTACTACTACAAATACAGCTACACCGCTACACCTTCAACTACAACTAGACTACAATTACGCTACACTACATTACACTACACTAATTGCACTACACTACAGTACACTACAACGACAGCTACAACTACAACCACGCTACATTACACAACACTACAACTACCTCTACAAGGACAAGTACAACTACAACTACACCACGCTACACTACACTAATTACACTACACTACAACTACAACGACAGCTACAACTATAACTACACTACCTTACACTACACTACACTACACTACACTACACTATACCACACTACAGTGCACAACACACAGTACACTACACTACATTACACTACACTAATTACACCACACTACCACTACAACTACTACTACAAATATAGGTACAACTTCAACTACAACTACACGACATTACACTACACTACACTACACCACAACTACAACTGCAACTACAACTACACTACAACTACACTACAACTACGCTACAACTACACTACAACTACAACTACAAGTACAACTACAACTACAACTGCACCACACTACACTACACTAATTACACTTCGTTACACTACACTACAATTACAACGGCAGCTACAACTACAACTACACCACTTTACACTACACTACACTAGACTACACCACACTATACTACAATACAGTACACAACACTATAGTACACTACGCTACATCACATTACACTACACTAATTACACCACACCACAACTACAACTGCAACTACAACTACACACACACACACACTAATTACACTACACTACAACTACAGATCCACTACTCTACACTACAACTACAACTACAACTGCGCTACACCACACTACATCAAGCATTTGTGGGTGAGGTGACCACTGCAACCATTGCAGCCACTTCAAAAAACACAACTCCAACCACCTTTGGGTCCATCAGTCTCTCCTACAGACCGCCTTGCGCGGTACTACTGGTACTGGGTTTAACTGCCAGTTGTGTGTGTGTTTGATGGCTAACGAGACCGAACCTTAAAGACTGAATGGAAACTCTTGGTGCAGTATATGGAACTGTTCAAAATGCGCTGTCATAGCGATCAGTCACGAGTACAAGCAGTAGATGGATTCAGCATGAAGAACCCATTGTTTTCAGATATTTAGAATTTAGACACAGTGTCTTCAAGGCTAGGACTCCCTGGATAGCATCATACCATTTGCCAACTTCACAGCCCTTGAAGTGAATTGTGATCAATTTTGCCTCGACCAAAGAGATCTTGCGCTCAATGAAAAGGTCGGCCCCCTTGCGCTTGAAGTCAGCATGTTCCTTGCGGTGACAGGAAACCCTTTGCATGTCGTAACTACTCCTCTCCAGAAGGTCAAGTCAAATTTAAAGCATTTTAAAGCGGTATGTGACGTATGTGTTTACTCGTTTGGAGGGAAAACAGTTGGCCAATGTTGGCCGGTTGCAAATGGCAATTACTCTTCTGTTTCACTGGCACAGCTCCTGCTGCTTCAGAACAAAAACCACATCGCCGGCATCAGCGTCGGGATGTTCATCAGCCATCTCTCGAAAGACAACCTGCATGTCTGGCTGGGGTTATAGACATCGATGATTGTGGACACAACTGTAGGAAGCGGAACCTTGCCGATTGTAGCACCCTGGTTCTAGCTCGAGCCTGAGCTCCTAGATGCAAGTTTCAATTAATTGCATCATATGACAGCATATATCATCATATTACATCCATATTGTATCATCGCTTGTCCAGCATCGATATGTATCAATATGTATCAATGTGGTATTTCTCGATCAACACATTTTGACCGCAAGTGGCAGCTACGCAAACTGCAGCGCCTTGTGTCCATCTGGCGAACCCTTCTGGATGTGCACCTCCAGGACCTACAGAGGTGCCACTTGAAGATGAGCTGAACAGCTGAGCTTTGAAGATAGTCTATAAGATTCCATAAGTCCATAATATGGAAAAACCTTTCCAAAGTTTCGGAATGTTGGTCTTTCATAAGTTTACCTTCCCTGCCTCTCTTTCCTGCTTGGTCTGGAAGCTTTTTCCCTGTCCACCGCAGTTGTGGCACTGCGACTGCCTCAAATGGCAAGGACCTCCTTCCAGCCAAACTGTTCAACCAAGTCGGCTTTCAAAAACTTCCAATCCCAAGAGAGCCAAAAGATTCGCGGAGAGAGGTTGTTCCTGATAAACAGATTCAAGATCATACAAGATGATACAAGATGATACAAGTGCCCCAAAATGGTGAGGGGGCAGCTTTAAGTATTTTAAGTGACAGGAAGACCAACCCAGCTCCCTAGTCCCAGGTGCATCTGCTGAATCATTGGCCTCAGCATGGTTCCCAGGTGCGGTTGCGGCCCAACTTTGGGGAGGTGAAGCCATTGCGAAGGGTGGAAAATTATCTCGGGAGAAAATGAGTTGTCCTCAATAAGTAGCTCACATTGACAGCATCAAAAGACATTGAAAGTGTTCTTTTCATTTCGGATCAAGACTTCAGACCACAGGGATGCAAAAAAAATTGCGGCGTGTAAAACAATGAGCCGCGAGAGCGCTTCCTGAATGGAACGAAAGTGGCTAAGCGGCTAAGGCTAAGAATCCTGAACCCACTAGAACCCTGAACCAGACATTTGCCTTCTCTTGTCTATAGTTGGCAAAACTCATCGACATGGAACAACGCCGCAAGTACCCTCGCCTGAATACGTTGAATTGCCAGGTACAATCTAAGTCAAGAGCCGCATCTGTATCCATGGAGTACCACCATGTACCACCCGTCCTACTGAATTCTGGGCCAGGGCACCCCATTCGGACCACTTCTACCTTCACGCCACGGCCATCACACTCGCGGCATTCCTGGACACCCTTCTTCTTGTCGATGACCTGACATGCTGCACCTCTGTTGCGCGTTCTTTCTTACACAAATAGAACTTGGAACATCTTGGAAAATTCAAGACCCCCCTTCACCTGGCTTGTAGCTGTGCCAACTTCTGGTTTTGCCACCATAACATCAAGCACGTCGGCTGCGCCTGTCGCGTGATGGCCATCTTCTTGGTGTAGCCCGAATACATCCTCAACCACAAAATGTTTCTCTTTTGGAGCCAGCTGATTCAAAGACAATGAAGATATGTTCTGGGAGGACTAAAATCCATCATCCCAGATTTCTCGTGTGTTCAGATTCCAATCAGCCAGGGAAGGAAACCATAGGAAACCTAGCCATCATGTATTATCATGTGCTGCCAGGAAACTGCTCCAAGGTCACTTTCAGGTTCTGAACCACGTCCTGCGATCTTGGAAGCCCCAGGGAGCAATAGGGCCTATAAGGATAGATGCTCCAAGCATCCGGAGACAGTCATGACAGTCATGATATTGGATAAGCCCCAAATGGGATCAGGAAAGCATCAGGTTGATGGCGGTGATTCCGTTGCTGAGATGACCCCTCCTTGGTCTTTTGACGCCTTCGGGTTCCACCACCGCGACGTCCACCACCTCAGTGCGACATCAAAATTCCGTGGCCGCCGCTGGCTGCCTAGGTGAATCTTGGAGGGTGTCGGTGGTAGAGTCCAGAGATGTCCAGAGATGTCCAGAGATGTCTACAGAGTCTACATCTATCTGAGTCTATCTGATTATCGTTGATTATCGTTGATTATCTACATGACATTACATCTTTACCACCTGTAAAGAGTCAAGATCCATCAAATGGCCTGCCATGAATCCCGGCCCACCACATCTACAGCGGGAGCCCCACCTCCGAAGAAGGCTTCAAAGATGTCAGACGCATCGCCAGGGCCGTCATTGTCCAAGCCCTCCTCTCCTAATCAGGGCTCTTGTGTGTCAGCAAACCCAACGCAAGATCATTTCTACTCGGCTGCCATGATCATGAAAACTGCTCATCCTTTGGACTGCCCAAGAATAGAGAAATCCATCCAAGCGCCACACATGTTGACTTGAGAGGGGGAACACGAAAGGCAGGTGAGCAAGAAAGGAACCGAAGAAAAAAGGAAGGGGAGAGGGCAAGAGAAAAAACATGCAGTGGAGTCTGGTAAAAGCGACGCGGCCATTTTCTTTCTAAAAACATGAAGCGGGGTCTAGTAAAAGCGACGGAAAGGCTTCGGCGGTGTGGTTGGGGTTGGCGGTGGTTGTGGTGTTCGTGGTGTTGATGATGCTGGTGGTGTTGTTGATATTGTTGATGTTGGTGTTGCTGGTGTTGCTGGTGTTGGTGGTGTTGTTGGTGTTGTTAGTGTTGCTGGTGTGGTTGGGTTTGCTGGTGGTGTTAGTGTTGTTGGTCGTGTGTTGGTATTGTTCGTGTTGTTGTTGTTTGTGTCGTTGTCGGTGTCGTCGTTGTTGTTGTTGTTGTTGTTGTTGTGGTTGTGGTTGTGGTTGTGGTTGTGGTTGTGGTTGTGGTTGTTGTTGTTGTTGTTGTTGTTGTTGTTGGTGTTGGTGTTGGTGTTGGTGTTGGTGTTGGTGTTGGTGTTGTTGTTGTTGTCGTGGTTGTGGTTGTGGTTGTGGTTGTGGTTGTTGTTGTGGTTGTTGTTGTTGTTGTTGTGGTTGTTGTGGTTGTTGTTGCTTTTTGGTATTGTTCTTGTTCTTGTTGGTGTTGGTGTTGTTCTGATGGTTGTGATTGTGGTTGTGGTTGTGGTTGTGGTTGTGGTTGTGGTTGTTGTGGTTGTGGTTGTGGTGTGTGGTGTGTGGTGTGTTGTGTGTTGTGGTTGTTGTGTGTTGGTTGTTGTGTGTTGGTTGTTGTGTGTTGGTTGTTGTGTGTTGGTTGTTGTGTGTTGGTTGTTGTGCGTTGGGTGTGTTGGTTGTTGTGGTTGTTGTGGTTGTTGTGGTTGTTGTGGTTGTTGTGGTTGTTGTGGTTGGGACGGGGGTCACATTCGCCCCTAAAAGAGGGTCACATTCGCCCCTAAACCAAAAGGGGTCACATTCGCCCCTAAACAACAATAATTTAAATATGTTACTCAACCCTTTAGGGTTTAACCTGGGGACAAGGGGACATTTAGGGAGACTGGGGTTTGGGGGGGACATGGGGGCATATGTTGACTTGTCTCTCTATTCCATATGTTACTCAACCCTTTAGGGTTTAACCTGGGGACAAGGGGACTTTTAGGGGGACTGGGGTTTAGGGGGGGACCTGGGGGCATATGTTGACTTGTCTCTCTATTCCATTTGTTACTCAACCCTTTAGGGTTTAACCTGGGGACAAGGGGACATTTAGGGGGACTCGGGTTTAGGGGGGGACATGGGGGCATATGTTGACTTGTCTCTCTATTCCATATGTTATTCAACCCTTTAGGGTTTAACCTGGGGACAAGGGGACATTTAGGGGGACTGGGGTTTAGGGGGGGACATGGGGGCATATGTTGACTTGTCTCTCAATTGACATATGTTACTCAACCCTTTAGGGGTTTACCTGGGGACACGGGGGCATTTAGGGGGACTGGGGAACCTTTAGGGGGGACTTGGGGGCATATGTCAACTGGCGACGAGCTACACCTGTTTGCTGCCACATGCAAGCAAGTTGATTGAAATGTCTCTTGGAAGGTAACATCTAAAGCGTCTTCGAAGTTGCTCGAGATGGATGTTACAACGTAGGAATGGTAAACCGTAGCATGATAGTGTCCTGGAAGTTGATTGAAATGGCTGTTGGAACGTAGCATCCGAGGCATCTTCCAAGTTGCTCGAACTGGATAGTACAACGTAGCATCCATAGTGTCCTAGAAGTTGATTGAAATGTCTCTTGGAAGGTAACATCCAAAGCGTCTTGGAAGTTGCTCGAAATGGATGTTACAACGTAGCAATGGAACACCATAGCATGCATAGCGTCCTGGAAGTTGATTGAAATTGCTGTTGGAACGTAGCATCCGAGGCATCTTCCAAGTTGCTCGAACTGGATAGTACAACGTAGCATCCATAGTGTCCTAGAAGTTGATTCAAATGGCTGTTGGAACGTAGCATCCAAAGTGTCTTCCAAGTTGCTCGAACTGGATCTTACAACGTAGCATCCATAGCGTCCTAGAGGTTGATTGAAATGTCTCTTGGAAGGTAACATCCAAAGCGTCTTGGAAGTTGCTCGAAATGGATGTTACAACGTAGCAATGGAACACCATAGCATGCATAGTGTCCTGGAAGTTGATTGAAATGGCTGTTGGAACGTAGAAAAACACGTGAATATCACTCTCTAGGGTGGAAAAAATCCTTTTGAGGCTCTGAAACTATTGCGCCTGCCACGCAAAAGCAGGGGTCACATTCGCCCCTAAACGAGGGTCACATTCGCCCCTAAACCCACTTCATCCCCCTTCATTTAGGGGCAAATGCGACCCAAGATGGTTTAGGGGCAAATGCGACCCCCGTGCCTTGTTGTGGTTGTTGTGGTTGTTGTGGTTGTTGTGGTTGTTGTGGTTGTTGTGGTTGTTGTGGTTGTTGTGGTTGTTGTGGTTGTTGTGGTTGTTGTGGTTGTTGTGTGTTGTGGTTGTTGTGTGTTGTGGTTGTTGTGTGTTGTTGTGTGTTGTGGTTGTTGTGTGTTGTGGTTGTTGTGTGTTGTGTGTTGTTGTGTGTTGTGGTTGTTGTGTGTTGTGGTTGTTGGGTGTTGTGGTTGTTGTGGTTGTTGTGGTTGTTGTGTGTTGTGGTTGTTGTGTGTTGTGGTTGTTGTGTGTTGTGGTTGTTGTGGTTGTTGTGTATTGTGGTTGTTGTGTGTTGTGTGTTGTTTGTTGTGTGTTGTTTGTTGGTCGTTGTTGTCGTTGTTATCGTTGTTGTCGTTGTTGTCGTCGTTGTCGTTGTCGTTGCCGTTGTCGTTGTCGATGTGGTTGTCGTTGTGGTTGTCGTTGTGGTTGTGGTTGTGGTTGTGGTTGTGGTTGTGGTGTGTGGTGTGTGGTGTGTTGTGTGTTGTGGTTGTTGTGTGTTGGTTGTTGTTGGTTGTTGTTGTTGTTGTTGTTGTTGTTGTTGTTGTTGTTGTGGTTGTTGTTGTTGTTGGTGGTGGTGGTGGTGGTGTTGTTGTTGGTGGTGGTGGTGGTGGTGGTGTTACCCCTTCAGCGTTTTTTCTCGGTTCCGTAGTGGCCGAGAATCGTCAAATAAGTGGTGTTTTCGCGTGTTTTTGCAACTCTCGGAGCAAAAAACACCGTAAATACCAATGTTTTTGGCGGGTCGAAAGCCCAAAACCACGGTATTTACGATGTTTTTTGCCTCTGGTAGCAAAAGGCACGGTATTTACAGTCTTTTTTGGCCAGCACCTAGCAAAAACACTGGTATTTACGGAGGTTTCACCATGTAACAAAATGTGGTTTCTTGATCCGAAAAGAACAAAAATACTGTAAATTACAATGTTTTGAGTCTGCTCTTAGGGTGCGTGGGAGGCGTGTCTGTAAGTCATACTTTTGAGCATCTTGAAAGCCTCTACATACCCATCTAGCCTTGAACTTCTTGAACTGTCCATCCTTATCAACCTTGATGGTAAGCACCCATCTGCCAGTGACATAGTTATCAATCTTATGACGTCTCTTGTCTTTGAAGGTCATGGCAGTGAAATCCAGAAAACTTCTGAATTCTTCAAGCATGGCTTGTTTGATCTCCTTAGCATACTTTCTCAAGACTTCTTGAGTGATAACTGATTCTGCCTTTGGCTGCTTCTTTCCATTGTTGGCAAGATACTGTTCAAACTGTTTGAACCCAGTAACATCGTATGAACCAAAATCAGGAGCAGCTTGGATTTTGGTCCTAAAGGAACAAAAACAGTACCATCAATGTCGACAAAATGAGAGTGGTCTGATGTATAAGGTTCAGTGTCCACATCTTCTTCCTGAAGCTGAGCAATGTCTTCCTCAGTCAAAACAGGAGTATCGTCTGTTTCATATGGTTCTGTTTCATTATCATCGTTTTGTGATGATACCAATTCTGGTGTTCCTTGTGAAGACTGCTGTTGCGCTGGCTGCGCAAAATCACCTGGCGTGAACGATGTTGGTGTAGCAGTAGGCAATGGAATTTTATTACCATGTGAACTTGAGGCAGTAGGATCATGTGAAGGTCCTTCATCTTCTTCATCATGAAGTTTCTGAGTAGGAACTGAAATAGGCTGAACATGACTTGGTAATTGAACCTTTGGCCTCTTGATAATCACCTTTGCCTTTGCCTTTGGTAAAGCATCAGTAGAATCAGTTGAGATCTGTCTCTGTTTCCTTTGAACTCTGATAGGCTCTGACGTCGGATCAGGTCCTGGTGAAGAATCGTCATCTTGTCCAGGACCAGCAATCTCTTCGATTGGAATGTCAGGATTAGAAAACGGAGTTGATGGTGAACTTGGTTGATGTGTCTCCCCCGAGTCCTGTATTCCTGGCATATCCAAATCATCATCAGGTGGTGGCCCATAATCATCTGCAATGATATACTCTTGATCATCATCATCATCATCATCATCTGGATCTGGTCCAGTGTTGTAGTCAGGTTGATTGTCATCATCCAGAGGATCTTCTGGTTCATCACCACTCAACATCTCATCATCATTGATTGGTGGAACATCACCATGCTGATCTGGGTGAATGGGATCGTCACCATTTTGTGGTGTGCCTCCTTGAGCAGGAGGATCTGCTACTCTCCGCTTGATTGCACCAGTCATGTCACGTGAGAAGACGATCATACTCCATTCATGGATTTTGAATTGTTCATGATGTGGATACAACTGTGACACAAACATGAAGTAAACATGATCATAGTCACCAGGTTTCCAAATGAGTAAGACAGCATCTTCAGGATGTTGAAACAAAGGACTCACTCTTCCATAAGTTCCTCTGAACATACTACAGTCTTCAAAGTACATTTGAGGCAAAGCCTTCTTTCTGACATCTTGAAGTCCAGGAATCAATTCCATGATTCTGGGGTCAGTTGATTCTCTGACACTAGCCTCTGTACTCCTTGGCAACTGATCAATCTTTCTCAATGTTTGAACAAGTAACTGAGTGGTAAACCTCTGTGGAAGTATGTGCTTCAATGGCACTGGAATAGAGGTCTCAACATGATGCAAGTCTTGCAACAAACATGAACACTCAGCACCACGGTCCAAAAACATTGATGTGCCACACAATGCTCCATCATCAAAATGTTCCAACAGATCTTCAAACAAGAAATACTGTCTCATGCCCTTCCAAGGTACAAGTTGTGTGAAGTGTGCAATGAATGAACACAAATGTGATGGTAAGACTTTCCATTGCGGATCAGTCCAAAGCTTCCCTTCTCTCTGGAAGGCATGCTGTGGTTCCAACATATCAAAGTCTTCATCATGATTGTAATACACACGCAAGTTCTTGATTGAAGGATCACAACGACAGTAGTTTGTCATGTCAAGGTTGAAACAACCTATGTGATACAGGATCCTGTCCTTTTGAAGTTTCTTCCAAGTCAAGAACTGAGCAAATCCTGAATCAGGTGGGGCAATCACCAAGAAACCTTTTCCTCGGTCAACTTGCCATTTCATCACATCAATGCAAAACTTGAATACCGAGTATTTCCAGGAATTTGGTGAAGGATTTGTGATCAACACATATTCAGGATTCAATTTCTAAAGTTGTTTCCAAACTTGGTTTTGTTTCCTTTTGCTATTGAAACTCCAACCATGCTTGTGGCCAATGGGTTCACCAACCTTCATGTTCAATTGTGCCATGTGCCAATTGAGACCAGTGTTGCTACTGAAGAGTTCCACAACATCACATTTGCCAGTTTGACAGAACCAGTGAGCTTGTTCACCTAAATAGGCTTCAGCATATTCAGCTATATCTGGTTCATAGTCATCGTCATCTTCAACTGCAAGTGGAACAGGTTCTGATGTGTCAAGTCCAGGAACAGCAACATCATGCCATTCATCATGGTCACGTCTCACCTTTGATTGATTGACACGCATGACTGAGTTGAAAACATGAACATTGACCATAGCACCTTCTTGAGAGATAACAGTACCTCTGATCCATCTTTCCTTCTTCCATGCCTTTGAAGCAATAGAGTTAGCATTGACAGGGGAACTCCAAACGAAAACCTTGTCACCTGGTTTGTAAGGTCCATCTGATGGCATTGTTCGTTTGGCCATGTCATGTCTGAGGTCAGCAGCTTGTCTGGCTTCCTGATGTGCCCTCAGCGCTAACCTTTGCAACTCAAGTTGGGTTTTGTCTTCACGTAAAGGATCAACACTAAGTTTAGCAGGATCAGAAGTCTCAATGTCCAGAAGATCTGGTGGTCGTCTACCAGTGGCAATTTCCAAAGGAGAATAACCACTAACAGTGAGTTGAGTGTTTCTGGCCCAAACAGTACGCTTCACGGCTTCTCTAATGGTAATTCCCTTGAACCTATCATCTTCAAGGTTCTTGGACATGATTTGCAATTGTCGTTTGAAAAGTCTGACAGCTGATTCAGCTCTGTTAGGCCATGGGGTTCTTGAACCACAGGGACATTCCTTGATACCATGAGTTCGGTAAGTCAGAAAGTCTTCTTGGAAAAATGCTTCATCACCTACGATGGGTTTCGGCATACAATTATGTTCATCAGTCCACAACCTAAGAGCCTGAATGGTCTCCTTGTTGTTCAGTGAGTTTTGTGCCGTAGCCCAAAGTAAGTTGGTTGCACCATCAAGAACAAGCAACACCATGTACTTGTTCTTCCTCAACTGAATTTCAGCATGATCAACAAAGATAACATCTCCAAAGTTGGTGGATCGTATGCCTTAAATTCTGGCCCGCGGCGGTGGTGCAATTGAAGTACTACACACACGACACTTGTTGCACATGTCTTCAAACTTTTCATAGACAGAGTCAGGAAGTCCCAACATGGAAGTCCTTCGTCTGAATTGAGTAGGAGACATGTGATAGTGTTTAATGTGAAGTTTGTAAAGTTCCACACTATCCTCCAGTTTCCGGAGCATCTTTCTATATGCTGGTGTCATGGCTTGCACTTCACTACCAGGCAGTGGAATTGAAACTCGCCTAGGCTCAAGAGCATCACTACCTAGTTTCTCGATTTGACTTTCTCAACGCACCATTGGTCACTGCCGAAAAATAATTAGCGAATCCGCTGTTTTCTTTTCGACATGTCCTTAGTAACATCCGCTACTTTCAAGTAAGTTTCTTTTCGAATCCACTGCGTGACTTCAGCTCAGTTTTGCCGATTTGCCATTGTGTAGATAAACAGGAAGATTAAGGCGTCTTCCCAAGACAGCTCACACTTTTACTCTCTGCGTATTGCCAGTTCGTGCGGTGTCCACAGGGTTACTCTATATACCTCTTGAGCCTTGAGGGCGCATATAAATGTGCTCAATACTCATGCATGTACTTCTGTAGGTATTAGGTCAAAAGAAAAACGCAGGCACAAATTCAAAAGCAATGAGTAGAGCACTACGCCTTGTCGTACAAAATTGGTAATAAGAGTGCTGATCTTGAATCAAGCATTGAAGTAGACGCTAGGGCCCCTCTTCAAGAACAAGGGGGGGTACTGAAATGACTAGCAATCTCCTGAATAATCAGGTAACGGGGCTGGCCGCCCTCCCCTTTACTTCGTAAAGCAAAACTCAAGGTAGCCCCACCGGAGCTACCTTTCGTGACTTGAAAGCCACCCCTGTTCTAGATGTCAGCGTGTTTCCCTGAAACCTATGGTCAGAACCAAACAATGCTAGAACGGACTTGTGTCAAGAGCGGGCCCACCATAGATACCATAGGTTTCTGGTTTCTCCCCCTTGGCTGCCCAGCCGAATTTGTCGTACTTGGCTCGCTTGTCCTGGTCACTCAGCACCTCCGAACTCAGAGCATGGGAGACAAGGCCAGCAAGGCCAGCAATCAGCTCGTGATATAATATGGACCTTGCAATCAGCTGTATGGCAACAATATGGCAACTACACCCCAAGAGCCTACCATAGCCTACCTATACTAAGGCAGAGTTTGGTACCACTGGGAAGTCTTGTTCTTTCAGAGCAAAGTGGAGATGTCATCATAAACAGGGTCGAATGAAACAAAACAGCGAAGCTGGCTTCTGATATGAGTCCATCAATGAGTCATGCTCAATCGCTGTGGTATGATCGCGGGTCATTGTTTTTTTCAGTTGTCCTACTAAGGTCACACCAAACCGGATAGGTGTTCCTTTCTGAGGTTCAGAGAGCCAACACTGAAGCAAAAAAAGTTGCTGGTTCATCGTAATTTATTTCGTAGGCTCCACAGGTATAGCTGGTGCATTAATATCTACAAACTTCATCAAAGTTGAACAAATTTCTACTCACATGGGCCTGTCCGGAAATGGGGGTTCCCATGGGTTCCCCCCCAAAATGGCTATTGGTTAATGGGGAAATATCATGATATATACATTATTAACATTGATTAACCATCAAATAACCATCAAATAACCATCAAATAACCATCAAATAACCATCAAATAACCATCAAATAACCATGAACATCCATGAACATCCATGGACCATGAGATTTGGGAAACCTCCCATGGCTATCCCGGCCTCATAGGCGCGGGTGATCTCCTTGAACTTCTCAGGGTCACCGCCCTGGCGACCAACAAAAATCGTTTTTTCACCAAGATCAAAATACATTTAAATACCATGATTACCATTGATTACCATGGTTTTTTGGAGATCTTTTTAGTTTTTGGGAGGATTTGCGGCAACTTGAAATTTGGCCAGGCTCATGCGTCGCCTTGTCTGGGTGATGCTTCACGGCCAGCCTTCGGTAGGCCTGAGAGTTTGGAGTGACAGTAACAAGTGTTGGAACGTACCCTGACACGGAAGGGGCAAAAAGATACTGAGGAATGTTACAGCATGTTACAGCATGTTACAGCATGTTACAGCATGTTACAGCATGTTACAGCATGTTACAGCCTCAGTTCAACATGGTTCAACCTGAGCTGTTCGATGCGGCGGATTTGGCCTGGCCTTCTTGATCTCGGCCTCGTTGGAATTCCTCGGCTTCAAATGTGGGGATGTCGCCTTCGACTCGTCGACCATTCCCAATGCACTCCATGGACCAAAGGTCGAGTCCGTGCATTTCCATTTCGGAGGCGCCCCCTGAAGACCCTCACTTTGAAGTGCTACACTTTGAATGCTTGATTTAGCATGATGGAATAGGAAGAAAGCACGAATGAACTAAGTTCCACATGGTTCACACTCTGAAGTGAACATCTATTTTTTTACCGTTTTTTTAATGCTTTTTCCGTGTCGCCAAGACACTTGTCCACTTCCAAGAGTTTGTAGAACTTGCTGGTGTCAACATTTTTGGATCGGCCTGCAGGTTGAGGAAATGCCCTTCACAGGACTCAATTCCCATTGCATCCTTCAAGGAATCTCCACACGCCCAAAGATCATCAAAGATCCGTATCAATGACCCGAAGTCACAGACACAGAGACTTTTCAGCTGTGCCCGGCTGTGCCCGGCTGTGCCCGTCAGCCTCCTCCTTTGCCACCCATCCCGGGAAAGTCACCTGGCGCAAAAAAGCCATGGTCGCTGAGTGGCTGAGTCGCTGAGTGCTGTTGTCCAACCTCCAGGAAAGCCGCCGAAGAACATGACTGATGAAAACCTGAGCAAAGATGGCATCAAGTGAATCGACACTCGGCCACAAAAAAGACCTTGACATTTTGGCAGGTGCATGCTACAAACATTATCATATCAATCATATCCTGCGTCTTCTGTCAGGATGTCCATTCATGGACGTTTGCAGCGGTATCCAATAGCTATTTGGCTGTAGCTAGATCTGAAAGACAAAGTCAAAACGAAGTACCTTTTGGATCCTTTTGGGTTCTTCGCATCCCACAACAAGCTCAGCAGCTCAGAAAAGTCCTTCTTGCTTCCAGGTGACTATGGCAATACTACTGATATCTACGTCTACTTCTACTGCTACGATGTCTTTTTTGGGCCAATGCCGCAGCTCGAAATGTGAGGAAGGTGCAGTCCGACCTGCGTCAAAAGGTGGTCAAATCTTGGGATCAACGGAATCAACGGAATCAATGCTCCCTCCTGCAAACAACTCATGAAGATTAATAATATGTTATTCTTATTATTTAAACAATATTTATATAATATTTATATAATATTTATATAATATTTATATAATATTCATAATATAATACAAAAGTGATAATAGTGATAATGATATCTGTTCAAAGCAGAGTACTTGGCTTTGCGACTGAACTGCAGCTTGCCGCAGCTGCAAGCTCTTTTTCCATCATTTTCCACCAAATGGCGTAAGGTTGTTGCTGAAAACTGGTCAGCGGACCTGGCACGGGTGCGAACCATTTGCATGTACGAAAGGTTTCGGGTGGTCAGCAGTCAAATCAACTACTTGGTGCTTAGTTGCAGCTATACACACCTCTTGCCAAGGCAAGACTGGTGGCAAAACTCAGTATGGCTGGCTTTCCTTGGAAGGTCTTGGAAGATCTTGGAAGCTTCAATGAAAGATTCGAAATGGGTTCCAAACAGAACATGAACCCCTCCATAGCCATGAGCAGATGAAGGCCAGGACAGCATCGGTGACTGTGCTGTTCGGAGCATGCAATCACCCAGGATTGAGCCACACGCTTTTTTTGAGGCCGCACTGGCAAGGGCCTTTCCTCTGCTCGGAGGGATGTGAAACTATGAAGCACCACTCAAACCTCAGTGCGTTCAGAGGTATCTTTGGCAGTGGATCAAGACGAAATGATTTCGTATTCAAATGCATGCAACCTGTCTATAATTCACGCTCATAGGTTACGACAAGGCAGGCATTTAACAACTTGCGCCATAGTGCAGAAAATGGGAAAGCACCCTTTCTTCATGGCTCGGCTGATGTATCCTCTTTGATTTTTCTTTGCAATCTGAACACGGTTTAAAAACCGCCGCAGGAAATGCACGTGAACCTATCTATAAACTTGGCAAAATGTTTCTCTGTTCTGAATCAAGGTGTTTCAAGGTTTTGCCTAGGAAAGCCTCATAAAGTGCTGGATGGTTGGGCTTGCGTTGCCTTCGTACAACTGCTTTCATATGGCTCTTGAGAGAGTTCCTATCGGTTGCTGGACTCAACTGCAGGCACAGCGGGAAAGAGTTGAAGCATCAGCCAATTTCTGCCAAAGCACCGTCGTGTCAGTTCATTTCTGCGATCTCTCGCGTAGGCTACACCTTATAGAGAATTGACATCAAAATCAAAGAGAACATCTTCCCGATGGCCATATCAACACTTTCCCATCCCAAGTCACCAAATCCGATCCGTAGCCCCATAATGCGAATCTTAATGCCACGGTGAGCTGAGCCCTCGCACCAGCTCACCACTAGCAGGGCCACAGCTAAGCCACCTGGATTCCATTGGATCCCACCGTGTCATCCCAACGGTCCCAACGGATCAGCCATGGCCTGCACCCAGGATCCAGGATCGGTTCGTCTGAGCCAAATCTTCATGCCTCGGCATTGAGAGTCAAAATAGGAAGCAAAACACGTTCACACTTCAAGCTTCAAATATCTGAAAAATCAGAATATCAAAACTTGAACCAGGTGTCCTCAGGATTTAAGGATGATTCTGAACGTCGATGTCTCAAAAACCACACCGGAATCAAATCTTGGGCCCCACACCGGACTGATTCCTTCTGCAAATACCTAGCTGTGTCCTTGCGAACGAAATTCTCCGCAAGGGCAATGACATATGCTGACAAAAACACAAAAGCTTTGACCATCTTTGGCCTCTGAGATGCCTCTCAGTGCATTCACTCAGATCGGGAAATAGAGTTTCGGCCAGGTCTTTCACCACAGAAATCATCCGCCAGTTGGTCCAACATCACCATGGGACATCCCTCTGCCTCTGCTGGCTGGCCATCGCTGCAATTCAGCGGGCTTGTCCAGCACGAATCCACACGGAAGACGCGATCTGGTGCAGCCAGTGGTTTAGAAGCTGGGGTTGATAGGCTCAGCAAGGGACATCAACAATCAAGAATCAAAAATACTTTTGTTTTAATCATTTTTTGCAACTTCCAGGCAAAGGAGAAGTGATGTGTCAATTGAGAAGCTGGAATGACTACTACAAGTGTTCAGCAAAAATGCCTGCCCCCACACCGGAGCAATCTCACCACGGTTCAAATATTTGAAGTCTCTATTCTAGTATGCAATACCTGGAACCCGGGGCCTGTGTCAGCGGACAGTTTCACGGGCCACGGCCGTAGCAGGAATGGCTGCTCTTTGACCACTTCGACCACCTAGCAGCAGTAACCGATTGTCAAAAGCTCGAAGCGGTTGAAGAGAGTGTGAGGCGGGATTGGGCTTGGCATTGGATGGGTTCAGCCTCTTGCAAGCAAAAATCTTTAAGCAGACAGGTTTGAGATGTCCAACACTACTGAACCATTCTGAACCTCCAAAATCCCCAAATCCACTTTCTCCACACTTTCCCAGAAAATGTCAGGAGTCTTTGGATTTGCAGCTCTTTGCCCAGCCTTGCTGGCCATCTTTAGGTGAGCATGTTCCTCCTTGACCAGCTGGACCTGTCAACGATTCAGAGACGATCAGAGATCAAGGGGAAACCAAGCGACTGGCAAGTCTTCACCACAGAATTGCTAATCTGCTTGCAAACAGTTCGACAGTTCTTAGACGTTTGCACTACTTTGCACCACCATCACTTCCATCCACGAATCCACCATATGGCGTGAAATGATGAGTCATTGCAACCCCTTGGTAATACATACCGTGAAAGATGTTCACCCAGCAACACCCAAAACATGAAGATGGTATGTTTTTTCTCAAAATTCCGTTGGAAGAAAGCACACCAACGCATGTTTTGGCATGATTTGGCATGATTTGGCGTTGCTTGGTTCTGTCCAATCAATCATCAGTCACCTTGTACTCCCAGCAACTCAAGAGGAATGAGCTACTGGCAACTGGAAGAAACAACTTGTGGCGCATCTCTCGCTTACCCATTTCAGGCGCACCTTTTGTGACAGGTCCTGGCTTCGCACCGCTTCATGTTCTTCGAGAAAAGAGGCCTCTCATGTTTTGGTCCACAGAGATGGAATAACATCTGATGAATCTGATGTGCATCTGGTATTGCTATAGCTGCAATGTATTGCTCAGGCAATAAACGACAGAAATTGATCACGCCCCACATTGCCTCCACCACCCCAACCTTTCTGACTTCGACCTCGCACGTTTGACAGGACAGATCAACATGGATCAACGTGCATGCTCATCAGTGGGACATGTGGAACCTATATGACGTCTATATGAGCAGAGATTCAACGTGCACAAGTTGTTTGATGTTTCAAAAAGCATCGCGAAAATGTCACGCCATGGAGCTGGTTCTGGGAGGTCATCCACTTCAGGCACCTTGAAACAACCTGGTGGCGGGTGGTTCACACTGCTTCACACTGGTTCATGGTGAAGCAAAAACGAACAAAAACGAACATCTTAAAACCTGCCATAGGGATCCATAGGCCATAACATGAGTATAACATGCCATAATACAATAAGCTTATCAAACATTGTTCAACTTGCGTGCCGAAGGTTTCCTCGACACACTGCTTTTTCACATGCTTTGTCTGAAAATAGGTATGGGAAAACCCATCAAAATGCCATGGTTTATCATCATTTTCCCCATCCAAATTACCATTTGGGTGGGTATGCCCCATTGATCGGCAAGCAACGAATCTCAATGCCAAGTGGAACGATCTTGCCGCCCTCGCATCGCCGGGTGAAAGATGTCTCCTTCAAAAGACTTTCCTTGGCTGCAGTCAACACACCCTTGGCTGAAAGCTCCAATGTAAAATGCTTTGGAAAAAATACATAACTTCCATCGAGAAAAAAGAAATGTCATTTTTAAATGTTTAAAATCATTCACATTCCATCCTTCGAACATCTTCGAACCATCCCACATCATCCCTCACATCATCCCACTGTTTTTATGGGCTGCGCGGCTGCGCCAAGCATCCAGTTTTGCGGGCTCCACCTCCTCGGTGTGTCCCTTGAGAAATCTGACCTCAGATCTTCCCTGGTGGAAATCAGGCATTCCGAAAATCGTTAAGCATGGCCCTTAAGCATGGTCCGAAAGCAAGATAAGATTCTGTCACGATGTGGGATTTAAGTGGCGGTCTCAGTGGTCTCAGCATTTTGACGAGTGGCTTTGTACTTGTTGTTTTTCTGGTCGTAGCCGAGAAGTTCAGCAACTTCGGTTCCATGCACGACCACCTGGTAGATTGTGGCACTGCAAAGGGATGCTGCACTGCTACGCTGACAATCCTGCACAATATCACCTCCGTGGCCTTTTAGTCGCCAAGTCACTCATTTGGAAGAACGATGCACCACTTCAACCCCATTCACATCATCTACATAACAACAGATCAATGGACCACCGGAATCATCTGTGGAGGGTGCCAGGGTGCCAGGGTGACAGATGTCCACAGATGTCCACAGATGTCCACAGATGTCCACAGTGTGCCTGCTGCTTGGGCTGGAGTTCCTTCAAGCCCTTCACAGCAATTCGCATAGGCATCTCATTCTCCTCTTGTTGACACCTGCTGCCCAAGGATCCCAAGTGGATCCGAACCAGAACCAAAAGGGTGATAGAAGAGATTGACGCCACGACTCTGTATCAGCATCAGTGGTCCGAATATGCCCCAGCAGTCAAAACCTCTGGTATCATCAAGCTTCGACAGTTTGCAGTTGCCTGTAGTGGACCAATCCATCTCCAGAGAAGCTGTTCACCACAGGTGGGCCTCAGCTACGCCAACTTCAAACACTTCACACACTTCACGCTTGAAGCGGTGCAGTTGGTCAAGATTGGTCAAGATGCTCTTGTTGCATCTTGCAGCACCTAACTGAGACATGATGCACTATCTCTAAGTCGCTAAGCGCTGGGCTATCTTTGGAGATCACCTCAGCACCCAGCCCACAGGGATTGCGTGGGATAGCACCACTTCAGTGCGGTTCCATGAGAGCCAGAGCAGCCAGATCTCCGCCAAAGCACATCTTGCGCAGTCTCATTGGTGCACAACTCAGCCATTGCCCAGGAACATGCCGGGAAGTCATCTTCCTTGCAGGAACACATTGCTATCATTGCTCAACAGTTTTCCAAGGGTTCCAAGGGGTTCCAAGGATCTGGCTAAGTCAAAAAATTCTTCACTAACCTTTAAATAGCTGAAATAAGGCCATTTCAGGATGAGTTCCCTCATTAACCACCATTCCAGTGAGGTGGCGAGGTCGTTATCAGCAGGATGGCCAGAACCCTGCAACTGGTTCCTTGGTGGCTTCAGCCAAGGTTCCCAAGTGGTCATGTCCTTCGGAGACATCTTCAAGGCCACCTTAGGCAGCTCATGCCCTACTGGAGGACCTCTGTTTGCATGCTAAAGACCTCCAAAACTACGCAGCCACAAGATATTAGATGAAGATGGGAAAGCGAAACCAGGCATAAAGCTTACCGGACACCTGTCCTTGGAAAGACGCCAAGACACAGGACTGTCGGAGGAGTGCTTGGACACTTTCCAAAAGCCATTGTCACACGAGAGCTCGGACACGCCTTTCCTCGGCAATTCAGAAATCCTGAAATAGACAGACGTGACATGAGAGAATTGGTGCTGCTTCTTGCCTGTACTGAAGATTCGCCGAATTGTGATGGAGCTCTCAGTCTTGGGATTTCATGACTTTTCAGCGTCCCCTTCCCTGACGTCCCCCCCAGAAAAGTAAGGAAACAGTAAATTATCAAGACATATTAAGGCATATTAAGACCTTATTGAGCTATTACGGGGTTTCTCACCTATGATGCATGAACGAAATGAGCGTGAACATGACACTCTAGGAAAACTGTACGAATGTCCCTTATTAACACGCTAATGACAACAAGCATGTGAAAGAACACAAACAATTGCCAGACTCAACCTACAACAGGGTATATTAAGTAGTAGTGGTCATTTATTTTGTCCTGATGAACAGCTTTTGGGTCGTGGTTTTTGTTCTAAACTTTGCTCATTGCTGCGGTTTCGGCCAAGCTAGGAGCACTAGCTGTCTCAACTATAAGGTGACGCACCACAAAAAAAATGCGCAAACAAATCAATACTCTGCAACATCAGCTGTTGGCTAAATCATCTGCTGTCCGCATCCAGCCATCCACTCCATTTGCTCAACACACCCGCAGACTCTTGCACCACAATGATTACGTGTCAAGGCACAAATTAATGAAGCCTGTTCGGCATTTGAAAGTGATTGGTCTGCATAGTGCTCCAGATAGAACCTCAGCGGCACAGTGCGAATACCAGCAAATTCAAATGCAAAAAAAAGTAGTAAACAGTAAACGTGTTTTCATATGATTCAAGTGATCCGAGAAGTCTTTTGGTAGTTGCAACCCACACTCTCCTTTCCAAACCTCTCAGTGACAGTGACACAGTGCACCTCCTTTTTGGGCAAGGTCCGGACGTGGCGTCATGTGGCAGAACCCAGGTGTGGCTGCAGTTTTTCTTCGTCTCCCGTTGGCGCATTCGCCGCTCCTTCAGGGCCTGGTCGGGATGAGTAACGGAAAAAAGGTCAATCTTTCAAGGTCCAAATAGGATCCCAAAGGAGCCAAAAGGAGCCAAAAGGAGCCAAAAGGAGCCAAAAGGTCCACCAATGAGACCTGGCTTTCCATCTCACACTCTTTTCATCTCTTTTCCTACCTTCTCATGATATTTTTTTCTCATGAGAATGCGACTTGTCAGGAGGGATGCAAGAAAGTGGCACTGCAATAAGCGTCATGCAAAATATGCAAAGCACAATCATGTCACCCATATCTCTCCACGACACCTGTTGATTTACACTTTGGCGGTAATAGTATGTAATAGCCAAAGTTCCTCCAGAAAAAGCCGCTGAGGACCATCGCCTAGCCATGCCATGTCATCATGTCATGCCTCTGGGGTGAACATCTGCGTGACAATCTTGTCGCGATCTTGATGACTCTCAACCACCTCTCCCAGTTGACAGGAGGGACACGCAGTGATCTCAGAGGACTGCCGCTTGATCATAACTTGATCAGAACTCATTCATTGACTGGATTTCCAAATGTTGACTCTTGAACTCTTGAACTCTGGCACCTTGAAGATCTTGACAGGGAGCTGGAAATGCAGTTCATTGCAAACCCAACAAATCTAAGGACAAACAAAGCCCTACTTGCGCCATTCCTGACGTTTGGCCAAACTACAACACACTCGTCCCTCTCGCACACCTGGACTTCGCCTAGGCTATACCAACCGTCGGAGGTGGAGGCATCAGTGCAGTCCACGCCGTAGCAGTAGCCTTGTTGACACAGTTGCAGCAGCTACCACCATGGCATACCATGGCCATGGTTGGACCGGGCTTAATGGGCTTTGGGCCGATTTTCTGATTTCCCCTCATACTGATCTTGGTTGTTTCGGCAAAACTGACTCCAGAGACCGGAGTCGAACTTTGATGTTCTAAAATGTTGTCGATGAGTCGGAAACACGATGTTGCATTTGGGATGCCTCCCATTGGCTGGAAACTTGCTGTCAAGTTGCACACTTGATACCAAGGAGATTCACCTCAAATTGCTTTCAGTGCAGCAGAAGAAAGATGGAAAGAGTTTAAGCAACCAAGCCTATTCTGTGCAAAGCACCAACTTCAAGCATCATTCACTGAATCAGTCACCAGCTTGTCGCTCAGGGCCCCACCCAAAGGAATGTCGATGAGGTAGATGTACTCATCTTGAGCCACCTCCAGATGCCACAGCTAGCGACATGTGAGAAACTGCTACAAGATGGTTGCTTGAGAATGTGTCCATCTCTCTGTCATCTGCAGTAGGCCGGGTTTGCTCTTTGGCAACTGTCCATAGCTTCATCATGCTTCATCCGAGGCACGGTGTGCGGAACACGGGCTTTGAGGGACTCTGTGTGCTGGCTGCCAGCCATCCGGCAAAGAGAATCCTGACACGGCCAGCACCAGAAACTCACGAAGCATCTGCAAGTATGAAGAAGGCTTTAGCTGTCCACAACAAACTGGCCCTGAAATCGAAGCCAAACAGAATTTCCAAGAACTTCCAAAAATGTAGTGACTACTGTAGTGACTGCAGGCTATAGGCTATAGAGCCTCGATGTGCTATAGACAAACCGTCCCGTTCTCCGTCCTTGGCAGCCTTGTCTGTGGCCTCTGAGGGATGATGTCCGGGGATCAAGGTGATGCGCGCCAACCTTAAGCGAGCCGTTGGCACTGCATGAGACAACCGTCGGTATAACCAAGCTATCTTCAGAATCGATCCAAGTGAGATATTTTTTAGATCGCATGATATTCTAGGATCTTTATGATAATATATGATAATATCATGTAATATCGTCCCGAATACTGGTTACATCTTGTTGGATCTCGTTACATCATGTTACATCTTCTTTCTAGCGTTGACCACTGGTGACCACAGTGTACCAGATGTAGCATCCCAGGTTGTGCCGTCCGTCTGAGGTGCGCACTGGTGCCTGAGATCTGCATGCAGTGCACAGCCCTGGATGGCCAAGGACTGCTGAGCTCCCTCCGCGATCTGCACCACCAGGGGCTCGAAGTCCTCGTGACGGAACGATGGATCCAGGGAGCATGTGAGAGCCACGGAGCTAGCAGCGCTGATATTTCTGGAAAAATCACAAGTTGGGGTATGTCAGGTATGTTACCGTTTTCGAACCACCAGAAAATGATGTTAAACAAGTTAAACTGTTCAATGTCAAGGATAATAAGTATATACCCCAAAACGAGTTTGATGAATAGGAACGGAAAATTCATGAAAATTCCGCTCCTGCTGCACATAGGGCCCCACAGGCATGGGCTTGTCGCACTCAATGCCAGACCAACATTCGTAACAAGCGCAGTGGCTGCCCCTGTGCTCTCCTTGGGATGACCAAAAATTGGAGCTCAGAAGGTCTGCATCTTCCCTGTCGCCTTCCGCTGCCTTCCCGACCCTCGCTGCCAAGCGTCCATGCTCGCACTTCAATTCCCTTCCCTTGGTGGCGCTGAGTTTGGTCTCAAAAATCTAATTGTCATTTTCGTCAACATCCCCCAAGTCCATCCAAATCCACCAAATCGTGGATGTCATGGTCAATCTTTAATGTGAAAACACATTGGCCCCATATGAAACCATCCTGATGTGATCTGCTAAGGATCCCCAAATTTTCAACATCACAACTAGGTGGACATGGCCCAACAGTCCAACATGTCCAACCCTCCATGGCAGGCCTCGTCCACTTCTGCAGACTCAGACTCCTCTGGCCACCCGAACATGATCGATCCGCAGGATTCACTGGTATCATCTGGTATCATCCTCCATTGCTCCATGAAAGTTACCATTTTGGGGGTACACCATGGTATAACTCGATGAGCACTAAACATTTTAATCATCTACAGATGGGAAGGCGATCCTCCACTTCGGTGGCTCCGTGAAATGCTTCGGCCGTCCAGTCCTCTGCATCAATTTCTATCAACGCTTCAGGTGTACCTGGAGAAGACATGGAGTACTGATGGGTACTGAGGCACAGAAAACATCTAAGCGTTCTCACTACTGGAGTTGGCAGATTCCAAGTAAGTGAACTGTTTGCGGTTGTGTATGGTTATGTCCTATGCTTGTGGCTGAAGAAGTTTCATGAAAATGACATGTGTTGGTGTCTTTGCCCCCTTCCATTCGGCTGATGGCCTTGGAATTCGCTCTCGATTGTTTCTGCTTCTTTCTTCAACTTCTCCAGTTGTCCCACCTAATGTCCAAAACAAATGACATGACAGCAGGACCTCTCCCTGCTTCGGACCTCAACCATACCTCAACCATACCTCAACCATACCTCAACCATACCTCACCTACGTTGAAAAGGCACCAGGACTCATGGCTGAGATCACGGAAACGTGTATTATAAGTATACCTAGAACAAGCCCTTCCTAGTCCTTTCCTAGTCCTTTTATGTCCTTTTGCCGTCCTTTTGTCGTCCTTTTGCCCTCAGCTCTTTGATCATCGTATGATCATCCTGCTGGCACATCTGACTCCCACCTTCGGTATGAAGTAGTGAAGCTCATTCTGTGGAAGGAAGCTCTGCTTCTCTTGATCTAGGCATCCAAGGCATCCAAGAGCACACAGCAAGTCACTCATTAGCCGCAACCGCGCAATTGGGCTATGCCGGCTCAGAAAATTGGTAAGTCATGGGGGAAGAAAACCCCAAGGACTTGACCACCAAAAATTGGATTTATGCAAGACCTGGACATCGAAGATCATTAAATCATATTAAATCATATTAAATCCATTTAGAATCGTTTAAATCCTGAATGAAGTCTATTTTGAGGCTTTACTGCCGAGTCACCGCTTGCCAAGGACGAAATGTGAAGCCTGCGAGGTGCCGAAGCGGGACAACGGTGCAAGCTGCGATGCTTGTTTCAGAGATGGTGAGAGACCAAGAGCAAACTCTCAATCAAAAAACCTTACAGTAGCCTATAGGCCTATAGTAGCATACATTACCCAATCCAAGAGGCATCAGGACATTGCCCCACAGCTCTGGTGAGTAGGTGTAGCCCTGTCTCTCAACGACCTGCGTCGAACAAAAGCACTCGCTGAAAAGTCTGCAGCCATCTGCCATGAGCATTGTAACAGTAACATATTGTAACGTTGAATAGCGTTGACTTATTGGATCTTATTGGTTACTGTATATTACTGTAACATACTGTAACATTGTTTCCAGGAAAGCAAGTAGCTTCTGTGTAGCTTTCCTTAACTTTGGACTGTACAAAATCTTCCAGATTCCAATTGCCAAGCTCGGCAGCATGGGCATGGGTAGCATGGGCTGCGAGCCTTGAAAAAGTCCTCTGTCTTGTAGAAGCTCACTTTCTTGGAGCGGATCAAAGCCAACTTCCCGGCCTTCACCGGCAGCGCAACGAAATCAGTGTAATGTCTCCCAACATATCATGTTGTGTTGGCTGTCTATGTTTTAAGAAGAGATACGAAAAAGCATGTAAGCGTTCCATGATGAAAGTTTTGAGTTCACCTCTGAAATGATCTGTTGGCCAGCAGAGCATCATCTGTCACAGTCGTCTCACACTCTCTCCGTTTTTTGTGTGAGGCAAAGAAGGAAAACAAAGGCATCAGGATCAATTTGAAAAAACGAGCAAACAAAGCGAGCATCAGAATCCAGGAATCGGAAAAAGGTCCAAAAATCATTGGTGTGTGGCGCAGCAGGTCTAGAATCTATATAAAACTATCATCTATCCATGCAGCATCGATGAGCTACTTGTGTTCTGCACTAAGTATCACTAAGTGACATTTACTCCTTACATGCGTAACATTTGCTGAGTTTTACCCACCACAGGAACAGCTCCAATTGCATCACAGGGACTCGATCAAGCCAAGTTGTAGTGTGATTGTACCAAGGCTCCTATGGGCAAAGCTGAAAAGTGCAAGTTTCAACGTGCAACCAAGAGTATACGTGATTCTTCAAGTACACAATCTCGCCTGGAAGGACTGAACCTATGAATTCTGTCTGACAGAGTCTGAAAAGTATCAAGTTCTAGGGTGACGACCAAACTACTTGCTAAAATAAAATAGGAATCAACGGCAAGAATGACAGACAGGCGCCAGGCAACAATGTTATGGGACCTGCTTTTTGACACTTTTCACCGGCTGTTGCAAGTCAGAGTATCCAGGAACGTAGTGAGCTGTAGCTGTAACGTTCTTTAGCTGTACTGTACAGTGGGATTCTGCAGGCGTCCTCCCCTTGGTGGGAGGAAAACTCTGCATCTCAAAAGGCAACTGCGAAATGCCAGAGGGTGGCTTTATGGCAGCTGGAGTAGTTGCTTTATGGCAGCTATACTGTATGGCTATACAAAAATTGCTTGAATTCCTCAAAAAGTCACCTGGAAGCCTTCACAGCTCTTTACAGGTGTTGAGTTTCAGTGCGGGGTGGCCAAGGGCAAATTCAAGATAATTCAAGTGCTTCTCATAGAAGCTTCATTTGCACTGGGAGTACCACTGATTCTGCACGGTGCAAGTATAGCCACTCACACAGCAGGTGGGTCCATCAAAATCCTGTCCTCCACATTGTTGCCACGCGCCTGCGCAGCTGCCACCATTGCTTGTGGTTCCAGCCGTACTGGTGGTTGGGGTACTGGTTGAAAGAAAGCCCGCAGAACTGGTGCTGGCAGTGCTGGGAGCGGCAGTGGGAGCAGAAGTGGGGGATGGATTTTGTTCAGGATAGACACTCTGAGTGGTGCCAATTTCCCCAAAGGCTACATTAGCAAAGGTCACATAGGCTGATGGGTATTTCTCGCGCACGAACTTTGGTGAACTGTCAACACCACCTTGGCACATGCCCCGGCGCACACCGGGGTTGCTGCAGGATTCATCCGTGGGGTAACAGGAGTCCAACCACATCATGTTCACATCGATGTCATCCCACAGCGAGAAAGTGGCCACATGCCCACGATCCAGCGAGTCTCCCATGGCCTTGTTCCCCCCCTTGTCTTTGAAGTCGTTGGGATTTCCAAAGAGATCTTGAATATCCTGGCGTGTAGAGCAACCCCAAATGGAAAGATCAAAAAGTAAAATCTAAAGCTAAAATAGGTATAAATCTACTTCTACACTTGCAGGTGAATCTTCTACTTTGATCGAGGTATCGTCAACTTTCATGGGTTACGCTTGCCAACTCCAGCCTGACTATGAAATGCAAACTTGCTTCATCGCCTGCCTTCTTGCTTCCCCCCAGTTTACGGGAATAACTGAAATAACATTGAATAACTTTATCAGGTGTGGGTCAATATTCATCGATCTTCTACTTCAACAGTTCTCAACATCACTGTGCTGTGGTGTCCTTGCACATCTTGTCAGTGATGGAATCCGGCTCGTCGGGCAGGATCTTGATTGGTGGGCTGGCAATGGCCTTTCCATCCTGCACGTAGAAGCGGCGAATCTCCTTCAACTTACCATCGTCCTTGCCATTGTTCGTCAGAAACTGGGTCACCACAGTCATTGGTTTCAAGGAATTGATGGAGAAGCCAGGACCTTTCCCATAGAAGCTGCGGTTTCCGTTCCTGAAGGGGTTGATGTCGCAGCCATCTTTGTCGCAAAGACCCTTGTAGCGCTCATCCTTGTCGTTGTCACCACACTCAATGCCTTCGCACATGTACTGCCCTTGAGTGTCAATGTTGCATGGGTGCGGGGTATAGGCAGTTGCCATGTTGTTAGCCTCCCAAATGTCCATCTCTGCACAGCAGGCGCCATAGTGACCAAGGCCCATGCTGTTGCTGAAATCCTTTGGGTGTGGCTTCCAATCCTTCGAGTTGGCGATGCCATTGATGAACTTGATGTCATGGGGGCATTGGGCATCACAGTAACCAGTTCCAAATTTGGCACCGGCCTTGTTTTCGCCCAGATCCTTACCACCATTGGCTGCCATCTCCACGAAGTACATGGCACCATTCATGCCACATTCCACCGTGGAAGAATCCACCTCCACCGCAAACCTGGCTCAATGTTGAGCATTGTTGAGCTCCATCCCAAGAATATGCTGCTTATGGATGCTCATGGGTTAGTTGGGGATCATCATCCACAATCATCATCCCTGTTTGGAGGAGTTGAACGTCAAAGCTACTTTAAAATACTTTAAATACGTTTAAATCACCAACTAGAAACTCACGGTTGTTCAACTTGAAGAGTTTGTAGTTGTCATCATCCTCAAGCAAGAAAAGCCGTGATCCAACATTGGTGCCTGTGACGAAGCTCAGTTTCACTCCACCAGGAATGGCTGTGATGCCGTAGGTATTTTCATAGTCACCAGCATCCACAGCTTCAACTTGACACTTCGCAGCACAAGTCGTCCCATCTGCACAAATGGAATCATCCCACATGTTGCCTGTGTAGCAATTTTCAGAATCATCCGTGTGGATCCATCGCCAGTTGGCATCTAAGACCAGCTTGTGATCCTTCTGACTGCAGCCATTGGCACCACATTCCTTCACGGAGATCGTGGGATTTCCGTCGGTCTTCAGCGTTCCCGGCTGCTGTGCCACAGCAATGCTGGCGATGTTGGCGACCACCAAGGCACCAATAGCACTCAGGGACGGAAACATGGCAGTGATGAGTGGTGAGCGATGAGAGCAGTCAAGTGGCTTGAGACAAATACTGTCAAACATTGAGGATATTTGGACTGTGCAAATCAAAAGCAGTGAAAATCTGTTCAACTGGTCATTGCCTTCATGTTCTGTTTATTCGACTTAATCGTTTTACTTAGCTATTCCAAGTTGTTCCATGTTATTCCACTCAACTCTAGTTGGACAGGACTCTTTCGTGGATGTTTCCTTCACTCTCAACCGGTTGACTCGTCCTGGGAGATGTCGATCAGAAGATCCCGCGCCTTTAGAAATGCCCTGCACCGACGCTGTTGGATAAACCACCCAATTGAGCAGCAGAAATTCCATCCAGTGCAGGTTGCAAAATTGTGAAAGCGGCAGTTCCTAGATCTATACCATCACTATCAATGTTCAATGCTATCACGATATTCTGAACAGAAAGGTTGAAGAAAACCACTGCCCAACCTGCCGGCTTCTTCCAAGCGATCTGGCCTTAGCTAGTAGAATCGGTAGAATCCTGATGTTTTCCATGTTGCTTTGCGGGGACAGAGCCATATTTTTACCGTTTTTTGAGATAGAGAGACTAAATCAGATGGTATATTATGATTATCATATGATATTAAGGATTCAATTGGATTGGATTAGATTCGATCAGATTGGGCAGACCCCTTCAGGTTGGGCTTGTGCCTCATTACGTGGCTGATTCAAACCGTGGATTACCAACATCAGCAGCATGTTCAGCTTGGTACATGGAGATTACAAGAATCTACAAGACTATCAATGATTATCAAGTGCTACTACCGGTGCTACCAGGAGACATCTTTTGACACCCTTTTTGCAGAGCTTGAGAACTTTCAAGACCTCGGCCCGTGAGATCTAGAGCCTAGAATCCTCCAACAAAACACCAGCGCCAAGAGATTCGGTCCCTGTGCAATGTTTGGCAGTCGAATCATTTCTCATTTCTCATCCGCTGAACTCTGAACGCAGAGCCATGGCACCTACATGCAAAGTTTGCTCCTCGGTCAGGTTCTTCTCCAAGTTCGGAGCACACAAACTGCCTGGGTCTCGGACACTGGACACATTGTCACACATCCACTTCATTCTGGGCTGTTGGCCAATGTGCACTACCCACTACCTGTCCTGTATTTGGTTTGTACAGAAACTAAAACATATTCCAAGCAGTTTTCAGCAATTGAGGTGAAGCAAACATATCCTCAGCCGCTTGCGCTCAGCTAGTGCTCTACAGGTGGTTCGATATGGTTCGATCAGCTTGTTGTACAAGCTATTGAGACAAGTTGCAGGCAGTGCTCGAAAAAAAGAGTCGAAGCCTACAGCGGAGATGCCGAATCATGTGCAGAGTGGCCCCAGGATTGCTTCAACGAATGGGATCAGATTGGGGTCATAGGCTCAACGTTCTGATGAATGATCTCAATGTATTCAGTGGACATTGATCAGTCAATTGATCCTCTATGTACAGCCGTTGTAATTGTTGATGCACCAATTCTTTGCCAAGGGACGGATCTTCACATTTGTCAATAAAGTCGAGCACTGTTTGGATGCCTGTCGATACACAAATGATGGCAATAACATACACTAACCCCAAGAGCTCACACAACAAGACACTACCATCATCACAGAATGCCAATCCACCGATGCTACTGCCCTGAATCGAGCATTCCAATGCTCTGATCATATCTTCTAGCCACACGACAAGCACTTTCATGCCGGGATCCAAAGGGCCTGGTGCTGCAATAGTTGTGGCCTCACGCATTGGGTGGCTTGGATCATGGATCTTCATCTGTGAGGATCTCTGAGGTACAGTAGTCATTTTTTGCAGCCAAAATTGTTCTTGACGTGCCAGTCCTATAGACGAAACTGCAAACTGCATCATCTGTCTGTCTTTGCCAACACCCAGCCCATTGCAGAAAGCACACATTCAAGCCCACCAATAGAAAAAGACAAGTGAATTCTGCATCTCCTTTGATTTTCTCAACTAGGTTTGCCTAAAAATCAAGTACCCCTAGATTTGGTGCTTAATCATTTAATCATCAAATCACCCCATTAAAATCACAATATTGATCCATTTTCGTGGTATTGCAGTACGGTATACCCCATACAAAAGACCTACCCTGGCCATCACTGGCCTCTGTCAAGCGCTTTATGACTTCCACATCGTCCATGGCTGCCTTCTGAGCAGGCTCAACCACATCCTCGCAGAGGTGCGATGTTCACCGCGCTGAGATATGATGGGAGTATAATGTTGGTATGATTGTATGCATATATATATATGCATACAATTGGATACGTCTATATATATGATAAGATAATATATATAGTGTAACTGCATAATCATAATCTACCAAAATGGGGATGTCAACCTAACACCCGGCTTTTCAGACTCAGATTGTCACTAATCCCTCCAATCCTTCTCAAAGTTGTGGTACTGATCCCGCACGAAGGCAAAGTCTTCTACAATGCTCTTGGTCGTCTCACTGATCTTCTTGAAGAACCTGAGAAGCATCGATAGATCCTGATGCCCCATGTGTGGACTTGGTGAATCTCCGGGCTGCATAACTGCATGGATGTCCAGAAATGGACGAAAAAAGAATCATGATCTGGAAGGGGTATGTGGACATATGAATCATACTGAATCATCATATTCCGCAACTGGTTTCATAGCTGTTGAGTACTGTTGCAGGCAAGTCACCCGCGATTGCAACAATGTTCTTCAGTCTGCCAGTGCTGGCAACCACGAGGTACTTAGCCAAACGACAACACATGCTGAACAAGCTGATGCTGGTGGCCTGGTGGAGATCCCAAATCAACAGATATCAACAGATATCAACAGCACGTTTCTACGACTGATTTGAAACTATGGACTGCTATGGACTGCTATGGACTGCTATGGACTGCTATGGACTGCTATGGACTGCTATGGACTGGGACGCCAAGTCTCGATTGAGGATGGAGAGACCTACGACCTTCTCATGGCCTCGAACACACAGCTGGTTGCACGCCACTGGGAAAACTCAACTAATAGATCAACATGAAAATCACCATGAGTCCAAATGGATTGATCTGAAGATTGCAAAGACATTCTTGAAGTTCAAGAAGTGCGTAGAGAAAAAATGAGATCCGCAGAGAAAACGAGATCAAGAAGAACTCCTGGGACATCGGGCTCTCAGCACCATTGTAGGGTTCACCCGATTTGAAGTAATTCTTCCTGGCGTCAGGGTCTATGCCTCTGCTCTGAGCACTGAGCGGGTTTGACCCAACAAGCACAACATCACCATGTCAAGAAATGCTGTGGGTTTGCATAATTAATCCTCTTTCAGGCAAGCAGGAACCTCATGGGTCAAAGCAATGCAAGCTCCTCTGTGCGCCCATGACATGTCGCAAGAGATCAAGATCTGGATTGCAAGCTGTCTTACCTCGGATGTCAAGGGCAATGTGCAACAACTATGACACCACAACTAGCTGCCTTCCACAGAAGCGGAAAGGTCCTTCCTATCGACAAAGCGCTTCTGATGCCAAGACCACTGAGTTCCATCCCAAATCAGATAAATCATGATAATTCATGATGAATCATGATGAAATCATGAAGCATGATAAATCTGCTGAGCCAAAAAAAACATCTGGTGATCTATAGTCGGGATCTGGTGACACTGCTGGATACACCAGATCTGTGCTAAGCTGCTGGATGTCTCTGGCGGATCGGAGCCACCGGAGCCGTCTCCATGGTGCCGATTGCTGTGCCTTTCCACAAGCTGAACCTCTCAGCGTCTGCCAGGGTCTCTGGGTCTAAAATCAACATGCATCCGACTCGTCATCCGACTCATCCCACATCATATTTCTGAGAAAAAGGGACATCAATGTAGAATAATGTAGAGTATCAAACAATGGTGACCATATGTGAAAAGTGTGTTGGGGTGATCCTCGGACCTTGGGACCCTGAAACTGAACCGGAGAAAAAATTGGAATGTCAAAGCACCATGTGGAAACGAGTGTCAAACTGCAACGTCAACTTCACATTACGGCGCCGTCCTCTGCAGCTGGCACAGCTGGCTTCTCCACTCGTGGCCGTCTCTCGCTATGTCTATGATCTACGGCCTCAAGAGACGATGCTCAGCTGCAAAGGTGCTGTCAAAGTTGAACATTATACAAATTATACATCATTAATCATCATTATACCATTATATATATATATGTATGTATTTATATATATGTGGATATGTATATATAGACATATATACAATATGTGCGTGTATAATATATATATATATGTATGTATATGTATATGTGTATATATATACAATCTGTGCGTGTATAATATATATATATATTGCTAACTTTCGCAATTCCCTGTTACTAAGGTATTAGGGTTGTATATAAGCCATGCGGGTGTGTAAGAAGGGTTTGTGGGGAAAGGAATTGATATGACTCTGATATATATGCATTTATATATATATATATGTGTGTATTTATATATATATATATGTGGATATGTATATATACATATATACAATACGTGTGTGTATATATATATATGTATATATATATACAATATGTGCGTGTATATATATATATATATTGTATATATATGTATGTTTTGTGTATATATATATATGTATGTATTGTATATATATATATTGTATATATATATATATTGTATAAATATATATTGTATAAATATATATATATATATTGTGTATATATATATGTATATATTGTATATATATATACATATTGTATATATATATTGTATATATATATATATTGCATATATATATATTATATTGTATATATATATTGTATATATATAGTGTATATATATATTGTATATATATATTGTATATATATATATATTGTATATATATATTGTATATATATATATTGTATATATATTATATATATATATATTGTATATATATATATATTGTATATATATATATTGTATATATATATATTGTATATATATATATTGTGTATATATATATATATTATATATATATACTGTATATCTATATTGTATATATATATATTGTGTATATATATAGTATATATATATATTGTATATCTATTGTACATATATATATATTGTATATGTATACATATTGTATATGTATATATATATATTGTATATATATATATTGTATATATATATATTGTGTATATATATATATTGTATATATATATATGTATATTGTATATATATATATTAATGTATATTAAAATATATATGTACATATGTATATACTGTATAATATTGCATGTGTATGTGTATATAATATTAAAGCCACTTTTGGCCTTTCTGGTGATGTGTCTGAATGTGTCTGAATCAATTTCACCAAACACAGTTGATAACTGTCTGCGAGCGTTCAATCCCAGCTGTGCTTGTTCCGGATGTCTGTCCACGGTCAACGGCCCCCTTCCCCAGTCAAGCCTTGGCCTGTAATCCTCAGATTCTGACTGCCAAACAGTTGATCATCAAAGATTCCATGTCCATGAAAGCAAAGACTTTGAGAACTTCCACTTCAGATATGATGCAAAACGATCAAAACCAAGAGCAAAGAGAGCAAACTGTTCTTGTATTGTCCATTCGGGGTTGGTAGTGGAAGTTGGATCTACCAGCATTTACTGATTCAATGAATCCCCGTGAGATTTATCTCAGAAACACAAAGCTCCTATCGAAACTGCCAAAACGTCATCCAGGTGCTGTGAGGACTGTGATGATTTGCATCTGTAGTCCAGAGTAGGACTGCAGCGGTCCACAGCCGCCTTCATGGGACATCAAATGTTGGCTTCTGCAGTCTTGCTTGAATGTGAAACATCAATCATTTAACATCATTCATCATCATTCAACATGCTCATTCTTATCAATTACAAAACCTTCCTGAGTACGTCAAGTGCATATTGCATTGGAGAAAGTCGTTTACGACATCCAGAAAACCCAACACCCGATCTATATTGGAGCAAGTGAATCAAGTGTTGGTTTCTGGTTTGATTGCCCACCGCACCTCCAGAACATCACAACAGCACTCGGACCTCATAAAGCTGGGATGACAAATGTATCAAATGTTTAGTGAGAACCCCTTGATCGGCAAACAGGCATGCCAAAACAAGGCCGATGTGAGTCAGCTCAATATGCTCAATCCACCAGCCCGGCCAACCTGGTTTGCAAGATCCGCAGATTTCAACCGAATGCCACGAATGTTGGAATCCGTGCCGCCCATCCCCAGCCTTTACTGTACACGTTTGGGGTGAGCTTAGACGCACTGGTCGCGTCACACGGGCCACTGAATGTCATAAGCACTGTAGGCACGCCCTTTGGCTGCTGTACTGCTAGACTATACAAAGGCTAAAGCTTGCGAAAACGATTTTCGTAGAGCAGCTGACTGACAGCTTGGTGAACCAATGTGGGTAATTAGCCTCTTCCTTAAGAGGTCTCAGAGCATCTGTGAGAATACCCATTGCCGTCAGAGAGGCATCGCTCCCTTTCAGGCACGGCCCGCTTCAGAAATGTCTGCGCTGTCGATCGCCGTTGAGACTTCAGCAGACTCTTCCGATGTCATGCCTTGCCCAGCTTTAAGGCCTTCCTTGCTGGAAGGATCATGGCCGCACACCTTCTTGCCATAGACAGCCACTTTCAGGATAGCCCAGTAGCTGACCATGGAATACATGACCAAACTGGGCCACATCAGAATCCAATCTTTGAGGTTCTGGCAAAAGCTGGTATCCTCAGCACCCTGCGGCTTCATCTTCAAGTGGTAAATGAGTTTGCACCCTTCCCGGTCAAGGTAGAAGAAAATCAAGAAGACTATGTAGGTCCAAGCGAGGCTCGAAAAGCCTGCAATCATCACGCCAGCGTTGGCTGCATCATCCAAAGGCAGCTGGCCAGTCATTTGGCCCATGCGATCAATGGTGTCGTGCTTGGCATTGATCAAGGCGTAGTTGATGAAGCCGGCAAGTCCAGTCAGCGTCAGGGAGCACAAAATGAAACCATAGTAAATCACAAACCAAGTGCCGTATGACAAGGCTGCAGAGCAGTTGTAACGCCTTCGCTTCACCACAAAGTAGTGGAAAACCTCGCAAGCACCAATGGTCCAACGTTCACTCTGTCGGAACCATTCGCTGAACTCTTCCCATTGGCTTGTGCCTGAGGTTGGACCAGAAATCACAGGCATAGGAATCATGAGGATCTCAACTCGCTTCTGCAGGGCTTGCATGCAGGTCAGGGTGTAGATGATGTCATCCATCTGATAGTGAGCATGGAAGAACTCGCCCTTGATGCAGAGATCCAGAGAAAAGCTGAAGATGGACATGGTGTTGATGTTGAAAGGGATCAAGAATCCCAACATGTAAGCAGCACGCATGATGCCAATAGCACGAACATAGAAGGGTCGCTCATTCAAGAAGTGATTGTAGTAGAGCGGTGCCTGCCAAACCACCTCTTTGGCTTTTGGGGAGGTAAGGAACTGGTAACCCAGGTTCTCAAAGTAGCGTGGTGCAAAGATAGAGTCCGTGTCACAACTCGTGGCTGTGGTGCAACTGAGATCTAAGTCACCATACTCCTCCAAGCGGGTGACCGCAGCACGCATGGTGTAGTTGGCATTTGAGCATTTGCCTCGGATCTCACGACCTCCAGCCCACTGCTTGGGATGCTTGGTCACATGGAATCGCTTGAAGGATCTGGCATAGCGCTCTTTCAACCTTGCAGCTTTCTCAGCCACTTCAGGGGTCCCCTCCTCCAAGCCAATCACCACAATCAGGCGGTGAGCCGCCGTCTGGGCTGCGAGTGAATCGATGGATTGGCAAATCACTTCCATGGGCTCCTTGTAGCCGCACATCATCACCAGGTGTTGCAGGTTGTCTGCCAAACGCCTCTCCTCTTCCGTGTTTCTGGGGATCTTGTCCTCCCAAGTCTCATCCACCACCCTCTTCATCAGAAAGTTGGCCTGCAGAGAACGCAAAGCAAAAACTGTCAATAGGAATGCTCCCAGCCATCCGACAAAGAGGCCATAGATGGCGGCAAAAATGGGGCAAAAGATGTCGATCCACAGTGGGAGGGGAATGATGATGAAGTCAAACACCAAGAACAAGAGATTCCATCTCATGATGATGAACTCCTTCTCCTTCACATTCTGCTGCTTTTCATCCACAGCATACTGTCCCCGTGGAGCAGTGGTAAAGATCCTCTGCCACCAACTGGGCTGCTTCTGTGCTTGCGGCTGAGCCATGGTTCACCAACGAGTCCCTACTGCTCTTGAAAGTGCTCTGTGCTGTAGAACCAAGGGCAGAAACATGAGCGGACAAAGTGAAAACAAGCTGCAAACTTCAAAGATGCAAACCGAAACTTTCGAAAACGTCCAAAACAAATCCAATGCAGATCAGCTCATTTCCAACTATATGCATATACATATATATATATATAAGAATTGGTTCAAATTCCAACTGACACACGATGTGGAGTGGCTTCCGCAGATTTCAACCGAATGCCACGAATGTTGGAATCGGTGCCGCCCATCCCCAGCCTTTACTGTACACGTTTGGGGTGAGCTTAGACGCACTGGTCGCGTCACTCGGGCCACTGAATGTCATAAGCACTGTAGGCACGCCCTTTGGCTGCTGTACTGCTAGACTATACAAAGGCTAAAGCTTGCGAAAACGATTTTCATAGAGCAGCTGACTGACAGCTTGGTGAACCAATGTGGGTAATTAGCCTCTTCCTTAAGAGGTCTCAGAGCATCTGTGAGAATACCCATTGCCGTCAGAGAGGCATCGCTCCCTTTCAGGCACGGCCCGCTTCAGAAATGTCTGCGCTGTCGATCGCCGTTGAGACTTCAGCAGACTCTTCCGATGTCATGCCTTGCCCAGCTTTAAGGCCTTCCTTGCTGGAAGGATCATGGCCGCACACCTTCTTGCCATAGACAGCCACTTTCAGGATAGCCCAGTAGCTGACCATGGAATACATGACCAAACTGGGCCACATCAGAATCCAATCTTTGAGGTTCTGGCAAAAGCCGGTATCCTCAGCACCCTGCGGCTTCATCTTCAAGTGGTAAATGAGTTTGCACCCTTCCCGGTCAAGGTAGAAGAAAATCAAGAAGACTAGGTAGGTCCAAGCAAGGCTGGAAAAGCCGGCAATCATCACGCCAGTGTTGGCTGCATCATCCAAAGGCAGCTGGCCAGTCATTTGGCCCATGCGATCAATGGTGTCGTGTTTGGCATTGATCAAGGCGTAGTTGATGAAGCCTGCAAGTCCAGTCAGCGTCAGGGAGCACAAAATGAAACCATAGTAGATCACAAACCAAGTGCCGTAAGACAAGGCTGCAGAGCAGTTGTAACGCCTTCGCTTCACCACAAAGTAGTGGAAAACCTCGCAAGCACCAATGGTCCAACGTTCACTCTGTCGGAACCATTCGCTGAACTCTTCCCATTGGCTCGTGCCTGAGGTTGGACCAGAAATCACAGGCATAGGAATCATGAGGATCTCAACTCGCTTCTGCAGGGCTTGCATGCAGGTCAGGGTGTAGATGATGTCATCCATCTGATAGTGCGCATGGAAGAACTCGCCCTTGATGCAGAGATCCAGAGAAAAGCTGAAGATGGACATGGTGTTGATGTTGAAAGGGATCAAGAATCCCAACATGTAAGCAGCACGCATGATGCCAATAGCACGAACATAGAAGGGTCGCTCATTCAAGAAGTGATTGTAGTAGAGCGGTGCCTGCCAAACCACCTCTTTGGCTTTTGGGGAGGTAAGGAACTGGTAACCCAGGTTCTCAAAGTAGCGTGGTGCAAAGATAGAGTCCGTGTCACAACTCGTGGCTGTGGTGCAACTGAGATCTAAGTCACCGTACTCTTCCAAGCGGGTGACCGCAGCACGCATGGTGTAGTTGGCATTTGAGCATTTGCCTCGGATCTCACGACCTCCAGCCCACTGCTTGGGATGCTTGGTCACATGGAATCGCTTGAAGGATCTGGCATAGCGCTCTTTCAACCTTGCAGCTTTCTCAGCCACATCAGGGGTCCCCTCCTCCAAGCCAATCACCACAATCAGGCGGTGAGCCGCCGTCTGGGCTGCGAGTGAATCGATGGATTGGCAAATCACTTCCATGGGCTCCTTGTAGCCGCACATCATCACCAGGTGTTGCAGGTTGTCTGCCAAACGCCTCTCCTCTTCCGTGTTTCTGGGGATCTTGTCCTCCCAAGTCTCATCCACCACCCTCTTCATCAGAAAGTTGGCCTGCAAAGAACGCAAAGCACAAACTGTCAATAGGAATGCTCCCAGCCATCCGACAAAGAGGCCATAGATGGCGGCAAAAATGGGGCAAAAGATGTCGATCCACAGTGGGAGGGGAATGATGATGAAGTCAAACACCAAGAACAAGAGATTCCATCTCATGATGATGAACTCCTTCTCCTTCACATTCTGCTGCTTTTCATCCACAGCATACTGTCCCCGTGGAGCAGTGGTAAAGATCCTCTGCCACCAACTGGGCTGCTTCTGTGCTTGCGGCTGAGCCATGGTTCACCAACGAGTCCCTACTGCTCTTGAAAGTGCTCTGTGCTGTAGAACCAAGGGCAGAAACATGAGCGGACAAAGTGAAAACAAGCTGCAAACTTCAAAGATGCAAACCGAAACTTTCGAAAACGTCCAAAACAAATCCAATGCAGATCAGCTCATTTCCAACTATATGCATATACATATATATATATATAAGAATTGGTTCAAATTCCAACTGACACACGATGTGGAGTGGCTTCCGCAGATTTCAACCGAATGCCACGAATGTTGGAATCGGTGCCGCCCATCCCCAGCCTTTACTGTACACGTTTGGGGTGAGCTTAGACGCACTGGTCGCGTCACTCGGGCCACTGAATGTCATAAGCACTGTAGGCACGCCCTTTGGCTGCTGTACTGCTAGACTATACAAAGGCTAAAGCTTGCGAAAACGATTTTCATAGAGCAGCTGACTGACAGCTTGGTGAACCAATGTGGGTAATTAGCCTCTTCCTTAAGAGGTCTCAGAGCATCTGTGAGAATACCCATTGCCGTCAGAGAGGCATCGCTCCCTTTCAGGCACGGCCCGCTTCAGAAATGTCTGCGCTGTCGATCGCCGTTGAGACTTCAGCAGACTCTTCCGATGTCATGCCTTGCCCAGCCTTGAGGCCTTCCTTGCTGGAAGGATCATGGCCGCACACCTTCTTGCCATAGACAGCCACTTTCAGGATAGCCCAGTAGCTGACCATGGAATACATGACCAAACTGGGCCACATCAGAATCCAATCTTTGAGGTTCTGGCAAAAGCCGGTATCCTCAGCACCCTGCGGCTTCATCTTCAAGTGGTAAATGAGTTTGCACCCTTCCCGGTCAAGGTAGAAGAAAATCAAGAAGACTAGGTAGGTCCAAGCAAGGCTGGAAAAGCCGGCAATCATCACGCCAGTGTTGGCTGCATCATCCAAAGGCAGCTGGCCAGTCATTTGGCCCATGCGATCAATGGTGTCGTGCTTGGCATTGATCAAGGCGTAGTTGATGAAGCCGGCAAGTCCAGTCAGCGTCAGGGAGCACAAAATGAAACCATAGTAAATCACAAACCAAGTGCCGTATGACAAGGCTGCAGAGCAGTTGTAACGCCTTCGCTTCACCACAAAGTAGTGGAAAACCTCGCAAGCACCAATGGTCCAACGTTCACTCTGTCGGAACCATTCGCTGAACTCTTCCCATTGGCTCGTGCCTGAGGTTGGACCAGAAATCACAGGCATAGGAATCATGAGGATCTCAACTCGCTTCTGCAGGGCTTGCATGCAGGTCAGGGTGTAGATGATGTCATCCATCTGATAGTGAGCATGGAAGAACTCGCCCTTGATGCAGAGATCCAGAGAAAAGCTGAAGATGGACATGGTGTTGATGTTGAAAGGGATCAAGAATCCCAACATGTAAGCAGCACGCATGATGCCAATAGCACGAACATAGAAGGGCCGCTCATTCAAGAAGTGATTGTAGTAGAGCGGTGCCTGCCAAACCACCTCTTTGGCTTTTGGGGAGGTAAGGAACTGGTAACCCAGGTTCTCAAAGTAGCGTGGTGCAAAGATAGAGTCCGTGTCACAACTCGTGGCTGTGGTGCAACTGAGATCTAAGTCACCATACTCCTCCAAGCGGGTGACCGCAGCACGCATGGTGTAGTTGGCATTTGAGCATTTGCCTCGGATCTCACGACCTCCAGCCCACTGCTTGGGATGCTTGGTCACATGGAATCGCTTGAAGGATCTGGCATAGCGCTCTTTCAACCGTGCAGCTTTCTCAGCCACTTCAGGGGTCCCCTCCTCCAAGCCAATGACCACAATCAGGCGGTTAGCCGCCGTCTGGGCTGCGAGTGAATCGATGTATGTCTCATGTATTGAATCAGTATTGACATGCGTACCATAGATTACCATAGGACAAAATGAAAATCCTGTCCAAAAAAACTGGCCATGCACTCAAAACCTTCCAGGGTTTCAGCTAAGGCCCCGACCCTCACGGCCAGGGTGGGCCGCTCAGGGCCCCCGCGTGCAAAGAGTTTCAAAGGCAACAGAAACGAGCGAAGTTGGCGAAAGTCGACAACTCCTCTTGAGCCAAAAATATGCCACGATTCCATGATGCGAAGGTGGAATGGAATGGAAACATGCTGGAAAAATGTTGAAAAAACATCGGAAAGGCTGGTAAGCGCATCTTTGTGGATCTGCCGAGGACAAAAGAACCACTGGAGTTCGTCCATGGTCGGAGTACCAAAAATTCTCCGCAAGAAAAAAGGATCAATCCAGCGATTGGTCGACTTCTCAGTACTCCCTTTCTGCCGTAGGGACACCAACCCCGGGCTTTTGGTAACCCAATTCGCAGACTGTCACCCCAAAATCCCTGCGCCTCAGGAGTCGGCTAACTTTTTCGCGTTGGCCCTGGCCAAAACATTTGAGCCTTCGACACAATTCGCTATTCCGCAACCCCTCCAGCTTGTAATATGTTGTAGTTTTATCATTTATCATCAATATTCATCAATCATTCCTCATTAAAATCACCATTTATTGGAGTATACCCCAAGATAAGCACGTTGGGAGCAGGCTCACCTCCAGAGCCCATATGAACGCATCATCTCACAGCATGTCATGTCTACCGAGTCTACCTGTGACATGGCAAGGTCCCTGGCAAGGTGTTGTAATGATCATTGTAATGATTTATAGTGAGTCTTGCAACTGACTCTCCAACTGTTCTTCAACCCTTTGCTGTCAAACATGCCAGGTTCTGCCAGACTTCCTTCATGCGTTCCTGTTGTTCATCATCCTGGAGCCAACAGAACCAACTTGATCCTGTGATGTCACCCGGCATCGAATTGTTGGTCAGTGAAGGATTCTTTGGGCTTAAGAGTTGTGCTCAGCCCAAAAGCCGGGAAAAATCCATGGAGTACGGGTAGGGAAAGTAGCGATACATGGGGTTGTGCCATATTCGGTACCAACTGTGAGTATCCCTGAGGGATGATTTCTTGCTGCATAGGTGTTCGGAGGCATGCACACTTTGTTCAAAACTGGACGGAGTCAGGAATTGCGTCCTTCCCAAAGAGTACCCTGTTACTCAACTGCAACTGGGAGTCCTTGAACTGTTTGCACACTTTGAAGTTTCCAAAGCAACAAACATGAATAAACCAAGCAAAAGATCCAAAAGATCAAGGATATCAAGACTCTGTTCAGGTATGGTGCCTTTCGCATCATGAAGGCCGTCTCGTTCTCGTTCTCATTAAACTCACGTGCCTGGTAGACTCGGTAGACAAGCTGCAGCATCCCCACTCATCCCCGGTATCACTGAATGACTCAATGTCGGCACGAGTCGGTACTGTGGTTTTTTCCACTGGCTCCATTGAAAAAAGGTGCCTGTGCTGGCGCTGTCCGCACGAAGTCTTTTGGATCTGGCGGTCGGAAACCTGGGCAGCGCTGGGAACTGGTGTCCAGTGAGCTCTCATGTGAGACATGAATCGACATGATGTCGACATGATATATCCTGATCCTGTCTTCACAATCTTTTTTATCCAGCGCATTTGCATCTCATTGAAGTCTTGGTTCACACAGGTGAATTCATTGAGTTCCCTATAGTATAGCGTCATAGCGTCATAGCGTCATCTGGCAATGCTGATGCATCCCAAGACCCAGACCTAGACCGTTGCATCGCAGAAGGTTCACACAAACATCCAGCTCCTGGGAATCTCCCAGCAGTTCAACATAGTTCAACATAGTTCAACTATGGGACTACGAAGTGACTACAAAGTGATGTCGAGAAAACCCTGAAGCTGCATCTGATGCAGCTTCAGGATGACATCTGGCCTTTCTGTATCTTTCTGTTCGAATCCCTGCCTGTCCCACAGTTTCAACATGTTTCAACTTTGCTACAGCATCCTACAGCTGATGTCCTTGGAGGTGGTCAGATCCCATTTCACATCCTCCGTGGCCGATTCCGTCCATGCTGTGATCCGCAGTCCATCGAGCTACGACAGCTACGAACTGTGGAATACCGTGGAATACCTAGAGATACCTAAAGTAAGGCGGCAAGCTTCGAAGAAATCAAAGTTGGGGGATGCTGATGGTATTTCTCATTGTAAAAAAAATCACTGGTCACCCAGCTGCTGGGCCTCCAATTTCCTCTCCAAAACATCTTGGATGGCCCGACGGGCTGCCTGGAAATCCACAATCTGAGATGGTAGGGATGGCATGTATCGTTATGATTGGGTTAGCCGGTTAGCCGCTAGCCAACTATAACGAACATATGTCCCCATGGATCTCCTTCGTCCATTGGGCTGACAATACATCAACCAACAAGGTAACAAGGGCCTGGAGCAAAGGCACCAACTGCTTCCCACCCCGGCAGCGGAAGCTGGCAAAGCCACCGACCTGGCGATCCGCTTCGGCTTCCAACGTTAGTTCTTTGCTTTGTTTGACTATCATGTTAACAATATTAATAATGGCTATGTTTGACATTGTTTGACTATCATGTTGGCTAGTCATCATGTTTGACCTTCCAAAATGCGATGTTTCCCCAAGATGAGGTTTGTCTGTTCATTGCTAAAAAAGAAGAAATCCTCCCATTTTCGGGGTTTCACAGCTCTCCACGGACATCCCGAAACACCCCTTTTACGCCCCGCGGAAAAAATTTTTCCGCGCACGCCAGGCTCGTGGAGGTGGCCACCATCTCCTGGGCTACGATGGGTCCCGATCAAAATAGGCTTCAAACACCAAGGATTTTGTAAGATTTTGTATGCATATGATCATTATGATCATATGATATGTATCTGTATATGTATTAATATGTATGTATATTATGCATATATTGAACAGTATCCTAATATGGAATCATACCTCTACGCAGTGTGTCAGCTTCCGGAACTATAGATCTTGATCACTGAAAGAATACTGGTTCATTAATATTAACCAATTGGTCATTGGTAATTCTCAGATTGCCGCTGACCTCGCTTCGACCATGGCGGATCAAACCCGGGGAAGCGACAAACATGACAAAAATCACCCACCGCCCCAATAGCGGTATAATGATTGGAGGATCATGGATTATGTAAACCAATAAGGGGATTCTAATGGGATATAACATGATATAACCAGCAATCATGTTGTCGCTGGGAACCCAAGACCTAAGCCCCCACGACCATGGTTTATCCTGGATGATCGACCATCATGGAATGATCATAATTTGATGACGGAATAGTGATGTTATGATCAACCTGCAATGTTGATGAGAGAAGTTTGTCTTAAAATTGGGTACATTCAAACTTGCCACTACAGGAAAATGATATGATATAATATGATATAACCATAAGTTTGGAACATAAGCAATTTGATTCTGGGGTAGCTCAATTTATCCAGGCCATTCTCGGGGTGGCTATTGCCTCAAATCAATAGTGGGATCATACAATCCCCATGGGATTTCAAGGTTCACACCGTCTCCAGTTTCGCCAATAAAAAGGTGAACAAACTGAACAAACTGGGAGAAACCATGGATCGAACTGGGAACCAAAACCATTCATTGGAAGGGAAACAAATTTGGACGAGTTGAAAATCACCTACTCTTGTCTCTTGCGGAAAAACAACACAAATGGTTCAAGAGCGCGATAATGGGTAGCGATTATATAAAAAATTTCAAATTTGAATGGCTTATGATGGATAATAATAACTCCCATGATGTATGATAATAGGATAATTATTTGGGATATTTGTCCCATTCCATCGAAAAATCTGCTGTCCCTGAAGTCAGGTGGTGCCGGCCGATGACTTCAACGGAAATGTTCGGCGCCTGCGGGCTGAGCTCTGAGAGGGACAGGGATAAGATGGCTACATGGTAAACATGCCAAGAATGAACAGAATAGTCTCTATTGGGGATGTTGTTTCAGTAGCCTATTTTGCCATATTTGGTTCTGAACTGCCATATGTTGCAATCGCATCAAGAGCCGCAAACCTATCCAACTGTATCCGGATAATATTAACCAGTATGTTGCGCAAGATACGTCCATTTTACGAGGCAAAACTTCGTGGTTGGGGTGACCCAATAGACGCAGGCGCACGGAGGGTCGATGCACGGGGTGCCTTGGCACTATCCACCAGATATACGGTAGATACCCTCTGGTAAACAGACCTGGCACAATGGAAAATGATCAATGGCCAATATCTTTAGGAAAAACATAGGAAATCATCCACTGATGGTTGATTTTCCATTCCCATGCCACCAAATGACTCATGACCCATGACCCACAAGTGGATCCAAAGGTGGTGCAAATGACGTCCACCATGGCTGATGGCAAAATCCAAAGCCATCAGTTGACCGGTTATGGTTCATTGTTCGCTTTCCTTTTGAAATGACCATCAAAATCATCAAATGAGGCTCAAGAATTTTGAACCATAAAAAATTGGTTGATGCTCAAGCGTTCTTAAGTCTGCCACGTGCCCACGACGTTCTGGAGCCTCAGAACAAGGACGGCGCGGGCCACGGACAGTGTTCTCAATCGTAGGCACCGATGTGCGCGTTAATAAATGAACTTGAAAGTCACTATTCAATCTATTTATTTCAATACTTGCAGAACTTTTAGACTACAATAATAACGTCCTACATGCCCTGCCTTAGTCACTATCGCTTGACGGACAAGGTTGTTCTCTGGAATTCAGCTGCATTAAGGAGAAAATTGAGGGACCGGCACGCACGTGATCATAATACCATTGGCATCTACGGATACCACTTGCGTCTCCTGGGAAAGTCTTCTCAGAGGACATGCGTTCGAGCCTCCTTAAGCAAGTTTGATTGTTTTATCATTTGTTTGATACTGGTATATATTTTTTTGAATGGTTGCACGAATCTTTTCACACTTGGGGATGATCTGGACAGCTGGCAATACCTGGGACCAATCCAAAGACTTTTTTTCTGCCAGTTCTTACTGATCAAGATATCTCTCCTCGCAAGTGCCAACGCTGTCTCCCAGCACCACGATCACATCCTGACATGATAATCTATGAATGCGTCTGAAGGCACTATCTGGCCATTCTTTGACATGAAAACCGTTATCAAACCCACCATACTGCACTTCTTTTTTGTTGCTGTCATCACAACAGCAATGATAAAGAAAGGATCAGCATGAGAATAATGATAGAAATCATCCTCATCATCATCCTATCATTACTGTGTCCTGTCATCGTCATCATCGTCGTCATCATCATCATCATCAGCATCATGGTAATGGTCATGGTAATGGTCGTGGTCATGGTCATCGTCATCATCATTGTCATCGTTATTGTCAGTGTCATCCTCATCGTCGGTGTCATGGTCATTGTCATCGTCATGGTCATCGTCATATTCTCTCCTTGTCATCCTCATCCTCCTCATCCTCCTCACCTGGTAAAACGATTTACACGCGCTAGTTTATGCCAGCGGGGGGAAAACTGCGCCAGTACTCGTGCACGTTTTTGAAAACATGCATATGCTCCTTCACGTCTTGGGTTGGGGGGGGTGTTAACGTTCATGTTAACTTGCCGCACATGCACATGCTACATCACGTCTTGGGTTTGGGGGGTGGGTGTGTTTGCGTTCACGTTATCTTGCGCACATGCACATGCTCCTTCACGTCTTGGGTTGGGGGGGTGTTAACGTTCATGTTAACTTGCCGCACATGCACATGCTTCGTCACGTCTGTCTTTGAAGAAGCGCATGGCCACGTGAAAGGAGGAAAACATCGCGCGAGTTTTCAACATCAAATTCCCTGTAAATTGCAGGAGATCATCAAAAATGCACTTCAAATTCCCGGGGAATTTTAAGCCCTTTTTGTCGAATGGATCAATAGTTTCGCTATGGCGAAAACGACAATTTTTTTCAAAACGCTCACAACCGCCGCGGTTTTCCCACCGGCGGGTAGTTTAAGCAGGGGTGAGTCCGGAATCAACGTTTTTTCCCTTACAAACGGATACAAATGGTTTCCACTATTTTAATCTATTTAACTAATCAAATACTGGGCTAGCGTTACTTGTAAGAAAAGTGCTCCACCTGTTGTCATGTTTAGTGGTCAATGCATGGCTGAAAATACCTACAATGGTTAATGATAAGTGAATACCCTCTACTAGTACCTAGGGACCCCTGGGGTACCATTTTAGACCCCAAACCCCGAGTCTAAAATGAAATCCCTTGGAAGATTCCGTGATGTCTCCAAAGTATTTTAGACCTTGGGCCTGGCCGGTCACCATAGTTCTAGAATGGTGGTACCACCCTGCCATCCCATGCCATATCATCAGGATCCACCAGCCGTCCCAAAAGGACCCCCAGGCCGCCTTCGTCCAGTTCCACTGTTCACCTCATAGGCTGTGAGGTTGTTGACCACCAAGGTCCTGGGCGAAAAGCGCAAAGCCATGGGTACTTATGGGATCATGGGATAATGACCAGAGTGGGATCAGAAGGGGATAATAGTGATAATCTGATAATAGACCATCGAGTGGGGCCATCAGTGTGAAACTTGCGCCAAGAGACCTTGTCCCCTGGAAACGAATGAGCCAGTGCTTCAGCACCCCATGGCACCTGGCTGTCCATTGGACCGCCATACGTCGCCATACGTCGCCATACGTTATATATTTCAGTCGTCCGACCATGTCATACCAAGCCTGCTTCACACTAAGATGCCTTCATGATGCTTGTGACTGACAATACTTACAATGACCATCATGGTGGCGCTTACTTACATGAGAATCAACTTGTGCTTCATCACATTTCCACATGACTTCAATAACTTCAAGTGGCAGTCCGCAATGCACACCATTTCTCCCAGGTGTCAAACAATGTAAATCCATGGCCATGGCACACCTGGAACGTGCTCGCTGTGGGAAGCGATCTGCTGCGCAGTTTTAGCGCAGTTTCACGTGCAAATGTTCAAAGGACCATTGGAACATTGACTCAGTCAATGAATGTAGCTGCAGGTGCAACTATTGATAAAACACGATAAAACGATGGATAAATATGGTACATCCTCTCGTGGCAGTCTTATCCGAATGCCTCGGCGACCATTCTCACCCGCATGTCGTCCAGGAAAAGATTCTGGACCCCGCGCACGGCGGGTGAAGGGCCACAACAAAATAACAAAACGAGTCCATGGCCACCGGGAGACAAGGCATTCACCTCAGGTTGTTGCCATACCTCTGCATAGACATTTTCCAACAAAATACCATCTTTTCTTGACGTAGAATATCATAAGATTAAGATATCTTAACAGTCTTAACAGTCTTAACATACACCCAGAAACCTCGGTTGTCAACATCTCATTCCACTCCGAGCGAGACTGCTTTTCGCCCTCCTTGGCAGGCCCATCACTGACCGAAATCTTCAGCTCGTGGCCTCGCCGCAAGCCGTAAGCGCTGCAAACAGGCTCCAGCACATCCCCATACTCGGCAGAAGGTGTGCGACAGCAGAAGCGGATGTGTTCTGGTCGGATGTGCGCCTCATGCGCATGAAAGAACAGAAACAGAGGATGAATGCAGCCGGTGAATCCTACACCAATGGCCACAAAGACCACCCGATGGACATCTCGCAGCAATTCTTCCTGACCAAAAGTGCCCAAGGTACTCATGGGCCCGGCGACCTCTAAGAGAATTCCTTCATCTGTGCCTTCTCGAGCCCGGGCGTGGTCGTACAGCCGGTGGGCCCAATTTTGCTTCTCGGCATTGGGCTGCAGTCTGATATGGAACTCCAGTTGCCAGCGATTTCGGCCAGCTGGATAAGCTATCCTTGGAGTTGCTATGAGTTGGTGAGCTCGGCAATGCATTGCCAAAGTTCTTCAAATCTTTTGTGAGCAAATAGTAAATAACAGTAAAGAACTCGGGATACCCATCAAAGAAATGACTTTATACACTGGGTTAATCAACTAACCACAGGTTTCAACATCAACAGTTCCCAAAGAAAAGTCCATGGATCTGCGTCAAGGGATGTCGGCCATTGACGCCCACCACCTGCAGCAATACTGCACCGGGTTCCGCTTCCTGGAAGGTTTCCTGAAGGGTTTGTATGACATTACAACATATTACAACTTACAAGTCTAATGATTGAAACAAACATAGCATATCATAGCATCTAAATATCTTACGACAATAATCTATGTGCTACCTGTCGTGGATTGTTCCAAGTGGTGATGCGTGATTTATTCTGATACCTCAAATGTCTTGTGAAATTTAGGTCGGATTGACGGATTGAAGCAGGAAAGCAACGATGAATCTGCAAGACTTGATTGAAAGGATGAATGAATGATTATACTTGAGGCCAAAGGGAAGGGGATGAAAGCTAATCAGGCAATGAGGCTATGCATGAAAAGCACGCGTGGCATGCCTACAAAATGGGGCGCATACACGCCAGTGTCTACAAAATGTGTCTGGGATAGATAGTACGGCTTCCACAGCTGTTCTTCTGGCAACAAAGTCCTTTTTACAAAAGGATACAAAAGGGTTTAGCACATAAGCTCTGCCTACAAAACTCTCCGGCAACCAAGTTCTAGTTACAAAACGGTTTAGCATTACACTACATCGCACTACACCACAGTAGATTACATTACATTAGGTTACGTTACACATTAGATTAGTTAACATCACATAGATTGAATGACATTACATTGCGTTGCATTGCGTTACATTCACCACACTCCCGGTGAAGATCATCTTGTGCAATATATCTGTGTGTGTGGACTTGCAAAAAGCGTGCTGCTGATCCCAGCGGGATGGTCGCAGGGTTTGAGCCCAAGGGAGGGTCACAGTTCGACATGAACAGGGGCCCAAAACCAGTTCGACGTGAAAAAGCACGGCAGCTGCGTCCAGTCTGCCAATTCATTGCTAAAGCAAATCCAACTCCAGCCAGCAAGCTAGCTTTCGTGATAATGTGCATTCTGAGTGACATGTATCTGTATGGTACATTCATGTGCCTATGGCCAATCGAAGAAGAATACTTCTTCCAGAATGTGATAGTCCACAAAATAGCCACCGGAAAGGAAGGGTTGGTGCTCAGCCATGCTATACAATAAGGCCAAGAAGAATAACAGTAATAGTAATAAGTATATAATAACAATTTAAAGATCAGGCCAAATACCCGCCAGCCAACGCAACAGCATAACTGAATGCTACCCCATCTCCAAAACTGTTTGGAGCCTGGCCTGAGAACGTAGAACCAGGATAGCACCGTTGAACTCCCCCTTAGCATTGAGCATCTTAATGATTTGTTGGCTGCATCTAATCTCCGCTCCAGAGCGCTTCACATTTCGATCGATCAGCCACATGCAAAGGATGAGCACCACAAACCACCACAGCCGTGGGGATCCAAAGTTGGCTGAAAAGCCGTGCACGGCGGCCAGGACCAACAGCACTGAGCCCAAAACGCGCTTGTTTCGGATAAAGAAATCATAGCACTGCCTCTTCAATCCCCAATAGGCCACATAAAGTGAGAGCCCCAATACCACCAGAAAGACTCCCGTCATCCACGGCCATAGCCAAGTGTATTTATCCCCATGCCACAGCAAAGTGGTGTAGTCCTCCACGCTCCCTGCTTTGGCAAACGACCAGATATGACCAGCAGCATGCAACACCAAGGCAAGGGCAAAGAGATGCGCGGCGTTTCGATGATACGTGATGAAGGTCAGGCCCTCACCCGGCCACATGGGCATGGAGACTTTGGTGGCCTAGGGGTTCACCAAAAGGTGAGAACAACTGGGATGGGTCACAAGTTATTGGGGGTTCCCAAGGTCGGACGGTTTGCCGAGTTTGAATACACTTCAATACTTAGACATCGCCAAGAATCGTGTGTGTTTGATTGTTTCTGGGCCTTAAACTTGACCCACAGCCCCTTTCAAGATGGAAAGATATGGCAAATTTGGAAAGCGTAAATAGCCGTTTTAGGGGTCCCCGACATTCCTCAACATTCCCGACCTTATGCACCAAATTCACGGTGAAGGGGAAGACACTGGCGAAGAGCGCCGGCATGGCGAAATACATCATTCCGGCGCCGGCCTTGGCCAAGGCCAAGGGTCCACCACCCAACTGAGCCAACTTCTTAGCAGCCGGGGTGGTGGCAAATAGGACAGCACGAGCACCCCAAGCACCAAACAAAAAGGTGCCCAGATAGAGGAAGAACAGCACCAGGCCATTCGTAAAGCCACAAGCTCTGAGGTCATTGATGTGAGGCTGCGGGGCTCGCTTGTCAATGGTACCAGTGATGAGCAAAGTGATAGGGAGCCATTGGGTGAAGAGGTCGTTTAAGGTGTCCATCTCATAATCCTCACCGAAAGTTTAGTTGCCAAGGCATTGGTCTGTCTCAAAGTTCGGTGGCATTTTAAAAAAAGAAAACTTGAAACCCATCAGTTTCCCCTTGATGCTTTTGCGGGCAGACACCGCCAAACGGTTTCATTCATTGTGTGCGTGTTGAGTTTCAACTTATCAGCAAAGCGAAGTCTTCGATAGGTTTGGGTTTCTGGCAAGACTACCGACTTACACCCTGACAAAGTCACATACAGTGAGAATGCTGATTTTTCTATCAAACAATTTTCTTCCACAAGACTTGGATATCTGTCACTTGTATGGAATTGTATGGTTAATCTATGTTAATCTATTTTTCTTATTTTCATTCATCCTTTCCAGAGCTTTTTCCGGAGCTTTTCAACGTCAACACCCAGAAGAAAAGGCTCCGTGAAGTCTGCGGAGAAAATCTCCGGAGCGATGAGGCCTTTCACAACAACCACCAAGTCCACTGAGGTCGCCAACACCGCAGACACGAGCATCATCTCACTCAGCGTCGCCATGTTGCACCTGTCACTCGCACCCGGATCAAGGCTGCAGAAAAAGACTTTCAACAGTGTACAGCTTGTTGACTCATTTCTTGGTAAAGAGATGACAAAAAGATACAAGAAGTAAGTCAAGTTGACAGTCACTAGGACAGAAAGAATCACCAGAAATCAGGGGCTTTGGACATCACTAGGCCCCGCTCCTCATCTGCGAACTCAAGGTGTCGCTCAAAGCATGCCCCGCATATGCTTTGGCGCGGACCGCATGTGCTCCACCCATCAGGAGGCGAAAGAAGATCCGACCGAAGCGAGCGGAAGTGGAGAGCCAGAAATTTGGTTTGTGGCCCAGCAAGAGAACGCCAACATGGTAGGAGCGCAAACCTGTCAGGGTTGAGGCGCATGTGGAATGTGTTCCACAACCCTCAGAATATACCCGAAGGGGGGGAAGGGCCAAATGCCAACGTTTGGACCTTTGGGGAAATTGATGGAAAATGCCGAGGTTCCACTAAGTTCCGATTACCAACTTCAAACCAACAGTGGTTTCGTTCCCAACCCAGAAATGATGCTGACAGCAGCACACAGGCCCGGGAAGCAGCTGGAGGTTTCCAGGACGAGTTCCCGGGGTCCATGATGTGGTCGGCATAGGCAAACAGGCGGCATTGCATCAGAAAGGACAGGAAACTTTCCATGACCATCCCAAGAATGGCCACTGGATCATTGTTATTCTTCCCATTCACATAATCTTTGCCCATAGTGTCAAGGAGGATCCTGTTCATAAGTTGGAAAAAGCACAACAAGAAGAGGCTGCTCATCAAAGCAGTGTATGTTGACCACCGTCTTGTCTGCATTCTGAGATCCACAGCAGCTGAACGCAACATCTCCACCAGCGCCCAAGCAAAGGAGGGTAGATAAGCAACTTCAGAAATAGTAAAGTAAAATCTCAGCAGCATCTGCTCATGAAGCCATGGGACAACTGCGCAGCTACTCACATCATACATATGTGGTGGGATCTTCGCCAGACCCACCATTTGCAGCATGTAGATCAAGAAACAACATGCACATGCCAGCATTGTGGGGCCGGCCATGCGGCTGGAACGGCTGGAAGCCGCACTGCCTTGGCCTTCGCCATCTTCCACAAGGCTAGTTTGGGGAGACTCTTGGAGTTCGATCATGGCTGCTTTGAGCCTGAAATCTTCCCCGGAACCTCACATGGAAACATGTCTCTGACTCACTGACTTTAGAATTTTGTGATGTCGAAAATCCATGCAATGAAAAAATCAATGTCCTTTTTTCAAGCTTGGACATATATTGATCGACAAATCAACAACAAGACACTGCAATCTCACCTTGCGGCGACAGCGGCGATGGTGCACTGCGCATACGTCAGCGAACAAGAGAAGCGCACTGCAGGGTCCAATCATGGCCGCATCATGCCGCATCTTCAGCCTAGGAATTCGTTTTCGAACTGCAAACAGTGCCGTGCAGTGTGTAATTGCGGCAGTACTAAGGCTCTAAGGCTACACCATGTTGGAAATGAGGGTTCAACTAGAACATGCTTCCAACCATGCAATGCCCATCCTTGCAAGCCGCAAACCACGTGTAATTCCTCCGGGCCACATTTGAAGGATAAGATGTACGTACGGAGTCGCAAGCGCCATCGATGCCAAGAAGTTGCCAAGGTGCATGGCAGGAATCCACTGCTCAACTCGGGGCCGGATCTGTGGGTGACAAGTTTGTACAGTCGTACTTCCATTTCGTTTCGGCAAACCATCCTGTACACGACTCAAATGACAATTTCCTGAGACGACTGATTTAGGGAACAGCTGTGGCTGTTTGAGGCAGCTGAAAGAGGGTGAAGATTCTGACAAGAACTGCTGAGTTCGAAGGGTGTGGTGCTGTCAGGACAAACTGTATGGGGCAGTAGAAATCATGCTGACAAAGGTTGCGCATTTGTTTCTCCAAATTTAAGTTCCCTTTGTAGCACTGGCTCAGTCAATAGATGTTTGCTTGCTCACCACCCTGAGTTTCTCTTTTGACTGTCTCTTCATGTAATCTTTTCGGTGACATCCAGCATCATGTGAGGTCATGACATGAGGTCATGCATGTCCAATGTGAATACAGCCAGTTCGTCTCGCAGGCAAAAGCAAGAGTTCATCAAGCTTGCCAACAAGTTTAGAAGCAAAAACAAATTTTGATGCTCCTTCGTGGACGGATGTAAAATGCATCGATCTAAATTCATGTATTCATACAATGTCGTACATGCAAACCTTTGTCGTAAGCTCACAGATGCTACTCTAACGCTCCACAAACCGGTCACAATGTCTGCATCTAGCGCACCTGCATGGTGTGCGTGAACTCTTGGAAGACCGGCCCTGGTTCAGAGCAAAAGAGTAGCAATGCAAAAGGGCTGGCCTCACCACACAGGGGCCATGGTCAAGCAGGCAAAGCATTTTGGGGGGGCATACTGCGAAGGTGAAAAGTGATTTGAAATTGCCTGGAATGATGTTCTATAGAGTCGTATGCAATATGTAGTCCGCTGTATCCAAAATTCTGTGCACCAGATTCTTGCCTGTGTACCATGAACAGCCAGTACACCCTGTATAGTTCAGATGGGTATTTTGGGGGTTGCTACAGTATCCAGTGATTGTCAGACCTCAGAGACGTCGTAGGCGTAGAGCTTGCTGGTTTGCCTGGACGACGCCAAACCACTGGAAAACTTGGTTCTATTGTTTAGTATATACTACTATGATCTACTATGTATAATACATATATTACATATATATATATATATGATTATACATGGAATATAATATAAATTATTCCTTATATAATGCCGTGGCAAACTATAACCAACTGCGGATGCGGGTATCTATCAGCCAACTTGAAAGAAATAAACAAATTTTGGTTGGTAGTCTCAAGTCTGGTATATAGGTATACCTTTGAAAGCCCCAACAACATCAAACCCATCCGGTTCCTCTTGAAAGCACCGACAACATCACATCGAACTAATTTAAATTACAGTATCTGAGTTTGAGATAGTGTCTGTTTATTTTGTAACTTCTCTTCTCTCTGTCAAGCATGTGTGCACTGGGCTTTGCGCTGGATGGTATAGAACGCCAACCAGGGACAATGAAACCTCACCAGGATTCAGGAGGAAGCTTGGGCCATGGCCATGACCGTTGACCAGATCGAGCCGTCGATGCCTTTTTGAGCCTTCGCGTCCTGGTACAAGAACAAACGCCCATGACTCTCACCAGTGGCTCATAGTGGCTCCATTTCAAAAGATTTCAAAAGCAATCGCGGTTTCGCTGAGGATGAGGTGTTTCTGCTCAGTGAGCTCAGTGAGCACAATCCACTGCGCGTCAACTTCGATCCAGGATCAGAGGCGCTACATTTCCCAATGACAACACAACGTCGAATAACACTGTCTGAAGAGACTGGAGATCTGTGTTCCAGAACTGAACTTCATTGGCCGCACATCAGACTTTGGAAAATTGCACGGATGTCATTGCTGCATGAGACCTGTGTCACACTGAGGAGCCTCTATGATACCTGTGTCAGCATTGAACCCATTGAAACCGAACCAAGACTAAGATGACTAAGATTTCTGAAGTGACGGCAGCAAACCCTCGCTGTCTTGAAAATGAGAACGCACCAACACACCTGGTCAGGCCAAATCCGTTCCTCTTCACGACAGACCAGAACTCCCAATAGATTGCACTGGGCTGTAAACTGGACCCTCACCAACCTGCATCACACTCGACATCAAAGCTCCACAGTCTAGGCCTTAAACTCTGCGGCAGAAAAACTTTCACTGAGCCGAGTGGGATCTTACCTCTGGGCTCTGAGTTTCGAATGCTAACTATGCTAACGTCTTTTCGAAGCCAAGATGTGAAATGATGTTGCTGTGCGAATTAGACGAGAGGTGATGCAAGTGGCGCATATGGCATTCCTTGACATTCCACCCAGCAATGTCGAGCTATGTGGCCTCCACGGGTAGCCACAGCTGATAATATCGGAATCTGTGCGCATTGTTGCTACTGCACTTTATTTCCAGGTAGTTCTGAGAAATTTCTCTTCTCTACCCGTCAAAGTGACGCAAGAGAAAACAGTGTCTACAGGCAGCCAAAGGCCCTGTATTTTCAGTTGCACGAAAGGTTGAAGGGGAGCTATGGCTGGAAGTGGGCTTCTTGCAACCAGGAACCTGGACTGAGAATCCAAGAAGCATAAGCACCCAGCCACGACTCACAAAATGTTACAAAATCTCGGTCCGCTCACTGTGGCTCTGTAGTAAGTTTATTTGTCGGCCACATCCAACATTCATCGACTTGAAAAATGTACTGTTTCTGATTCCTACGTTAAACCACCTGGTTTTTCGGCACACAGCAACGACGGACAGCACCAAAACACTTCGCCTTGGAGTCTTCCCCGCCACATGCAGAAGCATTTGTGAATTCAGTGAGCGACACTTGGCGACAAAATCTCAGGGCAACCCTGAAAAAACACCATGCCACTCATGCCGCCTGAAAATCCTTCAAGTCGCGCTGGAGGCTCCCAGCGCCTGCACGGCTTGTCTGGTTTTTCCTTCCAGAGAAGTGGAAACTTCAAACATCCAAATTAAATTTGCCTCGACCTTTCGCAAAAGAAACTGTCTTGCATCCTGTGAACAACTGGCTATTGGCACAGAGCAGCCAACCCGAAATCAACGACGCTCTCTTGAACTCACTGCATATGAAAGACATGCAAACACAAACGGGACTGTGTGCAGAGGAATTGCGGACTGGGTCGCACTCACACGCATTCCAGCTTGTTCTACCAGCCAGCGGACATGATTTGCAAATGATGAAGAATGGATCCCAAAATTCAGGGGACTGTATGGCACTGCTTGGCTGACCAAATAGACTGAGATCTGTTTCAAGGTAGACCTCTACCACAGCCACTGGGCTGCAACTTCGTCTGCAAAAAATGATACTAAGCTTTCGCCAAACCATTCCGCCGCCTTGAGGGTTGCCTGCTTATCCCACAGCTCTTATGACAAGGCCCTTGCTGCGACTGAAAAGGGAGGTTTTTGGTCTAGCTCTCCATCAATGCCTGAGTATCTGATTCTCCATTCTCCATCAAATCCACAAAGTATTCTCTACCGAAAGCGAAAAGCGGGAATGCGGGACAGGCACATTCAGAATGTCATGTGGTGCTTCTATCACTCCATTGACTCCATTGACTCGGTCTTGTGACCCCGGCATAGTCGCCGCTCCAGGGCCAAGCTCACAAGGTCCACAGTTCTCAACATCTGAACTAACATTGGCGTGAGCCGAGACGCACCATAACACAAAATGTTGCCCAAAGCAGTGATACTCTCGGCTTATTTATATTATGTATATATATATATGTATATATGTATATTGGTTTTAAAAATTGTGATTCATTATGATTGTAAAGATTGCAAGACCATACTTCGAGGTATCTATATCGAATCTTCAATAGGCCTGTCAACGCTCCTGATCTGCAAAGTTTCTGTGTCTTCTGTGCTGTGTGTATCTCTAGTTTGAAATAGGTATATACTGAATGTGCTGCCTCATTTGTGCTGCCTGTCTGGCTCTTGAAATTGCATACAAAGACTGGCCAATCACACCCCCAGATACCAAACGTCGACAATTGTGGGAGGAATCTGTCAAGGAGGAATTTCTTGAGACACGTGACCTTGAGGCGGAAAGTGTCAACGCGACCACACCAGGAATTCTAGGCAGCCCAGTACTTGTCGCCCCTGTCATTGACCACTGTCGAGTCCACTTCAAATATTACAGTATCACCTGATGTCCTTCAAACCCAATTTTATTGGTCACTTCAAACGTTCACATGCACTTGTACAAGTGCTTCTTTCTCAAAGATAGACAATCGACCGGTAAAGCCATTCGATAGTCAGGCGAATCGCAACAGGCTTTTTGTTGGCAAAATTTTTCATGTGACATCCATCCCTACCTGAGGTCAGCACTGATCATGTCCAAACATCAATGAGTTGGGATGAAGATTCACGGACTTGGGATATCCCACTGTGTCAGTGCCACTTGTCCTGGGAAGAAGCGGCTTGATAAACTGCCAGATCTGCAGTTAGTCATGCGGTCTTGCTCCCTCCATTGACTCCATTCCCCATCGTGCCTTTGCATCATTTGGTATATAGGGAGCTTTGCCTTGTCACCAAAGTTGCTGCTGTAATACCTCCACAGAAACCAAAAAATATCATGTGTCTCGAGTTTTTGAGGCAGAATTGCTCACAGACTCCAAAATGCTGAAATCCCCTGCCTGCCAGACTTTTGCTGTCTCTGTGCATGTATGATGTTGGGAAAAAGACCTCCCACCTGAGCCAGCTCAGCACCTAAGCACCAGTCCTTCAGATCCACTGCTGAGGTCCCTACAACAGCAGCCTTCACCAGATTCCAGTCAGGCATCTGGAAGCGGAAGCCCAGGTGTATGGCCGTGGCACTGCTGAGAGGGTCTGTGACCCATGAAGCATTCACACAAGTAGAACCTAGCAAACTTAGCAAACTTAGCACACTCCAAATTAGGAGAAACCACCAGGAGAATCCACCTGGACTTTGATGATTTTGTTTTTATGCACTGAGCATGTTGGCTTTTCGCACCTTGTCTTTTGTTGTGTATTCATCGTCTTTGAAGGTGCTCGGAAGAAGACCCACTTGCATCTCAGCTGGGCCAAGTCTAGAAGCAACTTGACAGTCCATACAAGTCCTACGCATCCAACCAATTCCAAAACTTCTGCCAAAATTAATTGCTGATCTTTCTGTTTCTCCAAGCTTTTCAGAATCATTTCTAGGCCCAAGATCACTGCCAAAGACTCCATCAAATGCTTTCGCTCCTTGGTTAGCAAGAAAAATGAGCCCTGGGTGGCTCTTACAAATCACCCCGAACTCTTGCACTGGAGTGACTACATGATACAAGTTCAACATAGTCAATGTATGTCAACATAATTAAACAAACATGTTAAACATTGTTTGAACTGAGCCTCCAACAAACATAGAGGAACACATCCTCTCGAAGGAGAGCCCGAGCTTTCTGCAGAGCTCCCGCCTTGAGGTCGATCACATCCAGATTCATCAGATTTGAAAGATCTTTTGGATGATTTGAAAGATCTCAAAAAACAGTGAATATGTTCCTTGTTCAACAGTTGCTGATGACAGCTTCAGACACTTCAGTTGTCAGATCTGTGGCTGCTGGCTGCTTCATGTCTCCAAAGCGCCATTCTTGCACGATGTGTGCCCACCTCAAATCATTCTGCACCAATCATCACGAATCATCACAAATCATCACGAATCCGGATGCCATACCATGCCATACCATGCCATACCATGCCATACCATGCCGCACCCAACCACTGCAGGTGGTTTGTTCCAACCATGTTCAGCATCCTGGGCAACCGCGCGCACAGTGGTCACTTCTGGTGCCAATCTCTCCAACCATCTCCATCCTGAACACTGTGATGCATGGCTGTAATCCTAACATATGTAGTGTTGCAGTCGAACCTACCTAGAGTCTTTCAAGGCCTTGCGATTCATCTTGCCAGCTGCTATTCAATCAAAACAAAATGTGTTTGGGAAGTGAGACTGCTCTTGCTCAAGAGCCAGACTTTTAAGCTTGTAAATCAAAATTCATCCCGGAAAACCAGAAGAAATCTTCAATAAATGGGGCACTGGCTAGTTCCAGAATTTTTGATCCGCTCAAACTGTCTGCTGCCATCTTAATGACAAGTCATTGGATCAAAGGACGGATGAGTTGTCTTCAGCCAATGAAAGCAACTGCAACTAGTATCAACTAGTGACAGTGGAACGTACAAAGCAAATGGAAGACCTAATGGCGGACTCTTCACTTCCAAGAGGTGGTTTTCCTTCAAAAGAGCCTGTTGGCTGTTTTGTTGCATCTGCTAGCAGTCCTTGCAGACTGCCACCCAGCACGCTTTGTGGTGTCTTGCGTCGTCATCATTGGATTTCTCACTGACATGGCCTTAGATGCCAGGCTGACCAACATCGCAACACAAATGAAAGGAGCAAAACAATGGCCAAGAATGGAGATCTTGATAGTCCATGATAGCTCCCTGCTAGTTCCATATATACATATTTTTTGCTATACATACATATTTCTCTATATATACGATTAACTATATATATATACTGTAGCTCTTTTTAATTCCCGATCTTTGGGAGTCCATATGCACAAATTCGCTGCTAGCTGCCAGTTTTGGCCAAAGTGCAGCGCAGATACTCAGGCATGGCCCTGGCCTTGGCTGTGAAGGAAGTGGATGCAAGTGGTATCAGCTTTGGGATCGCAATGGCTCGTGGTTAATCACAATCATTATTTCAAAGGGTTGAATTAGTATACTACTTAGGATCACTTGAGCCCTTTGTCTATGCAATTCTGTGGTCATACGCGCTAGCTCCTGTGATCATAAGGCTCTGGCACACCCAGCAAGCAACCTGACACGGTAAGCAAAGCTAGTAAATACCCTGGAGAATCTTTGTCTTTTTTTTTTGCTCCTACATTCTGTCCATTCTTAAGAAGGAGGGCAACCACAAACACTAGAGTTGCTGTCAAAGGGGAAGTTGGTCACTTTGGCCGGTTCTCTCTCACTGAGATCTTTGGATTGCCCAAGCTTCAATCGCACAACTCAAAATACCGTGATCACAGCCCATGAACTAGGCCTACTCCGTGCACCCTATTACAGCCTATTGAGTTCGGATGCAATCCAGTAGCCGCCAGTAGCCGCCAGTAGCCCTTCCCAAGCCCTTCCCAAGCCCTCCAGACTCCCAGCCTAACACGAGAATCTTTCCCAGCCGGGGATGACATGGCAAGGCTGCCAGGTGTCGGCCCAGCCTTGGACATTGACGGCTGACGGATCAAGTCGAGACGACCATCCAGTGGGAACATTGCCGAATTGCCGTGACAATGTATGTGATAACATGAAATACAGCTGATGACTGAATGGAAATGGCCATCTTGATCAAATTAGATCAAATCAATTCATATCAATTCTTCAGGACGCAATGTTTGAGCACTCATCCCCAAAAACAAAGGCCAGGACGGTGTGAGACCATCTGGCTGTTGAGCATCTAAGGCTCCCAAGTCCCGAAGCGCAGCCTGTATCAGAGCGACAAAATCCATGTCCAGGCCATCTGATTTTCATCTCAAAGATGAAAGAAGATTCTCATCTCATCTCGTATCTTCTCATCATCTGTTCGCTAGCAACATCCTGTGGCCACCAACTCAAAGTTTCCTCTCCTCAGCAAACTCCACGGAGAATTTGTCCGGAGGGTCTGGTGTTTTGGCTAAAAAGCCTGGCCTTGCCAAAGATGCTGTTCCATCGGAACTATCGCTGATGCTTCAGGGGTAGTGAAATGCCCTATTCTAACATCACCCAACCATGGGAGATGTTGTCCCCACTACCATTCAAAAGCGCGGCATTTACCAACCGCTGTCGATTCTTAAACTTTAAATCTAGATTATATCCAGTGAATCAGCTCTGCGGCCCATATGTTCACTGATCCTACGGGGCAGACCATTTCAAAAGTATTCCCTGTTTAGCTTCGACTTTCGAAAAAAACACAGGTCTTTTATGTCTTTTTCCATCTCAAAGTCATTGGATCTTTTTCAATTCAGTTCATTGGATCCTCAGCGGATCCAAATGATGCGGGAATCCACGTCGGCGGAGCCCGCACCTATCACTAATGCCACTGGCACAAACCTGCGTGGCTGGAAGGGCACGAGATACCAGATCCAAGTGGAAAATAGTCACAAGAAAATCAATAGTTCCAAAGAAACAGACAGAAACTCTGGAACCATGAAAACTCAGCACCACTGAGTATCACAAATGGCTACCTTTGATGCCGTTGCTCAAATTCCTTGACGGCAGGGCCCGGCAGGGTCTTCACACCTGCAAGTAGACATTTTCCAAAGGGACTCGCTGCATCTCTGGCGGTGAAATTGATTGCATGCGCTCCAAGTACCTGGCTGCACATGAGCGCTGAAATGTCTCAGGATACCAACAAAGTCGCAAGGTGCCAAAGCCAAAGCCTCCTTTGCAAACCCGTGGTTTCATCATGTTCGTCCAAAAACGTCAGCCAAACTGCAAGCACAAAATTTGTCCTTTGCAAAAATCCCTGAGAAACGGCCAGAAACCAGAGGTGTAATCGGTTTTGCTGAGTCTTGTCTCTTTTTGTAATCCTCACGGCCGTTCCAATTGCCTCTCGGGCAGAAGTCGCAGGCAGACACCTGGTTGAACCTCAGAGTTCCATCAAGCAAACAAGCAGTTTCGTGATGTTTTGCGAAATGCTTTTTTATGTGATACTTCTAGACTTTTTCTTCTTGGAAGCACCCAGGCACCCAAGTAGGCTGCAGACCATTGGTTCATTGAATCATCACTGAACCGTCAATGTTGAGAACTCAAACCCGCAAGTGGCAGCTTCTGCAAGGTTTCCAGACACGACCAGCCCGACCCCGGCGCTGCTTCATGGAGTCAAGAGCACACCACTGTTCTCCTCGGCGTTGGGTTCCTCTTGGGTGTGACATGCAGCTTCATTAAGCTCCAAATATGCTCAAACCACAAAATGTCCTGCTGAGTCAAATACACTTGATGTAGCAATGTAGATCCATGGGTCCGGTTCAAGAGCTGAGCATGTCACGAAGCATCGGAGTGTTGCTGTGCCGGTCGACCTCACGGTGACGTGACCCAAAACCCGAGCAGCAGCCGCAGGCCGTCCTGCTGCCCTCGCCGCCCTCGCCTGGTTTCTCCGTTCACGGCAGGTGTCAATGACCACAGTGACGTCAGGCACCTCAGCTGGACCGGCTGTGACGCCCCTGTGACGCCCCTTTGACCCTGTGAAGCAAGCTGGATCGAGCTGAAGCAAGCAGTCTGACAGTCTATGCATGTCTGTGGTAGTCCTTTGAAGAGAAGCCCTGCACTTTAAGGCTTCAAAATGTTTCAGTTCAAGTGATGTATTATACTATATATATATGTATATATCATACATCATTATATTCTATGTAATACTGTAATGCATACAATACGTAAAAGTCAAGCCCTCCTCTTCTGAGTTCCTCACTGTGACAGATGTCTCCGCCACATTTGTGGAACAAATGATCTTCCGGGTGCAGCCTCCAAATTGTCTCATGGAGCCATGAAGCATCTGTTCATCACAAGCAACTCACAAGGCGAAGTCCAACTGTTGGGGTCTGGAGCATTTGTGAAGCTTGACATAACAGTTACACTGTTACTACCGCAAACCACACTCTGTCACCCAGTTGAATGCCACTCTCGATAGAATCCTCACCTGCTGGCAGCGTGACATTGAAGCAGGCTTGCTGCTCCTTGCTCCAATTCTGGAACTCTGTTATCTTTGTTTTGGCGGTCACATCATATGGGAGATTGATATTGATGGTATATGATGGTATCAAATCCAAACCACGACTGATGTGAAATATTGTGAAATTGTTTAAGCGGTTTTCATCAATAGATCTGACTATTCCACTTGCAGCTCATAGTACCCGGTGAATAAATGGTTCTCTGCAGGACCCTTCCTACCGCCACACCTATCGAGACACCCGTCCTCTGGGGGCAGGTTGGCATGAAGCGGCAGGACCCACCATTTAGATGCCATCTTGCTGTCATCTGCAAGCTTCGACCTCACTTCGATCACTTCGATCACTTCGATCACTTCGATCCACGGAAAGATCTCCGGTTCTGTGCTGAGAGAACTCGATTTAGAGTCAGGAAAGAGTCATGAATCAAGTCATGAAGGATCTCGCCAGAACGTGTATCAACACAACTGTAACACAACTCACACTGCAAGGAGAAACATGAGCATCTCGTTGTCAACCCTTACGGAGCCGATGCAAACACAGCAAAGAAAGCAACGATGACATAACATGCAGGTTGGAAGGCGAATCACAACGAAATTGAGATATGGAAGTCACCGAAGACATTGGAGGCCAAAGAAGGGGACCCCAGATGGACATGCAAGACAGTTCGAACAAATGTTGACACTACCATGACGGAATGGCGTTGTAATTTTTATAAATATTTATGAATTACATGAGGATTACATGAAATCATACCTGGTCTCTCGCCTTGTCTTGTTATCCCCCACCGCAAGGCGTATCTCTACAACTTCGGATCTGACATGAGCTGCGTGATCTCGCCCAGACCGGGCAGGAAAACCAAGATCGCGCCTTTCCGAGGATCCTGCGCTGGTCATGACATCTCATGACCCAACAGGCTGAGGCTTTGGGGCTTTGGGATGAAAAGGATCAAAGTTGAACAAAGTAACTTTAAAGTAACATGATGCAACAAGCTCTCGGTCCTTTGGAATGGATCTCATGGACTCCGGAGCAAAAGTCCATGCACCATCCGGTGACGTTTCGATCCTCAGACGAAGCGATGGCCAGGCAGGACTCTACACTGTGGAATCAATGATGTTTGCGGAGAAGTGTGTACTCATCGCATCAAAATCGTTTGGGATGCACACTGTCAAGGTGGTCTGGAAGAGGGCAGAACAATTTCAAAAGAGAATCATCCCCGAAATCATCTTCCGATGCAAAGAATTAGTGACGAAGGGAAGTGGCTCCATGGGTACTCTGGGTACTGCGAGCAATGGGTTCTTGAGCTCTCCGGCTCTTCAACGATCTTCAGGATGAGATCATAATCGATGCCATCACTCTCTGACCTTGGCGTCAAGATTGCTTAATCGATGACGAATAGAAATATCATGAAAGATATAGGAAGTTGCGCGATGCTGACCTGGAAGGTCTACTAGACCATGACCACATCATGTATCAGGATCGCCAAACTATGACAGACTCATAGTATTTGGACTTCACGCGGATTTGGCACTCAAGGCTTCGCAATGACCTTGTCAACATCAACGGCCATCTACCTACCATCCACCTACCATCCACCTACCTGGTACTAAGCATCTCACATCTCCGCTGGCTCTCTTCGCAACGCATCAGGGCCTCAGGTCTCATGGCCAGTGCGGATCTTTGGCAAAAATCCTTCCAGTTGGAACCAGTCAGTGCAGTCAGGAAACATAGGAATCTGACTAGCGTTTCGGATGGGTGAGAGGTTTCGACAACATTCAACAACCAGAAAAAGTGCATGACTTTGTCCAGAAGTGTTTGCCAACCACTTCACAAGGGACAACCACCTCACCCTCTCAATGCAAAGGCCACCCACTGCCCCCGCTGCACCCTGCTGCGCCCCTGGCTCTTTGCCTCTGGTGAGCGGTTCCTACCTACGGCTGAAAAAAATCCAAGAAGCCATCAGCACTCAAAATATGTCAAGAATACATCAGAAAATCATACAAATCTCAACGCTTGACATTGGTTGAAACATGTTGAAACTGCCTACCTAGCGAATACAACTCCTTTATCGTTGCAGAATTTGTGGCATGCAACCGATACATGTAATGCAAAGGATGCCGGCTCCAAAAACGCCTAAACGTGTGTTGATGGCATCCAGGTAGCACTCAGCCTCAGGTGAACATGGGATCACAATATCAAGCATTGGAAGAAAGACACAAAACGCATCTTTTTGCTGATGGAAGAAATATGAAGAAATCCTTCTATATTCCTGGTGACATTCCCAGCAAAAGAAAAACGTAGACTGGTGTGTCATGAAATAGTTCCTTTAATGTCAACGGTGTCGCAGAACCACTTCCAAAGATGAAGCCTGCCGCAACGGTACTACTGTCAGTAACTATCATGAAACTCCTTGTTGTGTCCAAGATTTGATCCATGTGCTAGACATTTGAACGGAAACACGTCCAAATTCGTATCGACGCCACCATTCATGTGATTTGTGACCTTATATGTATGGACTGTATGGATTCCTACTTACTTCGCTTCACAAAGTTTTCTGTCTTGACAAGACAAACAACACACACCATGCAAGTTATGTCGGCTGGAAGGCCCAGAACCCAGTGTGATTTTTTTGGAAACTCGGCAAATCTTTGGGACTCGATGGTTTCTGCAACTCTACAAGCACCACGTTTCCGGGGAGTCGGACGACCGGATGGCAAAATGCTGGACCTTGGAGACAGTTGTGACGGAAGATCTCAATGCTGCAGGATTCATCAAAGATTTCACGACAGATTCTCAGGCAACAAAGCTGGCAGTTTCCAATAAAAGTTGGCAAAGTGGAACGCCAAGCACAAACCCTCACCAGTTGACTACGCCCAAGGTCCGAGGGATTCCAAGGGTGACTCAAGTTCACATGGCCGGCATGATAGGCCCCAAGCACACCACCATAGGCGGCTTCACCATCTCACCCTGGGTTTGCACCAAGTGTAAAGGGTAGAGATAGGAAAACATGGAAGAAAGCAAGGAATGAAGAAAGCATGGACAAGTGACAAGCGCCTGAGAAGAGGGGAACGAAAACCAGCTCTCATAAAGAAACCCCCTTTGCACAGCAAATTGCCTGCGTGTAAGACCTGCAACATTGAAATCCTCCAATTGTAGCGTAGCCCTAACTGCACAGAAAGTTTTGAGGCAGACATCTTGAAATTTTGCTGGTGGCTTACATGTCCTCAGTCCCTCGAGCAATATATTTATTTCCATCTACCCTACTGCAGCAAATTTCCTGCGCACAACACCTTCAAATTTGGACTTCCTCTGTCGAGCAAGCCCGTAAGCATCACGACTGAGAGCATTACACTTCATGTGCAAAACACCTTCAAAATTGTAGTTCTCCAGTTGCAGTAACCCTGCAAGCATCACGACTGCGCGTAACACCTTCAAAATTGGAATTTTCCAGTGGCCGCCTTCCCAGAACTCTGTTGGTCAGCTACGTATCTCTAGTCTTTTAAGCAACATGTCTCGCTTTATCAATTTCTCTGACTGGCTACTTAGCTCACCCAGGAAAACCAAGACCAAGGGGGAATCAAAACCCTACCGCAGCTAATTTCTAGCGCGTAACACCTTCAAAATTGGAGCTCTTAAAAGGAACACGCCGTTCTTGGCTTAACATAAGCTCAACATGGCCCAAATATGGCCCCAACATAGCCTCCAAGAGCCTCACATGGATCAACATAGCCCCAACATATGCTCCATATACGCCCAACACATGATCCAAAAACGACGTGTTCCTTTTGGGCTGGTCAAGGCTTAAAAGGAACACGCCTTTTTTGGCTTAACATAAGCTCAACATGACCCCAACATAGCCTCCAAGAGCCTAACATGGATCAACATAGGCCCAACATAGGCTCCGTATACGCCCAACATGGTCCCGGCATGATCCAAAAACGGCGTAAAGGCTTAAAAGGAATACGCCGTTCTTGGCTTAACATAAGCTCAACAACACGGCTCGAATATGGCCCCAACATAGCCTCCAAGAGCCTAACGTGGATCAACATAGGCCCAACATAGGCTCCATATACGCCCAACAATGGTCCCGACATGATCCAACAACGGCATATTCCTTTTGGGCCGGGTAAAGACTTGAAAGGAACACGCCGTTCTTGGCTTAACGCGGGCTCAACATGGCTCGAATATGACCCCAGCATTGCCTCCAAGAGCCTGACATGGATCAACATAGGCCCAACATAGGCTCCATTTACGCCCAACATGGTCCCGACATGATCCAAAAATGACGTGTTCCTTTTGGGCCGGGTAGAGGCTTAAATGGGCCACCCTGTTCTTGGCTTTACGTAAGCTCAACGTGGCCCGGTTATGGCCCCAACATAGCCTTCAAGAGCGTCCAACATGGACCCGACATGATCCAGAAACAGCGTGTTCCTTTTGGGCCGGGTAAAGGCTTAAAAGGAACACGCCGTTTTTGGCTTAACATAAGCTCAACATGGCTCGAACATGGCCCCAACATAGCCTCCAAGAGCCATCAACATAGGCCGAACATAGGCTCCATATACGCAGGTGGCACCGAGCTTCTCAGGTAGTATCAGATCTATATATATATATTTAGACCTCTGAAGGTCTTAGGGTTTCTTTCTATATATATATATATATACATTTTCAATTTACATAGGCAGATGGAAGAATAAAACACAGAATGTCAAGTATATCGATGCTACAGGTGCACATACGCGAAGACGCACACATACACACACACCCAGATAATACGCAGATAGACCCAGATGCCCCACATCGGTTCCCAAAGCCGTCCTCCTGCTCTGAGACCACCTGACGGGGAGAACCGTGCGGGAATGTGCCATGTGTAGAAGCCAGTGGATGGGAATTGGGAATGTCGCAATTTAGCGAAGTGGAATGGCCATTATCTTTCGATCTATTTCATGGTGTACAGTCGATGTTTTTGGGGGAGTCCGGGGTGTACAGACTGGGCTATTAACTAGTCTTGCCAAATATGAATCTCGAATGAGCGGTCTGGAACTTGCACACCAATGCTTAGTGGTTTGAAACACCTGGATTGCATTTCGCAAGGTGGATATGTCTCGTTACATGGAAGATCCAAGTTGCGAAAAAATGATTCCTCATTCTGATTCCGTGCCCCAACCGCAGTCCCCGGCCTCAGTTGTTTTCCAGGAAGGCCACGAGCTGCCGAACCTGGTTCTGCACCCTCTGGGCAAACTCCCGGTGCGCTGCCCGCCGGTGTGCCGCGACCCTCCACCGGTTGGCGCGCGGGCTTCCGCGCTTTAGCTGCCGCTTCAGCACTTGAACCCTGCGGAGTTCCCGCAGTACCCCTTGGCGCTCCTCCTGCGATGTCTGTTGAATTTGCCGGAGGGTGAATCAGGGGGTCCAGGGCATCTAGAATTATATAGATAGGTATAGGTAGATCGGAGAGACATACATAGAGATATATATATATTTACATATATCTACTGTAGGTGTAACTCTTTTTGTATTTTTCCTTTTTATTGCATCCATCGATCTTCCTGCACTAAGAGATGTCTCAATCCTGAATGGCCGATCATTATCGCGTCTATATATATATATATATTAGATATTGTTATTTTTAGACCTCATAAACTCTGTTCTCAAGTCGTTGTCCGAGGAAATGTATCGGGTTCTCGGTGATCAACTTACTTGCTCAAGCAATCTATGATGGGATCTATATCATTGATTGTGCATCATTCGTGTTATCAGTGTTACCTATCATCATGAATGTGGCTGAGGATCGATGTGTTTCTCTGTGTTTGGAGGCATGGTTGTTTTTTGCTTTTCGTGTCGGAGGTCCTGGGGCGTCTGGCGGCGCCGTTGTACTGCGCTCCGGGGCGGATACTGCTCGCAGTCCTCATCAGTTGAGAGACGCGAGCAGCCCGGTACCCCATCGCGCGGAGGGCGCGCCTGACAGCTGCCTCTGTTGGCTTCACAACCTTCAGGCCCTGCACCTTCTTTTGGGACTGGCCAGCCATTGCTGGCACCGAGCCTCTCAGGTCGCACAGCCACGTGCAGCATGGCAACGGGGCTAGTCACAACGCAACAAGGTGTGCTACCAGTAAGTCAGAAAATACGTCAGAAGAATTTCTCAGCTTATAGCAATCCATCTATCTACCATCCTATCAATCTATCTCTCACTTTTTCCACTGGTCCATGTCTCCATCTCACATCAACTGAGGCTGCCAAATTTGGCCCGTTCGTCAAGGGGTCCCCTCAGACCCCCTAATCTCTCACTACGTTCGCAAACAACAACAAGCCAGCCTGTCCGGCTGGCTTTCGTAATAGTATCCAAACCTATCCAAAACTTCTGGGCTGATCCTTTCTGCAAATTGATGTGGCCCCAAGGCCCTATCGGACTGAGCAAAGTGCCACACTGGCCACCTGGGCTGGAAGACCTTGGCCGGATCTCCACTCTGCAAAGCCCATGAGTTGGAAAAAGAATCAGAGTTAGATGAGCTTAGATGAGCTAAAAGAATCAGAATGCACCAGCAAAATGTCCCACCTGGTCAGGTGGTCTTTTTGGAGTTTTAGAATGTTTTAGAAGCAGCTGGAGAAAAGATTAGACAACTGGAACTGCCTCAGGCACATTCGATCTAAACCCTTGGAGTCAAAACTTTGTCTGGCCCTAAGTCTCGCATTTCAATGTGCAAATAGTGCCATTATGTTGCTCATCTGGGGCCTGCGCTGAAGTACTTCAAAAAACACTCCGTGTCCATCGTGGCACCTGAAAAGCTTCTGCAAATTTCTGCAATTAAACATAAAGAAACACTGTCTGAAGCAGTTACAGCCGTTGCTCTTGATGCTTGGGAGAGCATAGAATAGAAAGTCTACCAAGCAAGACTGGAAAAGAAATAAGCCAAGGTAGTATCCCCAACAGAGAGGAAAGCGTGACAGCAGCTAGTGAACACCATCCCGCAACCCACACCGGAACTGCCGCTAAAACTTTCAACATCGAAAATGAGATACTCATGTTCAGTTGGCTCCAACACCTTCTTACAGCGATGTCCAAGTTTAGATTTCCCCATGTAGGTCTCTGCTCATGACTTAAAAGTGCATCACACTGTATCCGTTCCCTCTGTTCACTCTTTCCATTTATCGCATACGAGCAGTGCCCGTTCTGAGTTTTTTATCAAGAAAATTCTTCTCGGCTAAGCACTCATGAGCACCACTCGAAGGTTTGGTCGAACAGACCGAACCTGCAGGCTGGGAAGCAAGCTTCTTGCTGGATTTTTTCCATGCGCTTTCCGCGCTGACAATTGTCAACAGGCCCCTTCAAACATTTTAACTGGGGAATTGAATTGCGAATTGATTGCATTGGCTCCAAAATCTCTAATTATAGGTAACTCTAAGGTAACTCTATGCCAGGATCAAGGCGCACCCGACCTCCTTGAGGAAGGTCAGCATGAAATCCGTCTCAACTCCTCGTTCATGCACCTGCCACAAGTCTCCCTTTTGTTGAAATGGAAGTTATAGGTTCACACATCTCTTAAGATTTTCCATTCAAGAGAGTTTCCTGTAAGGGTTCTTTCGTGTTTCACCTCCTGTAGTGAAGTTTGCCATGTTCTCACAAAAAAAGAAACATCTATAATCTATATAGCCCCTAGCAGCTCGCCTCATCCACCAGCAGGTGCGTAACCTTAGACTCATGCGATGCCATCTAGAGTGTGTCAAATTTGTTAAAAAATTGACTCTCAATGTATAAAGAAGCCCTTTGTCTGGCACAATGCAAGGAATGGCAGGTGTTGCAAACACATCTGCAAAGTCACAAAAACCTAACCAGACACGACATGCAAGCCCAGTGTCACACAGACAGATCTCCTTCCACTTTTTCTGCAGATGTTTCATCGGCTGTACTCTTTCTTGAGGGCAGGCTGTTCAACTCCCATCCTCATGAATATCACCCCAGCGCAGCGGGAGCGTTTCCATGTCCTTTGGGGGCTGTTGGCTGATACGCAAGAGTTTGGCATCTTCAAGCCAGATCCTTTCCTGTGCTCCGCGATCACAGAGGGACATGTTGGGATCACTCTCAGCATAGTCCCAGTAGAAAGCCTCCAGGTTACGCGTGTCAACTTGATCCTTTCTGACGTAGACATAAAGCATGGTGTCGCCATAGCCTTGACAAACCGTCGGATCAGTAGAGAGATATACCCCAGACCAGGCAGGATATCTCCTGCCCCTTTCTTCATAGTTGGTTGGGTTGAAGCCTTCTCTTCCGATGTCTCTGGCAGATTGGTTGGTGGTACCATGCATGCCAACATGGAAATATTGCTTTGGGTCGGGTTCTATAACGAACGGACCCTGAAGCGCCATGGCCGCCTGCAAAAGGCTTTCTGGACTCTGAGGAAGCTAACTTTTGAGCTGAGCAAGGTGCATCAGGAAGAGCAAGGCTCACAGAAATCGAACGGCTGCAAAACAATAAGCAACATATCATATTGCCCTCTTGGGGCCTCCTCAAGCTCTCTTTCTATCATTATCTGTCTCTCTGTCTCTCTGTCTCTCTGTCTCTCTATCTCTCTCTCTCTCTCTATCTCTCTCTCTCTCTCTCTCATTCTCTCGCAGCTTTTGCCTATAAGTTAGCAGGGTTTCAAAGGCTTTCACAATAGAGCCCGTCTTGGACTGGCCTGCGCATACGCATACATAAACGGCTTCAAATACGCAAACAAAACACATATTCCCGACATATCCAGAAATTGCGGCTACTAGCTGTTTTCTTTATGTTTCTGTTTGCGTTTCTTTTACGTAAGAGATAAAATAAGGTCTTATTTGCCCAAAATAAGGTCTTATTTTTCTCCCGACATTAAAAAAAACATAAACCATACACATGTACAAACACAAACGTTACAAAATGTGTTTGCGTTCTCGTTTGCGTTTTGTTTATGTTTCTGTTTATGTTTTCTTTACGCGCGTTCCAAAATAAGGCCTTATTTTGCGTGATTTGCACAAAATAAGGCCTTATTTTTCCTCCGGCATAAAAAAAACACATAAATTCGCAAACGTATACACAAGTAAAACATAAACACAACGCAATCCAGTCCCAAAATACGTAAATGTGTCACATGTGTTTCGCATATGTTTCCACATATGTTTCACATATACGGCTCACATATGTTTTCACTTGCGCTGCACATACGCTTCACATACGCATCACATACGTTCCACAATCGTAAATGTGTATGTTTCACATGAATTTTACATATGTTTTGCATGCGCGGCCACTTAGGATATGTATACGTACCCCCTCGTCAGGCTCCTATAGACGGAAGCGCTGGAAGCTTTTGAGATTCAGCTAACCTATAAGGTTACAGAGGTTACAGTCTGAACCGAACTTCGGCGAGTCTCTCAGAACCAGTTCTGCGAGACTTTGAAATCTTGACTTGCAGCGAGAAGCAGTCTTCGGGCCGAACATAAACTTGGTGCCCTCGTTGGCTAGTCTCCGCCTTGCAAGGAAAGCCGCGTCTCGGACAGACTGGACCCCACACATGTTTCTTGGTCAATGTCTTATTTCTGTGAAATAGACATCGATACGGGTGGCAGAATGCAGCACACATATGCACACTTCAGAACGAACCTGTTTCATGCAAACCATGCATCCAGGCACCGGACAAAATCACTCCTGTCGTGCAAAAGAGCAGCTTGCACTTTGGGCCAGCCACCTTGAATTGGTCAGAGAATCATCAGTGTGACCAATTCTGAAGCCACTTGTGCTGTTGGGCTGACTTGGTTTTAGTTACACAACCAGTTTCTTTATGATCTTCCGAGTGCCAATCAGTAGTGCCACGAATTTTGTAGCCGACAACGCCTTCGCCAACCTGAATTCCATCGGAAGTCCACATATCGAAAGCAGAACAAGATTGTCTTTACAACATAAAAATGAATTCAATTCAATATATTATCTGATAATCTATAAAACATGGGATATACATCCTGTCAAATTGACACGTATTGAAATATTGACATCTATCAAATTTTGGTCATATATATTTAGATCTATATTTGAAGTTCATTTAAAGTCTATAGTTTTATTTGGTTATAAAATGTTATAAATGTCTATAATCTGTTCATATCAGCTATACCAGGCTATATCTGTTCAGCTGAAAACATGGCTCGCCTTCTCGCCCAGCTCTTCGGCCACGCGCTTGGCCACGGTGATGGCGGCGATGCGGCGCGGTTGGGTCACCACGATGCGTGCGGGGCGCCGCAGATCGGAGTTCCGCGACTTCAGCTGCTTGGCCTCCAACTGGGCCTTCACCGCAGCCTTTCCGAAAAAAACAGGGAAAGAACAGGACATAAACCCATAATGGAATATCATAAATTATAATATCTATTATATAATATATATAATATATGTAATTATATCATGATCATAGTTTTGAACATAAAACTTGAACATCTGTGGAGGATGTATCAGCTTCATTCAGCTTCATTCAGCTTCAGTTTCTGGATCGAAAATGTGTGAAATTACTTTGCATAGTCTCACAACATGTCATGAGGCAGGACATCGCACATTGCATGGATCTCGAAAACGAAATAAAGCAAGATTCGTGCCTCCAAAATGTATTGCGGCACCTGACATCACTCGAGAGAAAGAGAGATTCAGCGGTCTCGTTTCATTCGATGCCATCCTTCCTGAATTGACTCCAGTAGTTTTCACGCAAAGACAACGGCAAACCAGTCGCATAGCCACATAGCATTGCACAGGGCTTTTCAGGTGACTTTTGTATCAAGCTCACACGCCAGTAGCTGCACTTTGAAACTGGCCAGGGTTGCTTGTGTTGTTTTGCCACATCCAGTTTCACCTTGAATCAACCTGGTCAAGGAACAAGAAGCCGCACGAGAGACTCAGCTACTCAGCTCTAGTGTGCAACCAACAGGAGCTTGTGTCAGCTGCAAGTCACTGCAAGTCCATGCATCTGGGCAACCAACACAATCTGATTGTCTTTGATCAGTTGTGTGATCTCGTCCTATCACCATACTGACATGGTGGCGAGGAAGCAGCATGCGACAGTGACACACATTGTGCTTCATCAATATTCCAAACGCTCCTGCAAATTTGTGCTGTTTTTCTATTTCAACTCCGAAAAATCCTGTGGTATCCTCACTACAATTTGTTCAGCTCCGAGGTAAGCAAAGCCTTGCCTCCTATTGGAAACCTCGTGTTCACCGCCAAAATTCCTTGTCATCTTGTCCTTGTGCTGTGCTATTGGAAGGTTGTTGACAATTGCCCGCTTGAAGGTGTAGTTGTCCTGCACAAATCTGGTAGTTCGGCGAAGCAAATGTGCCATGTTGGAACCTGCCACATCTATGCTGCTATGCTTCACTTGCGTGTCATTTCTCTGCTTCCACTGTCGGAAGCTCTGCTCATCGCTCCACGCTGAAACAGTTTGGCTCCTCATCGATCATATCAGGTCCAAACCAAGCCTTAGGCATGCCACGCTCCTCACGTCGCAGCCGAACCACCTGCAATGCTGATAGACACAAACGCTTCACGAGCAGCTTCTTATGGCAAGCGCCTCTCCATTTCACAGAGAATTAAACCAGAAACTCGAAATTCCGTGAGTTTTTGGACGATGCCAAACCACTTTGTACCAACTCCTGCTTGGTGGTTCACTTTACTTGCTACGCAACCGTCACCAGTGCAAGTAGAAACAATATCCTTTTAATCAAATTCACAGTCTCCCTGTAGGCACTTGTGGCAAGTGGGCCCAACCACCAAACAACAAGTAGCGTGCATCAACGCACCACCTTTACCTCCAAATGCTCAGACATATAGCGGCACAGCCAATCATCGTGGGTTGGCTGTGGGGAGTACAGCTGGGCCTCCTCATTGTGCGCACTTCCGTCGCCGAAGCCTTTCGAAGGCAGCGCCGCCTCGTTGCACACCACGGCAGGGCCACGGCTTAAGACACACGGTTTCGACACCGCAAGAGACACCGGCCTTCATCTTCACCACCTCGGTGAGGACTCGGAGAAACTCTGCAGAGATACTGTGAACGTCCCAACGACTCTCTGTGGCTGACTCGTTCAAAACGTCTTCCATCAAGAGATATCTTCCATCGACAGTATGTCAGGCATGAAAAAAAACAGAAAAGAATCATGCCATGATGCCATGGGTCGAATCTGTCTCAAAATGTGTCTCCAAGTGCTTTGGGCTTCGCACAACCTCTTGCACATCCTGCAGGCCTCAAGGTGGGACCATTTGGCTACGGGGTTTTCTTTTGTCCTTTTGTTTCCCACCATTTGTCCACTGTCTATAATGGCTCTTCTGGCAAAAGAATGTGGAAAATAGACTCAAGCTGAAACTTTGTGCTCCAGTGCCCCTTGAGGGACAGTCTATTCCAGTTATTTCCGAACACTAGGGCCAGTGCTGTCATTGGGCTTCAAGTCAATGTTCGCAGGTTTATCCTCTCAGCAAAAAAATGGAAAAGGACAAAACGTTGGACAACCCATCAAAAGTACAAAGTTGAGAAAAATCATAAGATCCAAATGATTTACAGAAAAATCATAGATCTCAAACGATTTCCAGAGCCTGATGCCACAGACTAAAAAAGACCATAGCACCAGTGGCACCAGTGGCACCAGTGGCATCTGGGCATCTGAGAGGAGCACCTCTTTCAGATCGGCGTTGAGGCGATCAAGCACCTGACCTCAGGTGAATTCTACTGACATGGTGGCGGTCAGTGGCCCTGGGAATTCTTTGGAAAATCTGAGGATAAGTTGAGGATAAGCCAGTTTGATGATGTTTTGATGATTTGTTTCTACAGCTACCTAGTAGTATGTTATAGTTTGTTCTCTACTGATTCCAATTTGGGATTGCAATTCCCATCTCCGAATTTGCCAAACTCACTCAGAGTCCTTTCCGTGTCTCACTCTGAGTCTGGAAGATCATGCGATGGGTTTTATCAGCAATCATGCTGGGGTCGCTGCCATAGGTCTTTTCCGAAGAGTCCTACAAGGCCACTCCGCGATGGAAGTCTGTGTTGGAACAGCCCAGAGTCCAGCAGAGTCCAGCAGGACACACTTTTTGTCTGGCACGATGCAATGCGATGCGATGCAATGCGATGTGCGTCCTTCAGGGAGAACTTCCAGAGGTCTCGGTCCTGGCTGAGCATGTACCTGGCTTCCAGAGGATACGGTGAAAGATGCGAAAGTCATGGTTTTTAGACTTTCCATCTGGTCAGTGGATTGCGGCATTTCGTTGCACTTTGACAACAGGGGCACTGGAGGTAGGATGGCGGTAGATTGTGATAAAAAGTTAGAGCTGCGACAGCTTTGGCCACATGCTCCTTCAAAACAGGCAAGACTGGAGCGTACCAAGGCACCAAAATAGCGGACGAATCGGAGTTGTCACTTAGAATAAATAGATGCTGTTGCAGACTGTCGTTAGAATATGACGATTCTCACGTCCAGCACTAAGTGCTAGAGTACAGAAGAAAAACAAACAAGCAATTGATCATTTCACCTACTTCCAGACTGGATCTCAAAAAAATGGTTCTGCATATTTCAATCCGCTGAACCTGCTTGTCTACGCGTTCATGTTCTAACTATTGCAGTTATTAAAAGCCTGTCATAGGACTGACACCTCTAACATCCTGCCTCCAGCGATGACGAATCGAAGTCTTCGCTGGCCTCAACAGCAAAGAGCCAAGGATTCCCGCGCAAATAATGAATTTATATATATACGTATATATATATAAACTAGATTCATATAATTTATTATCATTGTGTCAATACAAGCAACACTTGGACACACCCAAACCTGCTGGTTTTCCCTGGACCAACAAGTTGGTGGCCATATTGGATCCCAATATTTGGATCAATGATGATGAAATGTACGTATTGCAACTGCCACTCCGCACAACTCCCCACAACTTTGGAAACATTCCCAGGCCTTCTCAGCAATGGGAACCTTGAGGATAGATTCCAAAATCCGCCGCATGCGATGAGAGAGAAACACTGGACAATCCTTAGGACTTAGGAGTGAGCAAGCAGAACATTCAGAAATGACAAATATGAAAAATGTTGAAACCACATGTAATTGCACAAAGCTGAAGCCTCTCCCTTGAAAAGATCGAGAGTTGCGTGATGTTGTGTGCCCTATTAGTGGAAAGATAGCGGAACGTGGTCTCTCTGAGATTTCAACTCCTTCAAGCTCGGCCTTCACTCGAGATATGTCCCGCTGCCTCCTTGGCGTGATATTCCAGATCGGGGGATGGACCAAAGCTGGCTACGCCGGCTACGGGTTTGCAAGAAACATCAAGAAACCAATGTGCATCTCCTCAAATTCCATTTTAAGACAAGTGCCCAGTGAAAATTGCAGCAGAATGCAACAGCAAAATCAGCCAATATGAGTCCCGTAAAGTTCCAAAATGCAGTCGCCCTTTTTACCGCGCTGGACAGCCAAGAGAATGCTTCACCTCGGCCAATTCTGTTGGAAATTCGGCACTGCACTGCGTGCAGCACTGAGATGAGCCCAGGAACGATCCAACGCCAGGTGAGGTTGATGCGTGGAGCCTTCACCTGGCGGAGTCAATGACGGTAATGACAGGTCGTCGAAGGTCGTTGATTTTGTTGATTTTGGCCTGATCCTCACGGGGAACTCGATGCTGGAGGTGCTTTTGCAGCATTCCCTCCTGCACAACAGGCACAGCACACGGTGAGGTCTGCAGATTTGTTTCCAACTCAGGACTCAGGAAAGCACCTGTTCAAAGGACAATCAGATAATGCAGGAGAATCTTGGATTGTTAAGATCCAGACCTTGAGCAATCTCAATCCAACTTCAAACTGAGAATCCACAGTTGGGCAGTTCAATCCGACACGGAATCGGTCTCCATGGTGCACAGGTCGCCATCACTCAGCTGCAATCGAATCGTGTGGTCGTCAACAGAATCGGACCTCACTCACACGCAGCAACACGGCAAGGCAATCCATGTCGGCATCTCTGCCTTGTGAGTAACCCTGAATAACTGAATAACTACGTATATTTAGCCAAACGTGTTCTTTGTGGTTCTTGACTCCTGCGACTCCTCACTTTCCGTGAAGTCTGGGGTCAAGTGAAGGTTCCAAAACATGCCAAACTGCAAAACTAAAACCGCATCCGAAAATCGATGAAGTCAAGTTGTATTGAAGAAAGGCATAAAGTGTTATTAAAATATTATATAAAATATATGAAATAACACCGAATGACACCTGCAGAACTGCACATCTCCGTTTCGTCGATCCAAGGTGCCAGTTTCTTCGCAGTTCAAAGCTTCGTGTGGCACCCAAGGACAGCGAAATAATGCGACAGTCCTGCGCCCTTAGCACTGCTGTAGCCAGGACACTGTTCCAGAACAGCGATATTGGATGGTATTGAGATTGGGCAAATGAACTAAATGGAAGAATCGTGGCAAAATGATCAGAATGATGGAAGTTTTTCGGAAGTTTCCCGCTTTTGGCGGCTCTTTTCCCGTTTTGGGCTCCAGACTTCCCTTGAAAGAGCTGCTCATCATCTGCATGCCAACCAACAGAAGTACCTTGGCACAACAATCTCACAGGAGACATCTGAGAAGGCCAAGGCATGTTTTTGCCAAGTTGAACCCTGGGGATCCCTGGGGTACAATCCTATCCCAAGGGATCCCAAGGGATCCCAAGGGTTCTGTATCCCTTGGTAACGTGAAAAGGAGCAAAACCTACTGAGATGGATAACGATGATGTGAGGATAGCTATCTGACAGGCTAGAATAAGATGATCATAGACACAAAAAAAAACATCAAAAAAACTCAGGTCGAAGAGTCTTTCTAAGTTGCTTCAAGTTGCTTCCGTCCTCGTAGAGGTTTAGATTGCAGCTATTTGGCCAGTCCTGTTGAAGATCGAGAGGAGACGATTGGCAGATAGATTGCTAAATTTAAATATAAATGTATATAAATATAGATTCTTTGGCTGCTACTGCCCCATCATTTTACAACCTTGCACGGTTCTGAAAGTGATACGGTGCCACGATCCCTTTACGAAGAGTCGTATCTAGACATCCCCGACTTCTTTTCCATCTGTAATTCAAACAACTCGGAACATTCCAGCCGCTTCCAGCCTTTTGCTCGTTGATGCCGCAACAAGGCCTGGAACTGTTGTGCCAATGTCAAATGATCAAAATCTCGGTCAGACTTGATTGCTTTCTGCGCTCAGCCACCGACATAACCCAGTGCATCAAGGTGCACATCCATTGTGGATATTGCTGAGGTTGAACTTCAATTCGCCCATATCCTGAGAGGTCGAATCATGAGGCAGAGCTGGTTAGGTTTCGCAGTCACAATGAAACGCGAACAAAAGAAGCACTTCTCCTTCCGTAGCAGTCCACTGAGATCTATTCCACCTTTATTTGTCTACTTAGTCTAGTGGCTCTAGTTGCATCCAACTTCAAGCAGCCAGGCTCTTCTGGACAGGAGTCTATGCAAAGTCATTAAGCTCAAACTCTTCAGTGCCGTCGAGATTCGGTATGTACAAGTGCAATCAAAGTACACCATCCATGCAGTTTTCCGTGGGATTGGACCGTTCGGTCCAGTTGGTTGTATCCATTCTGCACCTGCACAATCAAAGCAACGTGTAAATGTGGTCCGCTGGTTTTCAAGCACTGGAATTCCCGGCAAAAGATGGCCTTCTAGAGCTTTCAGAAAAAAGGATCTGCAAACATCTTCACCTGCATGAAAGTGGCATGAAAGTGAGAGAAAATAGCGGTCTCCCTCTGGCAACCATTCTGGCCCACAGGGGGCTGCAAGAATGAAGCTAGTATCATAATGTCTTCAAAACATGTCAAACCTATATAACCCCACTAAATGTGGGTCAGCAAACGTGATTATAAAATGTGACAGCAAGTTGAGGCAGCGTGACAAACAAATCATAAGTCACAGTGTCAAGCAGAAATGTCTGCCGTCAAAACATCGTGACGTGCTCATGTCCTGGCCTAGCGTTCGAGGCAAGAAGCCGACGAAGCTTCGTGTCGCTTCATCCTTCAAAACCTTCGGGGATAGTGTAATATGGTCTAATGTGCACAGGGTTGTTGCGCAGGTTGTCGCTGAACACATATGAAACGTATCAAACAAATTTACCATGTTTTACCAAGAGGAGTCAAGTCATTCGTCAAATGCTGTCCAACTCCTTAAAATTCACATCTATATATATCTATATGACATTGAATAAATCAAACCGAGTCTTCAACGTACTTCCATGGAAGGGTCCTTGGAGCAAAAGCTGGCATGTGCGGTCATTGCAAAATCAAATTGGAAACGTCGCAACTCCAGGAAGGAGTCACAGCGAAAACAGCGACTAGTTTCACCATAAGACTTGCAGCATCTTGCGGCCACAATTGCACCGTTGCAATTGTTAGCTATGCCGCCCTAGCGATAAGGTTATCTGCATCCAAGGTTCGAGGGGGCTTCCTCACCAATGAGCTTCAAGCCGGTCTCAGAGCGGGGCTCCTCATAAAACAGCTACAGTTAGGCTATGCGTGCTACTGTCAGTCTCATGATGTCGGAGTCTCTTGGCTGTTGTGCCATCCGGATGCGCGAGCCTTCTAGTGTCAAGGTAACGTAAAAATCATTGCGACTGGACATGGAGCTCCACCGATGCATTGGGGGAGCTACTTACTAGAACTGATACAGTAGAATCTTTCCCTATGGGGTTCCATGCAAGTTCCTCTAGATTCTCGCCCTTCTCCATAGAAGTCTTCTCTCCTGCGAGAAAGGCCAAAACAAATCACTTTTTTTGCCACGGGAAAAAATGGAAAAACCGAAAAACAGTATTCATTGAAATCGATTGCAATTCAAAGGCGTCCCAGAGTCCCAGCCCGAGAGCTCCGTCTCATCTTTTGCCTGTTAGCAAAGTTAGCAAAGTTTAGCCATTACACAATATTACACATCCACGCAGAACATCGCACTGTGTTGGTTTGCAGCCTATCACTGACCACCATGCCGCAACTAGCTCTTCTTCGTATGCGGCATCCCCAAGAAGAGTTAGTGTTGCACCTGCCCTCCCTGTATAGATTTGCAGTGTAGCTACTTGGGCACAGAATGATCCAACGAGTATTCCTCCCTTAAATCCTAACACTGAGACACTGATACTCTGATACTCTCAATTCTATTCTCTTTGCGTTGTCAGCATTTCAAGCATTTGCTATCAAACGATTCCTCGACAGAACAAAGCTGCCGCTCCTCATCCCAACCGTGTCGAAGTCGTTTCTGGCGCGAAATCCATCGGGAAAATCAGGGTCTCAACGTGATCTCAACGTGATCTCAACGGATAGGTTTCTCCGACATCTTTGGTGTCTCATGATATTCCACAAACCTGAACAGTGCAAAACTTCAAGTTTTCTGGCCTCTGGAGGAATTTCATCACGGGCTATGAGAAGATCAAGGGCAGAAAGATTCTTCTCCTGTCAAGCTGATACCCTCTGAAGGCACGGCATCGAAGGCGCTACAACACATTTAGAACTTATTTAGAACTTATTTATTTAGAACTTTAGTACATTTTTGATCATGTTGATCATTTTGATCATTTTGATCATGTTGTTTCACTCGGGATAGAACATATAGAACTGTCTTGCGAAGTGGTTGACATATGTTTGCCCTGTGAGAAATATGTATCCATACATGTTTGGGACAGATTCTTCGAGTGTGACGTCAATGGTAATACGTTGGAAGACTATTGATTTGGAGTATTTTGGAGTTACACATGTTAAACATTGCTAAAATTGCTAAACATCGTTAAACCATTTTCACAAACTTACACTTCAACAAAAGTGAAAGTGGGCACCCGAGATCTTCCCCAGGACCTCCACAGGCTGTGGCGATGGCGCCTCGATCAGGAAACTGCACTTTTTCAATTCACTGAGTCAATCTGGGTGTGTAAAAAAACACAATTTTACACAGCCTTCCATAAAGCTTGACCCGGAGCACCCCCTGGATTCCAAGTTACATTGTCAGTTGCTTTGGTAGGCACTTTCGGTGCCTGCACCAGACCCAAAGATATGGATGGGCCACATGCAAAGCGGTTTCAAACAGCGCAAAAGATTGTCATGCGGCATGCATCAAACATGCAAACAACCATGGCTTCTCGTGTGAATGCTAAAATGCAAGGGTTGCCGTCAAACATCGAATGATGAATCTATATTCAAAGTGACCAAGAACCAGAAACCCACCCAAGACAACCCCAACCCCGACATGAGTAGCAGCACGCCAGTGTTAGAAGAAATACAAAAGAAAGCTGTGTGTGTGTGAATCCTGAACCAAAATCTTCCGGATGGTGTCAACTGAGGTCAAACATTTGAATCATAACTAATAGTACTGGACAAAACTATATAATCGCAATGAAGCATCTTGACTTGTTGGGATGTCCACATCAAGGTTTAGTCCACACAAAGAAAACAGACTCTCTGCCAGCAAGGGTTAAAGAGTCAACTGAGGTGCAGATTTTGTAGAAGAGCTGTCCTTAGGTTGCGCTTGCAGTGGTAGCACGTCTCCACGTCCCTGAAATGCGACCACAACCTTATGTTATGAGTGAACAAACAGGGCCAAATCAAAAACATTCAAAAACTATATGGGGGACAAAATCCAGCACCTCCTTTGCCAAGATTCTTCACTGGTTGTGTCTTTTCGCCGCTTTCTCTTTGTTTTTTTCTTCTTCTTTTCCTTCTTCCTGAGCGTTGACAAGTCAGGAAGCCCCACAAATTTCCTTTTCTGAAGGCTGGTGTAAGACTCAAAGTTCAACTGGACAAGACTTCCAAGCCAAGAGGCATCTTTACGCCGGGCACCTTTGGCCCCATGGCAGCGAACGCGGCCCACTGCCTCATGTAACGAGCGTTTGCCTGTGCACAGAACTGCACTATATCACTATATCGTCCGAGCCACTGATGTGCCAACGTTGGGTACATGGGCAGCACACCCCTCAGCGGACGCTGGGAAGCTTACATGCACCTAGATCTCACCTGGTCAAGTTAGACCAATATGCAACTCCTTTTAGACTCCGTCTCACTTTGTCCCGTGTGCCTCTCAATACATACGTACCGTAAGTTTTCATGGCTTTCTTTCAAAAACATTGCTGTTCAGAAGGAATCCCCTTACCACATCACTCCAAGTCGACGTCCCTGCCATCAAGCAGCATCATCAAGCCTTGTAGCACAGCAGGGCTTGAAGAAATTGGTAGAGGTTTGGTCCCATTTTGCTACATGCAGCACTTGTCACTTTCATGAGTTGTCACTAAATCAATCTGGATATGGCGGACGTTTTTGTCCGCACGCACGACTCACAAAGTCCTTCCATTCCAACGTTGAGTTTGAAGACCTTCCACGGCTGTGTGGCAGTGTTTTTGCGCAGTGCTCTGCCACAGCTGGCCTTCCTGACTCAGTGCCCAGGGAGCGCTTCAACATCCAAAGGTCGCTGAAACAGAAGAGCTGAGTCCGAAGATTTCTGAAGTATCCAGAAAAGGTTTCTCGCACAGAAGCACAAGATAGCACAAGGGATCATCTTCATAACTGCTTCCACCAGCTCTTTCCCGTGTGCACAGGAAGTGCCCATGAGGACGAGAGATGTAGCAGTGATGCCCAGGACATGTTGACCTCAGGAGCACCACGTCAGAGTCACATGCTGTGCCTGGGGAAAGATGCACAACAGGAGTGTCACATCATTCTCTTAAATTTGCAAAGTTGATTCACGTTGATTCAGCAGTTCCTCACTTCTTCAATGCACGGCTCAGTGCCAGACATCACGAATCATGTCATTCTTTTGTCGCCTTCTTCTCGTCATTTGGCCTTGCCTGACGCACAACTCCAGGTGAGATTTTGATAGATTTTGAATGCAACTGCCAACTGCTAGTGTTGGATGATATTCTACCAAATGACATCAAATGACCTTCAGAAGAAACCCATGCCTTGAAGGCTGTATAAAAGCAGCGCTGCAAGCGGTCTTTGGCACATTTTCCAATGCAAACCACGAGGAGCAAACCCGACCACAGCTCCACGGCCATCACAATTCGAAACTCTACTGACTCTACTGGCGTTGGCCCTTTGGCCCTTTGGCCCTTTGGCTTGCCCGGGCGTGTGATCGAGCTTTTGCCGCGGAAACAAAATGTGGAACATGCAGCAAGGTCCTGCAAAGTCTACAAATATGATAAATATACATGTATATAACTGCGTATATATATAATATAATTATATGAAATACTAGTAAGTCTGGGGTAGGAACTCATGAACTTGTTGCCAACAAACACCAAGTGGCCAAAGACATGCAAAGAAACAGCCATGTTGTGACACTATCCATCCTTGCAGCACAATTGAAGTCCAATAGAACTTTGTTGCTAGACCTGCTAAACCAAATTGGCACCGGTCTGAGCCCACCACCAGGTGAAACCAGCGCAGCATTCACTGCGCTGGCTGTGCTCGCTGTGCTCGATCTTCCCTTCGAAGCCTTTGAAGCCGACTTCTGCTTCTCCTGAAAGATCTGTTGTTTGGCACGAAAATCAAGAGTGGTTTGCTTGCAGGTTGGAAAGCACACTTCACTAAATGAGTGGGCCTTGCATTCCGCACCAGAGCTAATAGGTCAAAGAATGTAAAGTATCGTAGACTTCAGTTCAAAACAGAAGAGTTATTTCAGTGCACCACCTAGAAACTGGCAAATACCATGTACATCCTCACGCTCCTCTCGGTACTTTCCCATGAGTTTCGCACCGGCGCCATGGAATCCAGGCTGCGAAAGGTTTGGATTGTTGCAAACATATGCACGCGACTATGAATGGCTACTACTATTGAGCTCTGAAGGGCGGAGGAAGAGATTCCGTTGGACAATCTGAAACCCGCCTTAAATAGATGTTTGTGCTGAGTCTAGATCAGAGCCCTCTGGATATGTTTTCTTTCCTTGTGAAGGAATCGCTCCTTTGTCGGAAGGTGCAGGCAGGTGCAACTGGTCTGTTGGAAAGGGCACAAAAAAATATCTGAAAAAAATGAAAGTCAAGCAATGCTTGCAAAGAATCTACGGCAAAAGCTAAGACAGCATAAAAGAGTGTATTCATGGCCACACAGTCGGTTGGTTTCAGAGCAAATCATGGTTCCGCAAAGGCAAACATACGTGTCCCGCACGGAACAAGTAGATACCGTGGCGGACAGAGTGGTAGACACAACGGTGGACAGGCTAAGCATTCTGAGTCATTCTGAGATACTTCAAGATCTTTTCATATAGCTAAGACCTACTTTGAGTCATGCACAGCTGGACACATTTCTGTACTCCGAGACCGGGTCACCCGTGCTGTTTTTGCTTCTCTTGGATCTCCCGACGCATTTTCTCAATCTCCTCCTGTGCTACACAATGCCCTGAGAATTGGTTTACCGAAGAAGGTTGGAAGCGCCTGAATGGTTTGCCTGTGCGTGCCATGTTCTTGGACAGGGGAAAGAAGAATCAGCCGCATCCCTGGGGTCCCTTGCAAGTCAAAAAAAATGATGAAAAATTCACCTTGTCAAACATAAAGAACTGCAAACAATATGTTTTGTTTTTCATCTCTTGCAAAACGTCAAAAATCTAAAGGAACGGGGAGATTTGGTTTGTGGATTTTCGTGAGCGCGTGTTGGTCCTTGCTCATGAACATTGAGCCTTGAGGTTCAAAGCCCACCACCCTTGGAAGTGTTCACAACTGCAAGCTCTCAACCCATGGTTGATCATCTTACAAAAGGTTCCAACACATCCATTTGCAACATTCGAAGTCTGTTCTTGTTATTTCCGTGCAGTTCCAGATTTACATCGTGTGATTTTTCTAGAATTCCTCCTTTTGTTTTCACGGTGTTTACTTGCCCTTGACAATTCAATCCAGCATAGGTTCAACAACAAAACATATGATTAATATTTTTTGGGGGGAAAACAAATTGTATCTTCCCGTACTTTATCAGCCGTGGTGGTGATGTTGAAACCTGTGATGGTACTAGCGACTATCGCAAGTTGCTGTGATTCTGACGTTCTGGGTTCCTCGGTCTTGCCTCAATGCACGAAACAGATCGAAACAACATAAACCATCAACCTTCTTCAACATTCCACTTTCAATGGTTTGTACACTGAAGTAAAACATAGTAAAACCGCATTCCACAAAAACTACCCTGAGACAGCAGCTTGCAAGTGCTTTGTTGCAGTTTTGTTCCCTGGCAAAGGTTCGCATCCATAAAGCACATGTTCAGAATGTTCAGAATAAGTGTACACCTTTTCGTGTCCTTTTGCAAATTTTGAGGCGTTTGTTTGTTTTTTGGTATGTTCTTGCCTCTCAGCCCGCAAAGCTTGCAAACGGAGGACTGCAGCCTGCAGCAGAGAGTCACGAAGGAACATGTTGCAAAATTGAGTTTCCAATTCAAATGTGCCTGTCTAGTCCCAAAAAAAGTGTGATTATGTTTCACTTTGCGCTGCTATGTAAACATACTGACATGTTCGCGGCAATGTCCATGTGAATGTTGTCAAGAAACACCACTGCAAATCATCCCCTAAAAGAAAGTAAATGGGTCCTTGCCGGTTTCATAAAACACGATAAAATTTAATGAAAAATCGTGAGCACATAACCTCATGATGAGTCCCACTATGGTGTCTCTATGCGATTTATTCATTGGTCTATATTTGAATTTCAAACTGAAAACAAACATTATACTTGAACAAACTTGAGTTCAAGTATCGATCACACATTCCCAAAGTTGTCAACGGTGGTTCCCCGGTTAGACTGATATTTGTGAAATGTGTGGCTGAGACCTTCTGCTTGTCAATGGCACAATGCCGCATGGCATCCTCACTGCACAAAAGCTGGTGAATTCGGTGCCGGCCCTGTTTCAACACCGTAATTGCGTGCAATCATGTTCAAAACCTTTCAAAATTTCAAAACCAACTGATTCTAGTTCTGTGACTGAGGATTTGACGCTAACGTCTCGGCGTCGGCCATCATAATTCTGGACAATTGGTGGTGCATAGAAGCAATCCAAACGCCAAGTTGCAAATCAAGTTCATCGTCGATTTTATCGGTCGGGTGCCGAAACAAAAACAAAGTGCAATGTCCAGTGCCTCACGGATTTTTGCCAAGGCTGCAGCTGCCATTGCGAGAATCCATGCAGCGTTTTTGGGGTTGTTTACTTTTGATTTCGTTGTGTGGCCCTGTTCATGTTTTCGATTGTCGTCAAGGAATCGGGATGGTTTTTACCAAAAAAAATCTCACAAACACAATCAATGACAGCATCAGAAGGCGTTGTTGGTGTTGTGATGAAGGTGGGGAGTGACGATACAAAACGAACCATACCCACTGGCATGCCTCTGAGCCAAATGCGAAATTATCACTAATCAAAACTGCGAAGCGGGCTGCACACCTTTTTCACGCCAAGAGGGCCTCGGATATATCCACATGCTATTCATGTGTACATGACTGAAATGTTGCACACTCATCTCGATTTGTGCTAGTGTCATCCTTGCGCAGGGGAATGCAAATCTTACGCGCTCCTCCTTGGAATAGTGAGCGTTCGATCACTTTCCCACCATTGTATCCCTTTCCAGCAAATTGTCAGCCATTGTTGCTGACAAAACACTTCCAGAGAAAAAGGAATATTTCCACTGCTTCAAATTGGGTACATGTCTGCGATTCTTTGGTATCGGTTCTGTGCATTGAGTCGATTGGTTCTTTGTGCATTGGTGCTCAGCTCTATGAAAACCTCGTGGATCCTTGCTTTGCATCGCGCAACCAAAACTTCAGTGATTCCATCTCTCACCATCTGTAAGAACTCCAGGATAAGGTTCTGGACTGCACTTGCATCCCAGAAATATCCGTTTTCCAAACAAATTTCATGTTCATCTTTTAGAAGATCCACCATCTCTGAAACTGTTTGTGGTACACCTGGTCGTCCAGCTGTTGGTGAAGCTGTACCAGAGTCGATTTCCATGTCTTGGTCTGACATTGCGCTTTCTGATTCTTCTGCATTTGCAACTGCCACATCTGTAGTATCTGCAGGTCCGATTGGATTTCCTCTTTGCCTGATTAACCTCATATATTCCACTGATCCCATTGTTTTGGAGGCTACAAGGTTGGCACGTTCCAGTGTCACCAAATGTGTCCATTGCTGGTGGCTTAAACCAAGCCCGTTCCTCAAATAGCCGCCGCTCTCAACAATGTAATAATGGAGTCCAGAGGCATAGTCGTGAGTCATGCTGACTTCGTTGCTGACCTGCTGAATCTCTTCATGTAACTCTCTTCAATTTCTATCAGCAAGTCCTTCAGCAAATTCCATCCTCTGATCCAAACCAATAATACGTTGTTCAAGTCTTCCAGAAAATGCATCTTCCTCAGCGGCTTGTCTCCAGCAATCTTCCATTTCCTTTGAAAGTTTTTTGAACGTGCGAAAAACCATCATTGCAAAGATGATCCAAAGCAAGACCATGCAGCTAACAAAGACCCATAGCCAAAACGTTTCACTGGAGTCACTGGCATGTTGCACTGCCAGCTCACATGTCTCACCAGAGTCGCCGGATCCGCTGATCTCTGCTGCTTCAGCTCCAGTTGAAATCACTGACTCAAGGCCCAAAAGTGCACTCATCCGCAGGATTGCTTTCGAGATTTTCTTGTGGTTTTGTTGAGAAAACATCTTTTCTGAAACTGCTTCGAACTCCTCCTGTCCCACCATACGCATGGAGGTAGGGTCGATGGCACCTATCTGGTTGAGCAGCATGAGCATTCTGGTTCTGTTCAAAGGTTTTGTACCTATGTCTGAGTAGTTCCATTCAGTTGGCACTTGTCCCACTGAAATTTCCTTCTCCAAAACAAGACCTTGAACCCAAAGAAGTTTGCCGCTCAAGTGCCTGATGCGGCCAACACCTTGTCGGCATACCAATTGCCGAGCCGCACTGTTGTCTGTCCATTGCACCTGCTCCACTGGTTCATTTACCAAAAACTGAAGGCAACGTCGCAGGTAAATTCCATCAGAGCAACCTGAAACCATGCTATGCAGTTCACTTTCTGCTGAACTTAGGGACACTACTCGCTGGGTGCGAGCAGAAGCATGTGCAAAACTTCCATTGATGAAGTGGATGGCGCTGCTTGTGCTTTTACGGTGCTTCTTGTTGGCGCTCCAGTCAGCATCTGTGAAAGATTCGAGCATCCAAAATCTTTCACCTCCTGTTTTCCACTTTCCCTCTCCATGTCTTGGCACCTTCAGTTTGATGCCCATATTTCCATTGCTTCTCAAGTAACCAACCAGCTTTCTCAAACGTTGGAGGGAACAAAGTGTAGGCGCTGACATGGTGGCCGCCAATTCTTTCACTGTAAACATTATGTCTACACGTTCACGTGCAGCATAAAGCAACAAACCAATCACACTTCTGTAAGCTTTGCTGTCACTCAAGCTCAAAGGTTGGGAGTGGTCCTCATTTTGAATACCATCATCGCAAGGCACCTTTTGTCCCCTGGCTGAACCGAAGTGCTTCTCAAAGCATGAAACAACTTTCTCCACTGTGGTGCCTGGGACAATCATCAAACCATCTTCAAGTTTCACCAAACGTCTTTTCAAGAATGAGATTGAAGACCCATTCTCTCTCAACTCACTGTGGCTCACCTTGAAACGCTCGGTCATTGCAGGAAGGAATTTATTGTTCCAAAAGTCGCTACTTCCAGCAAAAAGCAAATCATCCACGTGAATCATGAAGACATTGTGAATACCTTTGTAGGTGCATCTGGCTAAACATGGCTGCTCACTGCACCACTCGCACTCAAAGCATTTGGCAACGTAGTTGCGAAAGTACCAGTACCATGCCTTTGCTCCCAAACGCTGACCTGGCAAGTTTCTTTTGATTACCAGTTCTTTGCCATGTAAAGAAACACCAACGATCTCCTCCTGAGAAACTTGGAGGAAGGCATCTTTGATGTCCAGCGACGCCAACGTGACATCATAGTCTGAACTGCTTGAGCCACTTTCCAAACTTTCTGACATCATCTTCAGAAAAACCAAAGGCACTAAGTTGGCTGTGTGGCTGCCACTTGCTGGTGAATACGTATCATGGCGTTTCACATTTGCAAACTCTCGGGCAACAAAACGGCTTCTACGCATCCACATCTGCTGTCCATTTCTGTGTTGCTTAACTCTCCAGTCGTAGACAAATCTGGTGGTAAGGTTTCCACAAATTTCATCGGTGCATTCTTCACGCTTTTGTAGAACTCCCATTTCAAGCAACTTTGTATTTCGATTTCATCTGCAAGCTGATCAACCCAAGGTTCAGGGTTTGGAGGAGGCTTGTCCAACGGGAGGTTCGACCACAGCGCATCTGGAACTTCACCCAATTGCACTTGATCCTCGTCACACCAGTATTCATCTTCCAACACATCAGCATTCATGTCAAGTTCTGTGGAGTAGTCATCCATCGTTGCAAATTCATCCGTTCCAACTTTCACAACACGTATCATGGCTTCATGCTGTTGCATCAACTGGTTAATCTTTTGCTTCTTGTGGTCTGCTACTCTGGCTTTCTTTGTTTCATGGTCTGCATCGTCCTGGCTGTCATGTATCCTAGTGGAGTGAGCATGGCGTGGAGTTGGAGGCAATTGCATGGGACCAACTGGAGGGGTCACAGGCGCACTTTCTCCAACATCAAAAGTCAAATCCACCTGGTTTTCCATTGCCGTAAGAAAAGAAGCATCTACTGCGTCATCATCAAACACTGAATCCACAACAACTTCATTTTCACGTCTACGCATTGGCTCAGAAGAAGAAGGACCTTCAGGAATGTCCAAGGCTATAGGTTGGCTCAGCCTTGGTACTGCAGGTTCATGGGCTACTGCTTTGTCACGAGGGTCAAAGGTTTTTCCCTCATGGCACATGGAAACCATTTCACGTTCTTCCAACTTTTCTTCTGCAGCTTTGTTCTTGATGGCTTCAGCTTCGGCATCATGAAAAGAAGAAGGCAGGACATCTCCTTGTGGCGCTTGGAAACTTGCAGAAATACCTTCGACAGCTCTCTTTGTTGGCACAACTCTGCCACCAATCTTATATTAGAACAAATTCAGGCAAATATGTAAGGGGAAGCGCTACGCAAAATTGTAGGACAACTTACACAAAACAAAACTCACGCTATCTGACGTACATATATATATATATATATGTAAGTGTATATATATATATTTACGCCGCAAGTGAGATCTCGATACGCAACGGAACGTCGTGAAAATTTCGGACAGCAAAAAGATTGGAAAAACTCAAACTGCTGGATCTTGAACGTGGGCACTCAAAGCATCCTTTTTACTCCTCTCAGCATGCTCTAGGTTGGTCTGGGGAGTTTACTGTTTCCGTTCGGTCACCAAGCATGGCATATGACAGTTGGTTGGATCTGTCATGCCGCTTAGTAGTGTGAATCTCACAGCGGTGATTTTTTTTTGTCCGGCGCCCTTGCGGGTCACCACTTGAGGCTTACTCGCGGACTAGCGGGGAATCGAACCACCACCGGCAGTCTGTCCGCGTCGCCAAGAACCAACTGAGCCACGAGGACTGATCGCGGCGTGACTATTATCTGTTCACCAGCATTTGTTAACCAATGCCTGAAGGCTAATGTCAGGACCCGGCAGCTAGCTGACCGCTCAACCGTCGGAAAGTCGTCAAAGTACTGAGAAGTAATGGCTTTGAGCCGTTTTTGAAAGCAAAAACCAAAGGCTTGTCATATGCGGACGAAGCCGTGAACTTTTTTCCGTCCAACGCCTTCATGGCTTCCGCCAGGTCGTTACAAACGTTCGATTGCAGCAAAAGATGAATTGAGATTAG